CCTATTAATTTTTAGAATTGTTCCCGAAGCGATAAGGAAATTATGCCCCTTATGTAGAGGTGAATGAATTGTCGATAAGCAGCTAAGGTACAGAATGTAAAAAAAAAAAAAAAAATAATAAATGAAAAATAAAAAAATAAAATAGAAATAAATGAATAAAATAAATACAATAAAGAAAAAAAAAAAAAAAAAAAAAAAAAAAAAAAAAAAAAAAAAAAAAAAAAAAAAAAAAAAAAAAAAAAAAAAAAAAAAAAAAAAAAAAAAAAAAAAAAAAAAAAAAAAAAAAAAAAAAAAAAAAAAAAAAAAAAAAAAAAAAAAAAAACTTAACTTAAAAATTAAACTGTTAAATATTTTAAATGTTAAAAATTAAACAATCAAAATGCTAAAAAGTTAAAAGGTTAAAAAAGTTATAAAAAAAAAAAGAATAAAAATATAAATCCTGAAATGCCAGCTGCAGTTGTATATATGATGGACACATTTTGGGAGGGTTCGTAATATCCCATCCTAAACTTGTCAAAATATGCTCGCAGCATATGTCTCCTTCATTTACCACAAATGCATGTACACAGTTATGTATGAACTGAGACTAAATGTGAACATGTTTCTATCCTTTTATCACATTTTGTTTTAGGAGAAAAGAAAAAAGGAGGATGTTTTTTTTTTTTTTTTTTTTTTTTTTTTTTGGGTGCCCCTTACACTTCATCGGGACAGTTTCCCTCTTGTCAGGTCATGCTTTTAAAGGAATGGGAAATTTAAGGGGGAATTTTCTGAAATCGTGAAAAAAAAAAAAAAAAAAAAAAAAACACACACAGAGACACATACATACAACATACACCATCATAAAAGAAAACCTTTAAAATGAGAATAACTAATGGACAATAAAGTTGCAGAAAAAGCCTTCTTAGTGTTCTAGCGTATATGTAATACACATACATGTATATAAAAATCCAATTTGTGCAGTTTGCTTTAATAATGTTTAAAAAAAAGGAAAGAAAAAGGAAATCAAAAAGTTTTTCATCAAAAGTTGGGATATCAAAAAAATTGGCATGTAGAAAAGCATAAATACGTGTGTTATTATTCTCATAATTCACGTAAAAAAAAAAAAAAAAAAAAAAAAAAAAAAAAAAAAAAAAAAAAAAAAAAAAAAAAAAAAAAAAAAAAAAAAAAAAAAAAAAAAAAAAAAAAAAAAAAAAAAAAAAAAAAAAAAAAAAAAAAATGAAACGTTAAAGTAAAATAAAACAAAATAAAACAAAATAAAACAAAATAAAAAAATAAAAAAATAAAAAAAAATAAATAAATAAAATAATCGGCTGTAAAAACGCTAATTTCTTATGTTGTAAATTGCAAAACGGTTACAGAATATATAAATAATGAGCATTGAAATAGGTTGTATTATTCTTGTTACCCACCCCTATGCATGCAATTCAAGGTGGTCGTATTGTGTTGTGTGCGTCAAAGGAATAATAAACGTGCTACTACCTTGACGAGTTATTCAAAAATGTACACCAAACGTAAGGGAAGGAACAAATGTGTAGAAGAAAAAGGAATGATAAATAAAATAACCACAAACCGTATAAACACACGAAACGATATATAATAGTGATGCATAATTTTCTGTATTGACAACATTCGTTTCGTCCAAATTTTTTAATTTTTCTCTATTATGGATGTGCATTCACCTGTTATGATAGGATTTACTGCTATTTTGGGTATGACCCAAAGGTCACAGGAATAAGCAGAGATTCACAGTAATCTTGATTGGAGTACCTGGACTCTGTCTATTCATACTGGCATAATTACTTTTCTCATTTGATGGATATTGTGTGTGTGTTCATCGTGGTTCTTATAAATTGTGTGCCCATTTAAAGTATTTTCCAGGTAGGTATAAAGTTGTAACATCATGTCTATTTGTCAATTTGTTGCTTCGTAAGCGCACATCACATGGCACCGATTTTCTCTCGCTACGCAACAATTGAGCTTGATGTTTTTTTTGGAATTCTCTTCACAATTCGTCAGAGCTGTTGAGGAGGTTATTTAGAAAGTTTTCGTACCACTTATTGTTGATGGTGAGATTTTTCAACTCCTCCGAGTCAATGTCTATACCCATGAATTTCGTAGCCTTTTCTAGCATTTCCAAATGAGCCTTACTGTCACCAATATTGACTTGGAGTTTTGGTTTGGAATCATCATCTGGATTTTTAACTTGCTTAATTTTGATATCATTCATGAGGGAATTAGCAATGTCGCTATTATTTGTGTAATCAATAAATTTCATCATACCAATAAGTATTTGGTTTAATTTATTTTTGACTTCCTCGTCTTGTAATTTATCTTTATCGATTTTCATTAAATCGGCTAACTTCTCCAACATTTGTTCATGGCCTTCTGTGTCTTTTATAATATCTTCAACTGATTTTTTTTCACCATTTTTTTCATTATCTTTCATTTTTTGAATAGTTTTTCTCAAAAATGTTTTTACCATTTTTTTTTCAGATGTATCACTATTTGAATTTAAAACATCTTGTAAGTACATATAAAACTTTATCATTTCTTGAAGATCACCAGGGTTTATTAAATTGTTAAATAAGTCTTGACTGTTGTTCATCATCATATTGTGTGGAAATTTATTTTCATTATTATTTCCTTCATATTTGTTATTGTTACTAGTATTATCATCATTTTCGTCATTATTTGCATTAAGGTTAAGGGTTTTTTTCATTTCATTAAATAATTCGTTGGCTTCATCTAATTTATTTTCACTTATTAATTCTTTAATTTTTTCAAAACCTTCCCAGTTAAGCATATCTCGGATATTTTCCTCATGGCTCATATTTTTTGCTCTGTTTTTATTTTCATTTTTTCTAGAGTTTAGGATATTTTTTTCTCCCTTGGCACTGGTCCCATTCATGATGGTGACGACGAATAGGGACAGGGTAGCATAATAGTGGATCTTCATTGTGATGACTCAAGTGGTAAGTTGTGGCACTGTGATATGGCGATGCGTTGGAGTTCCTCGTTTCTGCTGATGAATATTTCTTTCCTCTCTTTTTGTTTTTCTCTTTTCTCCTTCTATCCTTTTTTAACTTTGAACAGCAGAATTGAAAAAAATGGAACTTTTTTCCAAAATGGAAAACGTGAAAAAAAAAAAAAAAAAAAAAAAAAAAAAAAAAAAAGGACAACAAAAGGACAACAAAAAAGTTTCCCAAAAGGGTTTGCAATAAGAACAATTTTAAAAAACTTAAAAAAAAATGAAGAAAAATGGGGTAGAGGAAATAAAATAAATTCACACTAAAATTCGTTAAACAAATATGGCCTTGCAAATTTTGTTGCTGCTTTTTTGTCTACAAACATATTCAGTGGCACTTTTCTTTGGAAGGAAAATTAAATGTGGCAGTAAAAAGTTTTCGTCTTTCCCGTTGCACAAGCATGAAGCGATTATTTTTTTTTTTTTTTTTTATTTTGCGTTTTTCTCTTTGTAATTTTTTTTGATAAGGTATTCTTTTAATACTTTTGTGACACGTCAAATCAAAGCTATACTTGACAGACCATTACAAACGTATGAGTACTAAAAGTAATAACACTTGTATAATTAAATATATATAAAATGATTTGGGGGGGACGAAAATGTACGTACGTGTATGATTATAACTCAATTTATATATATAAATATGTAAATATTATGTACTTATGTAATATAGCACGTGTTTCAAAAAAATTTGTTTTATTTCATTGTTGTGTAATAATTTTATGTAATATATAAATAAAAAAAAAAAAAAAAATGCTTGAATTATGTAGAAATTTCGTAATTTTTTTTTTTTTTTTTTTTTTTTTTCCTTTTTGAACAGAAAAAAAATGGACTATTCTCTCATTTTCTTATTTGGGTGGGTTCGCTCTTTTATTTTCTTTTTATTGTTACTTCATTTTTTCATTGGTTCACTTTTTTTTATTACTTCATTTTTTCATTGGTTCACTTTTACATTACTCAAATTTTTTTTTTTTTTTTTTTTTTTTTTTTTTTTTTTTTTTCTCTTTTTTTTTTTTTTTTTTTTTTTTTTTTTTTTTTTTTTTTTTTTTTTTTTTTTTTTTTTTTACCGCTTTGTGCTTTTTAAAAAATTTTTAGTTCCCTTTGGTTTTCAATCCACGGAGAGAAACGGGAATATACTATTCTCATAAGGCATAACAATGCATATGTAAATATATAAAAATAATATACTTTTCAAATACTGCCATACATCATATACATAGTACAAGTGCTTAAAGCATGATAATATATAGTGCGACCCGTTTACAAGTATATAGAAAGGAAGAGCTTATATATATATATATATATATATATATATATATATATATATATATATATACCTGTAAAAATGGAATGCTCTTTGTGAATTAACAGCAAATTTTAATTGTAATAGTTCGGTGTCATGGAGAGTATAGGGGGGGTGTTGGATGCATGCAGCTCTGAATTTTTCGCAGACACGCAAAGTAAATCAAATTATATATGTAAGAATTTCTTGCACTACTAACATAAGCACATATCATATGTGCCTATAATATGAGAATATAATATATACATATATATGTATACATATATATATATATACATACGTGGATTGTCCTTTTGGAATGATAAAATTTACAGCACTTGCGTTAACGATGGAGGGGTAAAAATGAAGGTTGTTGTATTTTTTGAAACCTTTTTATTTTATTGTATGTTCACATATACAATTATTTTTTGTACATACAACCAACATAACATGTGCTTTTTTTTTTCCCTATCCTATTCTCATAATATATATACTCATCATAGCTGATATTATTTATCAAAGTGCATACGTATACATATATATATTATTACGATCTTATTTTTCTTTTCCTTCTGAACACTTCTCGTATTCCGTCCTTTCAATGCACCCAATTATCGCAGCATAGTTTTATATATATATATATATAGAGTTGGAGGGTAAAAGAAAAAAAATAATCATGAAATTTTATTGCCATGCTTGAGAAGTTTTTCCGTAACCATTTGGAGGTGGTTGGGCGAAGGAGGGGATCCTTAGAATAACTAGATAAAATTTCCTATTCATTTTTTTGTGCCCTAAAAATATAAGTGCCATGCCAAATTGGCTAACGAGGGGTATAAAGGAAATAAGGGGAAAAAAAAAAAAAAAAAAAAAAAGAGAGATATATTTACCCCCTTTATTTTCATATGGAAAAATAGTTAATACTTAAAAATGGGCATCCGTTTTACTTTTTTATTTTTTTCCCTTCATTGTAAAAAAATATTTTTATTTCATTTTTTCATTTCTCACGTAAGGTTTAGCTGATTCCTTTTTTTCTCGTTGGATAGAAGTTATTATATATATATATATTAATTTAATTTTTTTTTAAAACAAAAACATAGATTTTTTATTTTTTTTAAAGAAAAGCCAGAATAATTATTTTGAAATTTAACATTATATTATTATTGAAGATCAAAGAGAAAAAAAGTCATAATACTTAACTATTTTTTAAAAAATAATCCTAATTTTACGTATACATATTAAAAATAATATATATATATATATATATATATATATATATATAAATATGCACAATATTTGCTTAACATTTTATTAGTTTATTATACAATATATATTGTATTGTAAATTTTGTTTATTTCATCTTATAATTTTTTTTTAACATTAAATTGTAAAAAAACATTCTGTAGAAAAAAGTATTACAACTTTTTTAAAAAATTTTGAAGAAAAAATTTTGAACAGCTCCTTTTAATACGCTGCGTATGACTTGGGGTTTTTCTACTAATTTTGCATTTTTTCGTACACTCTTTTGTATAGAGGAAAAATAAATACTTTTTATCCTTTGATGCAACAGTTTTTGAAAAACGAGAATTTAGTTGCACACATATGCATGTAAAGAGATGTTTGTATGTTTATAAGTATCTTCTTATAGTCATCCGAAATCACACGGTTCACACCCGTTTAATATTTACATAGCAGCGTGTTCTCTCCCCCATGTCATTGCAATAGACTACATATAAGGAAACATCAACACGGTGTTTATCATTATTACGAATGCTCAGAAATATGTATAAGTTATTTTGTTTTAAAATTCGAGTTCGAAGAAGGGTATATCAAATATTTACTTAAAAAAAAAGAAAAAGAAAAAAAAAAAAAAAAAAAAAAAAAAAGCTAAATGAGAGTATTAGAAATTGAATTAAGTTAGAAGTGCTAAAACAAGTTTGACGAAATAGATTTACTTAGCATAATAACAAAGTAGGGCATCCTTTTTTTTTTTTTTTTTTTTGTGAAGAAAACACGCATTGGAACTTGAAACATAGTAACCATAAAGTTAAGCCTGTATGCATATATATATATATATATGTGCATATGTATATATAGGTACACATGCATGTACACAAAAGATACACCAAGACATTCCAATGCAAGGAAGAGAATAAGCACATACATGCCGTGAAAGTATTAGAAAAACATACTTTTAGCATTTGAATTGGTCAGATGTAGGATGTTTTTATATAAGATATATGCAAAGGGGTTAACATTTTTGTCTTCCCATTATATCGCCGACTAATGCGTAGTTTTTTATTTTATTTTTTTTTTCGCCCCTCCCCTCCCCACTTTTGAAGTAAAAAATTGTAATTTTCAATGAGATGAGAAGGGCACAAACAATATTTGCATTTTATTTTTTATTAATTTTTTGTTATTTACTAAAATTGAGCACAGTGAATGTATTTTGTGAAATTATAAATGGTGAAGATGTATATTTGAGTACACTAAGAAATCAAAATTTCAGTGAAGAATTTATAAAACTATTTGAAAACAAAGATGTACGAATAACAATAGAAAAATTTATTACCGAAGAACAAGTTAAATATTATATTAGTAGAACAAGAAAAAGTGATCATAATATTATTAAAACGGTTGAGAAATTATTGCTTAGAGAATTTCCTTCAACTATTGGAACTAAAGAAAATATTATAAAAAATGAATTATTAAAATTTTTAAGCATTATACTTACGAAACAAGAAGATGTTGTGAAGAGTTTTTTTTCTAATTTTTCAAAAAATTCATTAGATATTGGTGTAAAATATCGTCATTTTGAAAATAGATTCTTAGATGAGTATGAAAATATAGAAAAATTAAAAAAATTATATTTCGCTACATTTAACCAGGTTTCTGAAGCATTAGAGAGCACCAAAACTAGTGAGGACAATAAAAGTAGTGTTTACTTTATTGATATTAAGGACATAATTTTTTCAAATATAGAATCTCTGAAGGAAACTCTGGCAAAATTGAGAAGTGAAGTTGTTGCATTGTATAATATAAACTACGAGTTGAATGAATTTAAAAATGATGTTGATTCGTATATATCTAATTATAGAAGCTCACAGAGGGATGAAGCAAACGTCATTAATGGTGACGACCCCCAAGGTGATAAAGAAAATGATGTGATTATGTTAAAATTGGTAGATGATGTATCTTCGAAATTGATGTTTAGCTTAAGAACCAAAATTTCGAGCACAAGGGATGAACTACAAAAACGGCTAGTTGCCTTAGAAAAGGAATTAATAGACTTATCAAATGAAATAACACGCTTAGAAATTCAGCAGAATGTGCCAAAATTGGCTATTGTAAAAAATAATAACTTTCTAAATATAGATAGTATACGAAATGAATATGAGGAATACGTGAGGAAGGCAAATTTGAGTCTCAATATAAATCAGAATTATACTGATGAGGAGGAGAAGGACAATGACAGTGAGGACAAGGATGAAGAGAAGAATGAAATCGGAAGCACATATAAGAATAAGAATAAAAAAGGAAAAGAAAGTGAAGGTGATGTTTTTGAAAAAACCTTGTTACTACTTGAGAGACATTCTAAATGGGTAAAAGAACAAGATGCCTTTACCTACTGTGAAAGGAATGATATAGCAGAGGTTTTGGAGATATGTCTGAACTTAGTAGAGAAGCTAAAAGATTTGGTTGTTCATGAAAACTTTAATTTATTAATGAAATATGAGAATTTGTACAAAGAATTAAATAAATTTTTGTATCATTCTAAAAGTAGCATTATGGATGTTTCTTATATCAAAGCATGGCATGCCATTGAAAATTATAAAGGAACTGAAATTTTGATACATGGGGTGGATAGACTATTGAATATGATTTCTGTTTTAACACAAATGATTAACATTTTTAAAGATGTAAATAAGAATATGAATCCAGATGTATTTTTTGACCTGAACAGATTAAGCAATGGATTTCTAAATGCATCGAAAAAAGTAACACTTTTTAAGGTGGAACTAGCCAAATTAATGCACCCATCACGAAGTTTACAAATTATAAAAAATAATATAGAAAAGTTTGGACATGTGTATAAGGACAAAATTACCGAAATGAAAGTGATAATAAACTCTTTTGGCATCGCATCTGATAATATGCAAACAGAAATTGACGAATTGCTCAAAACAGTCAGTGATATAATTCAAGCTGATAATTTAATAAATGAATTTAAAAAGGTTAGAAATGTATGGAAAAGGTATGTAAAACATACTTTGAAGAATATGAATGTGAAGAAGAGCCAGCTAATTAAAGCATATGGAGAAAATAAAAATGTGATTTTCCCACCTGAAATGACATTATCCGGATTTCAACAAACCAACGAAGGAGATCATATTGGAGCTAATGGAGGAATGGATGACACAGATGCTAGTGAATATATTTCTTTTAATAGGAACATTTTTGCATCAGATTATTTTACAAAATTACAAAGTATTGTTATCAATAAATTCGATTCGTTAAACAATGAAATGGAGATGAAAAAACTTTTTTCTGTCATATACAGATCTATAGATATTATCATTTACATAATTAAGGATAATAGGAAACAAATGAAAATAAAATACAACAAAAAACGGAATGATATTATTAATTTAATTAATTACAGAAAGGATGTAAGAATTGAAATGAGTCATGTGTATGACAAATTAGTTGAACTTGAAGGTGATCTGGTTAATAATTTACAAAAATTATTTATAAATAAAGTAAACTTAAACCAACAAATAGAACATTCCGTTAAAAAAACCAAGGATGAGTACTTCAAGGACAAGGCACCTCTACATTGTAAGTTGGTTGAAGAGTTTATTACAAAGTATTTCCTCACCATTACAAGATGGAAAAATTTCATAAACCGTAACAGAAAATATTTTCCTCCTACGTTAATATGGAATGATGAGAATTCTTAGGAAAACCCAAAAAAAAAAAAAAAATGAAAAGGTGTAGAATAGATTTATACATTAATTATGTGGTGCAAAAGGTGGGAATTGAGAAAGACCAAACATATATACACGTATATACATATTTAACGACATGTATGATTCACAAGCATATTATCCCTCCCCCACAGCTGTGTTATCATTATCGTTCACATTGAATAGAAGATGACGTGGGCCATAAATATTTACATATATATATATATATATATATATATATATGTATATCTACTACAGCGTAATTGCGTAGCACTCTAATTATACTTCAACGGGGGTTCCTTTTGTCATGGGTGTGCAGTTAATATCATTTTTATTTTTTTTTTCTTTTCTGGAAATGATTTCTGATTGAAGCATTAAATAAATCTTATGAGATGTGCAGCTATGAGCTGTTTTTCCCTCCTCCTATCTCATGTAACATACGTTGTTTTTGTAAACTTTTTTTTCCCTGTATATATATATATATCCATTTTATAGTGATGCTGGTGAGTAGTATTTTAGCAGATTTGGTAGTAGTGTATATAACATCTGCTTAACTTTTAACAGTTAACCATTATCAGCTCTCACCACATTACTACCGACACCAATGTTTTAGAAACACCAGTTTCCGTTCCCCAGATTAACCAAAATTGTGTTTGGACATAATACTTTTTTAATGCATTCCCTCCACGTGGTATAATTCGTTGAATATGAAACACAATTATATATAATTAATATTATTTATGGTGCATTTTTCCTCGAGTATTTCTTACACTACAATCCGTTATACTTTCATAATCCAATTTTTATTTATTATTATCATTATTATTATTATTTTTTTTTTTTTTTTCTTTTTTTTAACGTTTTTTGTGTTATTCATTTATGTTAATTTATTATTTTTTTTTTTTTTTTTCTCCAAATTTAAACAACTTAGCACAATGTGTAAAATATATGTATATATATTTTTTTAATTTTTTCCAATTGACGATTTATGGTTATTGGAAGAAGAGGAATTATCATTGTTTCATGTAATTAAATTCATGATTCGCGGAATTTATGTTGTTCTAAAAAAAGTTTGTAAGCTGTTCATTTGATAGTAGGAAATGTGGATGATGGTAATGCGGTGCATAGGATGATAAACTTTTTTCTACAATGGGTTTTCATGAGGAGATCAAACTGGAAAATACAAGAAACAAATCATTTTTCTGTTTTTTTTTTTTTTTTTTTTTTTTTTTGAGATGAATTGTATATTACGAAGTTGTTGCTGCTTTCAATTGTTGAGAAAATTTTCCTCTTTCAACCATTTTATTAATTATGCTTCCTTCTGAGTTTCCAATTGCCGCAACTTATTTGAAAACCTTTTGAACATCTTATTATAGCTATATAAATATAGGCTAAATTTATATACATACATATATATCTATTTTTATTCGCAAAGGAAGAAAATTGTTAAGTTGTAGTAAAGTACCGAAATATCCAGATTATCTCCAAATTTGATTCTCAATTTTTTTTCTTCTGCCAGTTTGTTATACCATATGGAAATTGAAATTTTAGAGTATCTGCCCAAAGAGTTTGAATAGTCTCAATATAGGTAAAAGAAATAAATCTCTAAATTCTAAACAGGACAAACAAAATATGCAAATCTGTTGAAGTTGTCATGCGAAAGGGGTTATTCGTTTAAGGGGAAAATGAAAATAATTAATATGGAGGGAAAAAAAAAAAAAAAAAAGAATTTTCAAAAGAAAACATGTTAAAATGTGTATGCATTCACATTGTGTGAAGAAAAGATAAAAAAAAGAAGAAAACTGCATAACTATTAAAATGTGGAGGGAGAGGAAAAAAAAAAAAAAAATTTTCTAGGGGTATAAATACAACACCATAAATAATGTTGAATTTTTTTTTTTTTTCCTTTTTTTTTTTTTTTTTTGTAAATTGTATTTGATTCCCTTGCAGCATTATAAAATATATATATATTTTTTTTTCTTCTTTATTTGCATGTGACATTGAGTGAATAAGTATGTGTATATATGTAATTTATTTTTTTGTTCTGTTTTGTTCTTCTCTGCTTGATTTTTTTTCAATCTATGCCTGCTAGCTGTTGTAAACTTGTTCTCGTTCTTACAACGTTTTTTTTTTTTTTTTTTTTCTCCTCAAATGGTTCTTCCCTTTGCATGCGCAAAAAAAGAAAAAAAGAAAAAAAGAAAAAATATATATATATATATATATATATAAATGAAATGGAAAAGAAAAGGCGTAAAAAATGCAATGCAAAAACATCAAATGAGAAAAAAAAAAAAAAAAGAAAGGAATCAAAAAGGAAAGAAAAATGAAAATAAATAAAAGTAAAAATAAATTCATTTTAATGAGCCCCCAAGGGTACAACACTTCTCGAACATTTCTACCAAGTGTGTTTTACACAAGTTTCATAATTTTTACATAACCCGCAAAACATTGTGGTTAACCACTTTTGTGACTCACGTGGGAAAAGATATAGTGTACGCAAATAAAACCAATTTAACGAGAGAAAAAAACGAAAAAAGGAATGGAAAGGTTGAAAAAAATAAAAATAGGGCTTTTTTTTTTTTTTTTTTTTTTCGTGCACCATTTCACAAATACACAATATTTGACGAATGTAAATATGTGATGTATACAAATACTCACCAAAGTATATATTTCCTTTGGGAGATAGAAAAAATAAAATAAAACAAACAAGATAAAAAAAAAGGAGTAAAAAAAAAAAAAAAAAAAAAAAAATGCAAATATCGCTTCTTTTGTGTTGTTTTTTTCTTCTAATAAATTCCAAAGCGACAAGGAGTCTGCAGGCTAATAACCCTGTCAACAATGATAAGAATAGTAAAGATGCTATTAAGAATGGAAGCCAAATCGATAAAGATAAAAAAAACGACAACAGTGAAGGAATAAATAATAACATCAATAAAGGTAATAATGAAAGAAACATATGTTCATGTGACTTCACGGACAGATTGAATTTCATCCCTGAGGAACAAACTAAAGTTGTGTGCAACCTGAATCCACATCATGGGGAAGAGATAAAAATATGGGTCAATAAAGAATATGAAATAGAGTGTTTCAATAATTCAAAAGTTTATTGCCCTTTGAAAGACCACATTATAAACAATGCAAATATTACTACATATTCACCAAAATTAACGTATGAAATAAAGGATGTAACACATAGAGATAAGGAAGTCAAAGAATATCATTTAATTATTGATAAAGATGCAAGTGATATTTTATTTTATTGTACAATTAAACCTAAACAAGTTTCAAAATTATTAGGAGAAGTTAAAGTAAATTTGAAGAGAGAAGTTAGTGAAGAATATTCTGTAGAAAATGAAAATGGTGCACATGTTTGTGATTTTTCAAGGGGAAATTTAAGTATTGCACCATCAGCTGGATTTTACTATAAGAATTCTAAATCAGTTAGTTGTATTTATTTAGTTGTACCTAATAAACTATTTTTAATAAAATTACCCAAATTGGATATTGTCACAGAACGTTTTTTACCTAGTTTAGTTAACTGTTTGTCCGAATATTCTTCTATTAATTTTAATTTAAAACATGTGGAAGAATCCGAAGATGCAATTTCTTTACATCTATCTTTTGGAGATTTTAAAAAGACTTTCAATTTGTCTTGTTCCTTTGATTTATCAGAATATGCTGTTGAACCTTGTTCCTTTGGCAAGAAGGGAATCGTAACCTTTTACTTCACTGTGTAAAGAGTTAAGAAGTTTACACAAAGAGTTTGGTTAGGGAAAGGAAAAAAAGCAACGATTTAAATTGTTCCAAATCTCAGATATAAAAGTGGATACTAGTTTTTCTTCTCCCCTTTTGTTCCACATTCACGTTATAAAGAAAATGCATACAGTGCACGTTTACCTTACACACACGTATGTGTATGAACATATCCCTGTCAGAACCATATATAATTTTTAACGAATATGAAGACACACACACATGGTAGTATATGTTTTGTTCGCTTTTCCTTGGTATATAAAATAATACATTTTATTGTGTTTTTACAGGCTGAGTGTGTCAACTCGTCTAAGTTGTGAAGACTGCATAAAATGTGAAAACTAAACTAAAAAAAGGGAAAACAAAAAAACTGAACAATTGAGAAGATTTAAAAGTAATATAATGAACTTTTAACAGGAATAAACCTGATGACGTGGTCATTGTTGTCAATCCAAACAGAGGGAAAATAGAACACTTGTGTAAAGATACCTAAAAAATATGAATAAATGTTGCGAATTCGTTTTTTCAACAAATTTCATCAAGTGGAAGAAGCCCATTCAATGGAGAAGAATATGTGGTGGTTCGTGTGTGTCCGTGTATGTTTGTCTGTCTGGAGGGGAGAAGGAGGATATTTCTCATTTTTGTATTTATTTACTATTTGATTATTCAGCTTTAAATGCGTAAGCGTATATTTATTTATGACATATACGTGTATTTCCAGAAAATTTCTCAATACTAATGTATGAATGCTTATGGAGGGAAAGTATACTTAAATATGCATAAAAAATTATCATTATAATAAGTAGCTTTTCATCATTTTGTCTTTAAAAAAAAAAAAAAAAAAAAATGAATCCGTCTTTTTTTATACGTGACGATTTGTGCACATTCGCGAGGTAACATCAAATATCTCCATCTTAGGGAAAAATTTACCTATTTTTTGACAGTAGTCTCTCTAATATTAACTTGGTTAAAATTCGTTTTCATTGTAACTAAAACATACTTCTAACAATGTTCCATATATTTAAATGTGCCAAAATTAGGCAGTTAAAAAAGAGGTGGAAATCAAAAATTAGACAAAATAGGGCTAAAAGAAAGGGAGAAAAGGGGAAAAAAAGAGAAAACCCAACGTGCAAAAATAAGAAATAATAAAAAAAAATAAAAAATATATAAAAATAAGTAAAAATAATAAATTAATTAAACTATATACAAATAGTTTAAAAACAATTTGTACGAAAGAAAATAAAAAAACGAAATGCGCTTCGCACATGCAGCTTCGCTGAGTCGCTGAAGCAAACTCAAAAAGGTACTTGTAAGCTTCTTCATGGGGGACACACACTGTTCTTTCATTGTCTGAACAAAAAAAGAAAAAAATGTTTTTTTTTTTTTTTTTTTTTTCTCTTAGTTTTTTACTCTCATAGTGTTCACTCAAACTAATACATTTTTCTCCATCTTGCCCCCTCCTCCCACCTGTTTGCAATGGTTCATGCAGTTTTATTAGACGAATGATGCCTGACTTACAACATATATATGCAAAGGAAATTTTTCCAAATGAGAAGCTAAAAAGATATTTTTTAAAATGTAGATCGAAAGAAAAGGTTCTGTATTCTTTTACCTCTGATAATGTACTTTATAAAAATGGAGAGAAATACAAAAATGGGAGATTATTAATGGAGAAATGGTCCTATCTCCTATTTTGGCAAAACAACTAAGTAGTACTTTCCTAAAATAAATGCGTTTTGGGAAATTCTTATTTTTTGGTTCATTTTTTCGCTAAATAAAAAATATTCATTTTTGTGTGTTCATAACTAGTGAGAAGGGGAATTCTTCTTCTTTATTAGACTGTTTTGTATTATTTTGTTATTATTTTGTTATTATTTTGTTATTATTTTATTTTATTTTTTTTTTTTTTTCAACTTTCACATCGGTGTTCATGCAAATTGAGTGGTTATTCATTTTCAAGGGAAATTATGTTTTCTCAAAAATTTGTACTAGCCTTTTGGACAAATGTGCTTAACAACATTTTTTACAAAATTTGAATGCACTTGGAATTTTTTTTTTTATTTTTAGGAAGTTACATATGAGGAAAAAAAACACAATGACAATTTGGGTATTTTAAAATGCAAGGTAAAGTGAAAAATGGAGCATGTATGTGCTCAGTGCATGATGAGCACCGATAAGTAACTACCAGCAAAGATACACATAGGCACGTAGTGATAAGCAATGATGAATGAACCATAGAACAAGACATATGTACATTTCGAAAAGAAAAATACACTATTTTTCCTATTATTTCGCTTTTTTCTCCTTCCCCTCACAGTATCATTTTATTTTTTTTTTTTTTTTTTTTTTTTTTTTTTTCCTAACATAGGGTCTATACTTCAAATCAGTGACAAATAGATTCGTCACTTTTTTGTATCTTCTGTATTTGTTCTTTGTACTTTTTAGCAAAGATATTTTGTATATTCTTTTAGAAAAGGTTAAAATGGAAAAAGGGAAATTTCTACCACATTAGAGATGTGTGTGTTTTGCTGAGGCCTCTGTTGTTGACTCGTCCATGTGAGGATTCTTGCACAAGAGAGAACTAACTCTCCGTGTGAAGACACATCAAACATCTGGTTACATATCTTCCATTCATGTGGAACCTCTTCTCAGAAGCATGATGCATTGTCTGATTGTGTAATAGTCGCACTTATCTGCCTTTGTTGTGTCGAGGTTGTAATGGATCTCTTAGCAGAAAGGACCTACACCTGCTATTTTATGTTCTTCGATGTTGTTTCTTTGATATCTTTGTTTTTCGATTTGTTTGTTTGTGAGTATTATCTCTTCGATTTGTTTGATTCCTATATGAAGAGGTTAGTCTTTGGAGTGAATCGAATCGTGTACAAAAAAAAAAAAAAAATAAAATAAATACAAGAAGCGAAGCGAAGAGACGAGAAAAGGAGAGAAAAAAAGAGAAAAGAAGAGAAAAGTAGAGAAAAGGAGAGAATTACATATGAAAGAAAAAATTTAAAACGAGGGTATGACTCTTGGTAAGGCACATCTTATTATCAAGAGTTCTTCTCAAATGTTCTCTTTCATATCGGATACTTAGCACAATATTGTTCATCTACTTATTACCTAATTGGGCAAATTACATTTCAGAAAAAATGGAATAAACGACAATGATAATGAAGACTTTATATACCTACTGCATCTGTTGAAGGCTCTTCGTGTTACTAAAATTTATCGATTAATTATTTGGTTCATTGGGAGACATACTAAGGAGAAGTACAAGCATAGGAATGAATGGAACGTAATGTCATTTGCATGATGAAAGAAATGATTCACAAATCTGTGTGCGTAGGAATAGGTGTGCTTTGTCTGCCTATGCATGTTACGAAATGTTGGTGTCTAAATAATAACCTTTTTCATTTCCCTTTTCATATCTCTACAAATCTAATATGTTCCAAAGTTTGAAAAAATGGAGAGCATGCAAAATAGAACTAATTTGAAGGTTAAACATAAAAATAAAAAAAGAAAAAAAAATGAGACGCATTTTGGTGAATATGCAAAGTAGCATGTGCAGAATTAAAACTGCATGAACGTGTGCACGTAAATGTGTACACGTAAATGTGTACATTCAAATGTGTACATATAAATGTGTACATATAAATGTGTATATATAAATGTGTACATATAAATGTGTACATATAAATATGTACATTCAAATGTGTACATTCAAATGTGTACATACAAATGTTTCCAATTCATTTCAGGAGAGCTTAAAATTTACAAATAAAATGCACTTGGCCCTGATAAAAAGATATTTTATGTCCTTATTTTTTGTTATGATATCCTTTATATTTATCGAAACGGTAAAATTTGGTAAAGAGATTTGCATCTGTGTTAACAGTATCATTCTGAAACGATACAAGAACTTATTTTCCATACACTAATACCACCATTTAACAGATGTCAATTCCCAAAGTGAAAAAGAACTCCATGGAATACTTCATCTATAACCTGGATCTGTTAATAAAAAAAAAATAAAACAAAATAAAATAACATCATGAAGATATCGAAAAAAAGGGAGGGGGAAATGCTGATTCGATGTTATTCGAAACTTAAGTTTTCAGATTTCTACACATTCATATATACAACTGCCTTTGTTTTATCCTTAGAATTTCTTTAGAAGATTATTACGAATCTGAATTCTTGAAGGCTATATATTTTTACAGCGTACAGAAAAAAAAAAAAAAAAAGAAAATGATGTAGTTAGTTAGTTCACAAGTAAATGTATATTTTAACCTATAGATCATCAGTTTGCATAAACATGTGTAAGTGAAAGCAAAAGATGCATCTTTTACAATCAATGGTTTTACTAGGTGATACAAAAGAAAAAGGGATCTGACGAATATTTAGTTAGCTTTAAATCAAAGAGAAAATTACAAAATTTTATTAACAAAAAGGAATTAGATACGGGGTCTCAAAAGAGGACACTGTGGAATTTCACTCATTTTTCATACGTAAGGATCTACTGGACGAGGAAATTTGGAAATGAGAAAAGTCTCTAAAGAGTGAATGAGAGTAATGGGGAATATATCTGGGTAATAAATATAGTCTAAAACCACCACACATAAACATCGTTCCCTTGTTTCCATAAATTAATGCAGAATGAGCTCATGAAATTTATAAGTATGAACACCCCGGATATGGAACAAAATGATGAAGAAGAAATAATTCTAAATGGCACAATTAAGGACTTTAGTAAAAACTTGAAAAAAAAAAAAAACATTATACCTTCTTGATACATAGATGTGCATAGAAATTGGTGCGTGGATATACCCCAATATATGTTTTTATGCATGTGTTATGCTTGTTTATGCATGTGTTATGTTTGTTTATGCATGTTTATGCTTGTTTATGCTTGTTTATGCTTACTTATACGTGTTTATATATATGTGCATGTACATACATATATGCATACAGCATATGGGGTAAATGTCATGAAAATCTCCGTGTCGATTTCACTTTTCGATAAGACGCTCTGAGGATATACGAAACGAAAATTTACAAGTCTGACGAATTTACCTTTTACTTAAACATTAAGAAAAATATAAAGAAGAAGATAAAAAATGTTGTTCTCTTAAAAATTTTCATCATTGTGGTATGATCCTCCAAAATGCAGAATTAGATATCCAAAATGCACCTATGCTACTCCCCTCAAAATGGATTGACACTTTCCATATTTTTTCCCTTTTACACATTCTGATCTTACAGTTTTCCTTTATTATATTATTTTACTTTACCTCTGAACTGAACATCTTACTGTTCCCAATCGAAAGTATATTGAAAAAGCTTAAGCTTATGAAGTAGGTTGCATATCACGAGTAGGAGAGTTTTTTGCCATATGAGGGTGTCAGGAATGATATATGTGTATGTATATATATATATATGGGCAAAATTTGTGTTTATCTGAATACATATGTATTGTGTTATATGGTTTCTACTTAATGGCGACTACCCATATGAGACATTTCGTTATATCAGTGTATGCAAACGTGTGTCTACATGTACACACACAAATACATACACAAACAAATACATACGCAAACAAATAAATACATACATACGCACACATACGAGTCCTACTTAAATCGTATTTACTTACACTTTTGTTTTCTTCCATGTGGGAATGCAGATCCGATCCAACATTGGCACTTGAAATGCAGGAAGAACTTCTTAACCATGAATTGGACAATTTACTAAGGAATATAAAAATGAAGAAGTAAAAAATAAAATAAAATAAAAAAAATAAAATTTTTTTTTGTAATGTATATGAGGACTTGTGTTCATGTATATTCTCATTTGTATAGTTAACATTTATGAAACCCATCCATACATGAATACTTATTTGAAAATGTAGAAAAAGCATAAAGCAGAATTACGAAATTTTGAAGATGGAAGAAAATTTAATGAAACTAGGAACCCTGATGTTGTTAGGTATATTGAGATTTTAATTTAGGTCATATGTCTATCTTGTGAAAATATTTCAACCAATACGTACCTATTCTTACGGGTGCTAATTTGTGTTATCAGACGCTAGGAAGAGGATAAAATATGAAAAAAAAAAAAAAAAAAAAAAAAAAAAAAAAAAAAAAAAAGTTTTCATGTGAACAGACATGACTACAATAACAGCGATAACAATATATATGTACATTTTCGCTTATCTCTCTAAGTAATATTTTCTTTTTCTTTTTTTTTTTTTTTTCCTCTCTCTCGCTGATTCTCTCTTTTCTTCACCTTTTTCAGGTTTTGGTGAAGCAGGGGCCAAAGTAATTTCTAAAAATATTAACACGCAAGAGAGAATAAATTTGTTAATAAATGGGGAAGTTGTTTATTCTGTATTTTCATTTTGTGATATAAGAAATTTTACCGAATTAACAGAGATATTGAAAGAAAAGGTTAGTTGTGTTTGTTTCATTATTTTACACTTCTTATGCCTGTCTTCCTTCCTCCAGGTGTTCATATGATTTATGCATGTATATATATGCCTCATTGTCACATTTTTCTATTTTGTACATAACTATGCGATCAATCATATATATATACATAGAACATACATGCATGCGTGCGCTTGTTCATTGAACAATTTTATCAAACAATGACTTATCAGATCATGATATTTATAAATCTAGTGGCAGAAATAATTCACGATTGTTGTGATTTTTACGGGGGATCGATAAATAAGAACATTGGAGATGCATTTTTACTTGTTTGGAAATGTAAGAAAAAAGATTTTTCAAATAAAAAGATAAATTTGTTAAAGTCAAAGTATCACATGCCCGATAATGGAAATGGGGAAGATATATCAGAAAAGGCATGTATAAACAGGATTTGTGACTTGGCATTTTTATCTACTGTGAAAACGTTGATCAGATTATACGAGGTAAAAAAGTGAGAAAAAAGTGATAAGTTTTACTTGTGTTGATATGCATATGCTAGAACATATTATAAGTTGTATTAAGAAGACAAATACCTATATGGGTGATTTTACATATTGATGTAAATGTCTACTTTTCCAAATAATAGTCAGAAAAAATCCGATCATTTTTGAAAAGTGAAAAAATAAATGAACTAGTCAGTAATAATAGGATCGAATTAAGTTTTGGATTGCATTTTGGCTGGGCCATCGAAGGGGCAATTGGAAGCAGCTATAAAATAGACCTTTCCTATTTGTCTGAGAATGTGAACATAGCTAGTAGATTACAAGATATTTCCAAAATTTACAAAAAGAATATTGTTATATCTGGAGAATTTTATGAAAATATGTCTGAAGGTTTTAAGGTTAGCAATATTGTTCGCACGCCTAATGATTTTGTTTTCTTTTCATTTCCTCGCACATCATCACTTTATTGTTAAATTACGTAATTCGTTGGGGTGTATCCATTGTTTCTTTACATTATAGAGGGTATAGAGCTCCGCCCCTAACTTAATTTGCTACACCTTCAAATTTACATATTCCATATGACATTTTGCGTGCCTCCCTTGGGATTGTGCTTTGCTTATTCTTATGATTGTGCTTATTCTTATGATTGTGCTTATTCTTATGCTTGTGCTTATTCTTATGCTTGTGCTTATTCTTATGCTTGTGCTTATTCTTATGCTTGTACTTATCCTTTTTTTTTTTTTTTATTTCTTCTCCTAAATAGAAGTCATTACGGAAAATAGATCGAGTTGCATTGAAGGGATGCAGGAACCCATTGAATTTGTACACATTTGATATGTGTCTAGATAATGTAAAAGAGAGGAAAAGAGGGGGGAGATTCATTGACCATATTCGTGCGCGTTATACACTTGTGTGACTATTGGAAGAGGCAGAAATATAACCCAAAATGGACGGAAAAATAAATAAATAAATGAGTAAATAAATTAGTAAACAAATAAGCAAATTAATAAGCAAATTAATAAGCAAATAATAAACAAACAAATAAGTAAATCTTTTTAACTTATCTTCTTAGATTCCGACGAAAAAAAAAGAAGAAAAATTTGATGCAACCCGAAATGTTGACATAAAAATGATGAAGGTGTTGTAGATATGTTGAGTAGATAAATTGCTTCCCCGTTTTTGAGGGAAAACACAAAAATGTAAAAAAAAAAAAAAAAAAAAAATATAATAAAAAAAAAAAAGAAAAACAAAGAAATTAAATTTGTCTTTTTTTTTTTTTTTTTAGATTCTGGGTGATATAAAGCAAAAAACAGAAAGACGTCGTAGGAAAAGGGAAGTGTTGAATCTGGCCTACGATGTAAATAAGCATTTCCCCTGAGGGGATGTACCCCCACTTAACATATGTATCTATGTGTGTATTATATAAATATATATATATATGAATACATATAAATATACATATATATGCACATGTGAATATAGATTCATATGATTTCTCGTCGCATATAGTATTATTCACTCGGCAAGCACCAACAGAACTCTGCACAAACGCGAAATTTTTTTTTACAGTTATACGAAGAATATACAAAAGACAAAGACATAAAAATAATTCAAGTGAATTTTCCTGTTGAGTATTTGAATCTATTTGAAAAAGCCTTGGGGTTATATTTAAATGGGGACTGGGATGAGTCACACCGCATGTTAGTTTATTTAAAAGAGAACTTTTCTGAAAATGATGATATCGTGTGTCAGTTGATGAATTTTTTAAATGGGGAAAATTTTACTGCACCCAGTGATTGGTGTGGATACCGGCGTTTTTTGCAAAAATCGTAGGATTTGCAGAAGAATATGCAATACAGAATTATGATGAATTTTTTTTTTTTTTTTTTTTTTTTTTGTGGGAGGTTAATTGAAATAGTTACGGGCGAAAACAGGAAGCTTCTCCGTTTCGCTAAAATAAAAGTTTAAAAAAAAAAAAAGAAGTAATAATAATGATAAAATTAAATAATAAACAAATGAGTAAAAATGAGACAAATGAAAAAGTTTACACAAAATTTAAAGGAAGAAATGTTTGCTGATTTACGGTATGCCCAATATGGCAAATAATATTATTAAAAAAAAAACACTTCAAAAAAAAAAAGCGGAATGGAGATGAATATGTATCACAATTGCAACTTGCCGCAAGTGGGTTAACACAGAGTAAAAATTTTAAAAGGAGAAAAAAAAAAAAAAAACACACACACATTTGTTTTTCCTCTCGACCCATATATGCCTGTTCCCCTCTCTACTTCTTCCCATCTCTGCAGCTTCCCCTCTCTGATGAATCAACTAAGGGAGTTCAAACTCTCGACGTACTTGTAAGCCTTTTGCTGAACCATCTTCTGACTAGCAACAGTGCCATGATTTTTTTCGAATACAAGCCATTTGGTAAAAATCATTTTCATAACTCTTGTTTTAAATTTGAACGAAATAAACCGTTCGAATATGTTCCTGACAAATTGCAGTTCATTTGTATTTAATTTTTTTTTTTTTGTTGTTGTGTCGTTTTTGGTTAAAGAATTAATATGAATGTCTAAGTAAGTAAACCAAACATCCGATCTTTTGGGGTATTCTTGAATTAATTTTTCAAAATAACTTTTTCCTCTTTCCTTATTAGAATATTTATATTCAAATCTAGCTGCATTTATGATCATACTTAAATGTTTTTTTTTTGCTAGAGAATGTAAAGATTTTAATAAAATTTCATGTGCATATTTTTCATCATTAAAAGTGCTATGTATAATTTCTAAATAATGAGACCATATTTTTTTAGAATAACGGAATTTTTTAATTGATTCTTCACATAATTCTTTTAATTCATTGAACTTTTTATTTATTTTTAACACATTTGTTGTATGTATGTAAACACTTTTTTCATTACAGCAAAGTAAGGCTCTTTTGAATATATCTCTTAACTTATTTCCATATATACATTCCATATTTATGTAACAAAAAAATATATTTCGTTTCTCTTCTACTTTATGTATATCTATATTTTTCAACGCTCTTTCTGCTATTTTTCTCGCATCTTCCAAATTTCCCTTTTCTATATAATACGCTATATAGCTAATCCAGATAGCGCTATTGTTTTTTTCTGACATTAGTAGTTTTTCGTAATCAGAAGGGGTAATCTGGTCATTTTTTCTGTCGAGGGCGGTTCCTCTTTGAGGTCGATTTGTTGCATATGGTTGATCTTTTGTTTGTTCATCTTCTTTTCTTATTTTCTTATATTTCTTATCTTTCTTATCTTTCTTATTTGTTTCATTTTCTTCCTCCGAGGGGTGATCTACCTCGACATCATTCTCCTCATCAATTACGTCCTCTTCCACCTCGTCGTCTTCACTGCTAGAAGAAATATCAGTTTGATATTCCAACTCCCTCTCCCCCCCTTTTTTGCTGCTACCTTTCGTTTTGCTTTTCTTTATCTGGGCATATAAACTCAGTTGGTTTCCTTTGTCTAGGAATTTTGTCATCGCTTTTCCTTCTTCCATTTTTTTCCTCTTCCTTTTTAATTTTCTGGTTTCATCAATTGTGCTTTTTGGGGAATCTTCCATGGAGTAGGATATTTCGTCCATCTTCTTGGTTGTTTGGTTAATTTGCCTAACCGTTACTTCATCCTTTACTCCACCATCCATTGTAGTGGATGCAACTTCTGGATCCATCATTGGATTGATTTAACCTGTTCTTCTTATTACGTAGATAAAATTAATAGAACGTTTTTAGGCATATGCGTACATTTGAATGGCTTAATTTTTTGTGTACTTCAACAAGTGTTGAGGCTCTGTCATTTTCCCCTTATAATTATATTGAGACCTTTAGTTAGTTTTCGTTCGCTTGGTTGAGTTTTTTTTTTTTTTTTTTTTTTTTATTTTTTATTTTTTTTTTTTTTTTTTTTTTTTTTTTTTTTTTTTTTTTTTTTTTTTTTTTTTTTTTTTTTTTTTTTTTTTTTTTTTTTTTTTTTTTTTTTTTTTTTTTTTTTTTTTTTTGTTCCTTGACATTATTGATTATTATCAAAATGGCTTTTCTAATATAAGCAAATTTTTTTTTATTATAAAAAAGAGTCGTGTTGAGTCAATACAGAAGGGAAGATTGGAGCGGAAATATTCAAATTAGTTCCCTCTCCAGGATATGTATGTATATGTATGTAATATATATGTAAAAAATTAGGTGTATAAATATTATACCCTTGCTCAGGGCGACATTCCGCCCCTAAGGGTACTTCATTAAGGGGAGGAAAAAAAAAAAAAAAAAAAAAAAAAAAAAAAAAATTAAAAATCAATCAAAATACAAAAAAAAAAAATGTCAGTAAAAAAGCAAAAGTAGTGTGCTATTATTACTATTATCTGAAACGAAACTACATGCTTAGTTACATACATGTACTTAAATAGTTACATTTTTATGGTATAGATATTTTTTTTTTTTTTTTTTTTTCATTAATAACATTTAGAACGAAAAGTAAAGCTAATTTTTTTATTTTTTCTTTCCCACCATTTGGATTGTCAACTTGTCTCAAGGTAACTTTATATCATTTGAAATCATTGCGTATAAAATTCAAGCCATATATATTTATACATCTCCATTTGGGAGTGGAACAATATATTCCACACGCACTCTCATTTCTTAAATACTTTTAAACTATAAATTTGGAAAATTTCCTGCATTATTATGTAAGCCCCTTCTTTTCTTTATAAATTCATACAGAAAATATAATGCCATTAATTAACTATTCGTACGAATATATATATATATATATATAAAACAGCAGTTTACTGTTGAGTTTCATAAATAAATAGGCAGAAAATTTTATGTATACTGCATACCTTGGACGTTCATATAAAAATGAGTTACAATTTTCTGGATGCCCATTTTACAAAAAAAAAAAAAAAAAAAAAAAAAAGTTCTACCTATCAGATAGTACAACTGATAAGTTATTTATACAAACTAAAAACAGATTTGAATTATATATTCATATTTTTAAAAAGAAAAAGAATGTGTAAGTGCTGTGAAAATTTTAAATTGTTCACCCTGAATTGGGATAAAAAAAAAAACTCCATGTATTGGGGAAAAAAAGAGGATGAGGAAAATTCCCCCACATATGATTGGCGTTATAAAATTTTACTTAACCATAGTAGAAAACTGATTTTACGAGGATGTAATTAAAGGATATTTGTAATGCATCTCGTTTTGCAGTTGCATTTTAATTCATTCCATTGTGATATATATATATATATATTTTTATTATTCTTCTTCTTTTTGAAACAATTTTGACTTGTACTGATTAAATTGTCTCATTTGATCATTAAGTACTTTTTTTTGGGAAATATATTTTATATTGTTAACTCTAAATAAATTATTTTGCGTTCTAAAAACACATGGAATGGCCACTTTAGCTGCTGCTTTTTTTAAAACTTTATAAACGGGGTCCTCAAATCCTAAGGTATTAAATGGGCTGATGGAAGGAATGTGGAAAATAGTTTTTCCAGTTGGTACTCTAGCAACAAAATAGTCAATAATTCCTTTCCCTTGTCCCATTTTTGTTCCATCTGGTTTTTTGGTTACACTATAAGTAGCATGAACATCAACAAAATATTCTTTTTTCTTCCCTAAGTATTTACGTATAATTTGTCTCATTTCTGCTAATTTTTCAGCTCTTATTCTTTTGGGGCAAGCAGCTATAAGTGATTTTCCTATTTTTATATCAGGACCATTCAGTGGCGTTATTCTTCCTTTTGGAGCTTTTAATCGAACAGGTTGGGGACTTTTGTAAATTATGGGCGGCATCTTGTTTTGTAATTATGCAAACAGAAAAAAAACGAGGCGATGTATGTATATGTGCGTAGGGGGAGAGGGGGAATTTTGTTTATTATACATTCGAAAAGATGAAAAGAAGTTCCCTCTTTTGGTATAAAATATCCTCTTGAAAGGAGAGATCTACAAAGATATTGTAAATATGTCTGATGCCCATCTTGTGCTCATATATTTGTATTGGCATGTATATATAGCAAATATATGTATCTCTGTACGTCTTGGAACATTCTATTCCAACCTTCTTTGTTCTGAATATTCACTAACAGAATCATTCTTCTTTTTTTTACATAATTGTCATAGTTCAATTGTTATGTAATATAATGGATCCTCCTTAGGTGAAAATGAAGAAAAAAAAAAAAAAAAACATACATTTCATATTATTTACAAAAATGTACACTTCATTCGTGTCGGTTGTTTATAAATTTTTAATTAATCCTTTTTTCCTTATGTTAACTTATTTAAGAGGGTTAAACTACTGAAAATATCCCATACGTATTTTCAGTCTTTCCACCCTTAGGCTGATCACTGATGATGCAAATTATGTGGGAAGGGAAATGGAAAAAACAATTAGCCTTTTTTCTTCTAATTTTTTTTATTTACCACATTAGTCATCAAAATGTTTAACCGGTGCAATGAGTGCACCGCTTTACCTTTTTTCCCCTCAGGTTATTTTCCTTTTGTGGGCCAAAATGTTATGATATAAGGAAAATTTTTTATGTAGCACTAAACGGCTTCTGTTTCAAAGGAATTTGACCATTCTGATGTATTTTTTTTTAGTAGCTTCTACATGTAAGTTTATTGTACGCATATATGAGTTACTTTTTTTTTTTTTTTTTTTTTTTTTTTTTTTTTAAAGTATGTGTGCTAATAACCAGCTGAAGTAATGAAACTTGTGGGAAGGTATCATTGTATCATTACATTTTTTTTACAGACCTGAACAATCGCACCACAAATAGATCTATACTTAGGCTCAGATGAGGAAATAATTTCACCACACATTCACACATACACTCAGGTACAAGGTACACATCACAGAATTTCTAATGATACGATGTCAATTGAGTTTTTTTTTTTTTTTCTTTCTTTTGTGACATGCTTTTATGAAGATATAAATCTTTATGTGTTGATGTAGGCAGAAAAGAAGATAAAAACTGTACTTTTTTTTTTTTTTTTTTTTTTTTTGGTAAAAAAGAAATATATGTAATAGGATGTGTTTAAAAATAATGTTAATTAAGAAGTGTCAACATGGAAAGAAATGGACGGAGGTAAAACAAATGATAACAGTTGAAAGTACGACAACTTTAAAGCAAGCATTCTAGAAAATATTGATGCAAAATTTTATCCAATAAGTTACATTATAATTAAAAAAAGAAAAAAGAAATTAAATATAGAAAAATAAAAAAGGCATATATAGTAAGGTTATATATGAAGGTAATACACAACTGTACCCTTTTGGCATAAACGGACAATGCAGAAAATTTTCATAAAACATGTAAATTACGTCAAGTTTTATTTTATCATTTTAATTAACAGAAACAGGAGCAGCTGCATTCCTCTGTTTGAATCCCTGTGACACTTTTGCAGGAAGAAAAACATTCGAGTATTTTATCATCATCTGTATTAGCTACTGATGTTGTTCTTTCTTCTCGATTGATTCCTTTTGGGGGAAAAATTTCTGTATGTTTATCAATTTTGGCACGTTTAGTACTTAAAGCGATAGATGATCTTGGGTCAGTATATGTTCCATTCGTATGTTCACGATCTCTGTGAAGTTTAGGCCCCTTACTTGCATTCCTGTATTTCATCGAAAAACCTGTTTTGTTCTTACAGCTGCATTCACACTCACAAAAATTATCGGGTAAACATTTTATACATTCCTTTTCCGTTCTTTTTGGGGAAAATATGTCAGCAGCTGAATAATTTGGGGATCGTTGGTGATTATGTGAGGTTATCCCAGAGTTTCTTCCTTTTGCATATGCCAATGCGAGGAGCAGAGGAATTAGCAGAATTAAAGACTTCCTCATTTTAGTAATGTGTAAATAGATATATATTATAAATAGGTATATATTATAAATAGGTATATATTGTAAATAGATATATATTATAAATAGGTATATATTATAAATAGGTATATATTGTAAATAGGTATATATTGTAAATAGGTATATATTGTAAATAGGTATATGTAGTAAATAGGTATATGTGGTAAATAGGTATGTATGCGTTTGTTTCTATGTAAATGTAAGAATATTAAGTAATTTGGGAATGGAAAAAGAATTGCTTAATAACGAAAAAAAATTGGAATTTAAGTGTAGGTCTTGAATTTTTCTAAGGAATGAATATAGTTACAACAAAAAATGGGAAAACATTAAAAATTAAAACCAATTACAAAATAAAAGAAAAAATAACAGAAAATATCAAAAATAAAAACAATTAAACTGGATGGAAAATGAAATTTGAGAGAGACAAACGAGGACGCTAACAATGATGAAATTCTTAAATTGTCCATTCCTTGGAAAGCTGCCTTTTTTTTTTTTTTTTTTCTTGCAAATAGCTACATTTTTTCTAAAAAATAGCTACTTGTTTTTTTTTTTTTTTTTTTTTTTTTTCATAAATAGCTAGCTAAATAAAATTTTCCTTTTTGCAACATTTCACATTAGTTACATTACTGGTTCATATATTTTCAGTGACCTTTTCAGTGCTTTAATCTAATATTAAAGAGTTTTGTTCAATAAAGAATAATTCTGAGTATTCAGCTGTGTGAGAAAAAATATAAATATATACACATGTGGACATATACACAATGTTGTGGTTTTCACCTTTTTGGACAAATGAATAAAAAATGAAGAGGTATATTCCCCTTTTGCATGAGTTAAAGGTAGCTAGGGAAATAACCCCTCTAATGTTTTTTTGTTAATTTGGCGCATTTTAATCAGTACTGAATGTGATATAACTTAATACATACAAGAATAGAGAGAAATTTTTTACACATGGAAATTATTTTTTTTATTTGTCGGGAAATATACATGCAACAGTATGTTTAAAATTAAAATTGATGTTGTGAAGAACTGTTAAGAGTTGCATACTTTTGATTAGGACTGAATTAGCAAATTTTTTTTGGGGTATCTATATAATTATTTGGTTAAATAAATCGTTATGAATAGAATTTTTTTTTTTTTCTTTTCATTTTGCAAGAGTAAAATTACCTCTTCTGATGATATGTGTCTTTAAATGTTATTTCATTTTGTTGAAACTTCTAATTTATGCTACCTCTCAGTCTATGCAGATGATAAGTTTTTTATTTATATTAGCATGAGAAAACGAAATCAAGAATGTTCACTATGTTAATATAAGTAAACAGGACAGAAAACTTGAATACATGACGAACAATAAATGTGTATAGAAATATATGTGTGTGCATTGTGAATATTTCCCACGCCGCACACAATTTAGCATATTATAAGAAGAAATCTGTTTCATTTATTTTAACAGGAAGTATTCTTGTATGTACATTGTGCATATACATGTACATTTATGTGCGCACATATAATACTTTGTAAAATAATGAGTTACAAAAAAGTGGCACAATTGTAAAATGGAGTCAAAATTCTGGAACAGCCTTTTGCAGATAAAATATATATACTAACTCTCTTACACAAATGTAGCACCTATATATACATAAGCATGTACATATACAATGCTTCTTTTCAGGTCTGTTTTCGCCTATTTTGTTTTTACGTTTACAATATTCAAATGTTCGAAATATGATATAAATCCTTTTCATAGCATAATTTTACAAGTGTTCCTATTTTTCATCAGCAGCAACACATGTAATTTTTCTTTTTAGCCTTTTTAATTATGGGCTCCAAGTATTGAAGGATATGGTCTTTCATAAAGTAGTATGGGTGAAACTTAATGGAAAAATTAAGTGAAAAAAATATAAAAATGGAGAGAAAAGGATAAAGTAGGTAAATATGGTGAACAACTTAAAAAATGTAAAGTGATGTGTACGAGTGTGCGGCTCTTTTATCTACATGCTTCACAATTGTAGTGGTATGAAACATTCTGTGTAATTTTACCGTTGGTGCCGAGAGTAAACATTCGTTAAAGATAAAATTACACGGAATTTGCGAACTGTTCAATTCATTTGATGCATCATTTGAGTTTTCACAGTAAGAATCTACTTCATTTTGTTCATTTAACTCATAAGTTGACTTTTCATTATATTGATTAGTTTTCGTTTTGTCGTCACAACTCTCTAATTCGCCTTTATCATTCTCATTATCTGACTTAATTTCATTACTCTCCTTTTCTAATTTAACTCCATAACTTTCATTATCTGATTTCACTTCATCACTTTCATTCACTGACTTTGCTTCATTGCTTCCATTTACTGACTTTGCTTGGTTATTTTCATTTTCTGATTTTGCTTCATCGCTTTCATTTAATGCTTCAACTCCATTAAAATTTTCGTAAGCACTATCATCCATTTTTTCAATTTATAGTTTTATATATTGTATATCATCAACCTTTTTTTTTTTGTTTTTTAGAATACTATTAATATGATATACAGTTGTTCTTAAGGCTTGTATATATTTCTATTACGTTCCTGCTTATTTATTTTTTTTTTTTTTTCCTTAGCATAAAATAAAAAAAAAAATTAGGGAATGTTTTTTCTGCTTTTTTAACATATGTCTACACATATAACGTTTTAAATAAATGTCCCTGTAAGAGCATTTTTTTTTTTTTTTTTTTTTATTTGTTTCGCATGTTTAATTATAACTTTTTATTGTCTCTTTTTGTGTATTCTGCACTTTATGCACATTTTTCTGATGTTCTGAAAGTATTTTTTCATGTCTTTTTATATTCTAGGCGAATGGATATCACGTAGTATGTGTGTTGAAATAATAAAAAGGCATATATACACAATAATTTAAAAATTTTCCATTTCTAAATTATTTTGTATAAAAAGAAATGAGTAAAAGTGGCGTTTCTTTAGCCATATAATTCATTCCGTAATTTTTAACGTGCTTCTATGTCTTATCAAGAATGTGTTGCAGAGTGAAAGGGGTCAAAAAATGTTTTTAATGGATGTTGAAATTTATCAATGTTGAATGAACTGTGAGGGTTAATATTTGCTTTTTTAGGATTATTTCATTTATAAGAAGGTTTACAGATTAAATTTTGAAAAAAGAGCATTTTTAGAAAGGAGACCTACTAAAAAAGTTTAATGCCATCATAACTGTATTTTCAAATACATTTTCGTTATATGTCTTTGGATATGTATATATAAATATGTATATTTATTTATCATGTATTTTATTTTGTCTATTACAGTTGCTGTTTCGTTTGATGAGCGGGTATGATTTAGCATTTGGCAAATTGCCATTTTGTAGCAGAAAGGCTGATAAGTAGTTACTTTATTATTATTTCATTATCAGAGTTTTACTGTTTTTATGAGTAATGAAATTATTATTTTAAATTATATTACATGTAAACATGTAGAATGATATATGACCCACTTTCGTAACAAGGCTTTTGGTTGGGTTTAACTGTTTGAATGTTTAATTTTTTTTTTTTTTTTCTCCAACTATGTCATTTATGCTAAAGTGGACTTAATTAGGACAAACATAGGGATTCAAATAAACCTGGGTAAACAAAACGTCAATAAAAATAAAATTTCTTGTTCATTGTCCATTTTAAAATTTATATTTAAATTAGTGATAAATATTCCACACATTGTGGTATCCCATTAAATCGGAACTATGTAACCTATGGGTGCATTTTTCAAATGGTCCTACTTTTCCTCTACTTTTAAATGTAAATGTATGAAATGTAAAAATGTCCAAGGGGACAAAAATAGTTGCCTATTTTTTATGCTATTATAAAGCAAAAAAAAAAAAAAAAAAAAAAATTCGGAAGTACATAAACTTCACTTGTTTTGTAATTTTTTTTTTTTTTTTCATTTAAAACCCTACAAAGAGGACACCGGTTGGGATATGATTCTTGTGCCCGTTGTGTAGAAGTGCTTGGATACAAGTATATAAATACATAAACATATAAATGTGCAAATACATAGATATTTATGTTGTTATCCTAGATTTACTTGCGTATAAACACATTGTGCATCCATTCATATCCTTATGAAAGGGATGAGGTTGTTCTTTTAAATGCTAAAACTCGTAGTTATTGCTTGCGTAAATTAGGGTATGAGAGGAATGTAACTTTTACCCTATGGGAAATTTACGTTAAATGAAACAAAAAAGTTCACACAATCTTAAAAATTTGTTCAGAAAAAAATATTCACAACGCCCTTTACATACAACATTCGCAATTCCAACATATGAAGATCTGCAATCATTGCAGGTTTTTTTTTTTTTTTTTTTTTATTGCTAAAAATAAAAGTATATATGTGCGACAGGTTTAAAAAAAAAAATAAAGAAACAATTTTTGGGCTTTTGGAAAGATTGATTATTTAATTAATTTTTAAAATAAAAATATTCCCTTATCCAATATAGAGATCAATTTGAAAAATTAAAAGCATTTTTACAATTTTTGCATTTCAAGCTTTTAATAACTCTATGCACATATAAGCACGTACACATGTACATAAAATGTTACATCTTCTACAAGTATAACAAAAACGTAAGAAAGAAAACTATAACAAAAATATACAATTAAAAACACATGTATTGAACAAAACAGGTAGGCACAAGTTAAAAAGGGAACAATAAAAAAAAAAAAATAAAATAAATAAATAAAAAAGAAAGAGCAAGGAAATGCAAAACAGTGAAGAAAAAATATTTCGAATTTAAAACGAAATTTTTGTTTAAATAATCAACACATTTTTGCTATAACCAAGATTTACATGTATAAAACATTTTTGATATTTTAAGTAGTTTTATTATGATTTCCCTTTTTTTTTCTTTTTTTCTCTTTTTCTTTACCAGATTATTTTTGAATAGTTTTTCAATATTCATCATTACACTCACAGAAGAAGTATCCAAGACTTCCACATATACGTTTTAACCTTGCAGTAGATTTGTTTTTAAATAAAAAAAGTTTTTTCATTTTGAAACAAATAGTACAATGTCCCAGATAAGACCAGAACCAAAAATAGATGTGCCTGAAGGAGATTACAAAAAAGGAGCCAAGCTTTTTAAAGCAAAATGTGCTCAATGTCATACGATTAATAAAGGTAAGAACACATATAGTGAAGGTGGTTGTATGCATCTGTTTTAGAGAACGTATTATTTTCATGTATGTGTACTGACTCTTATACGTATACGAATTTGTGTGAGTTTTAGTATGTGTATGCATATGAAAAAAAAATATATTTGTGTTCCTATGAGGAATGTATATATATATATCCAACTGAATTTATATAGTATAGACATGTTTCTACTTCTCCCTCCTCATCCTATGCTTAAAAAGGTGGAGCCGTTAAACAAGGTCCAAATTTACATGGATTTTATGGAAGAAAATCTGGAGAGTCTGATTTCCCATTTTCTGATGCAAATAAGAATTCAGGTATTATTTGGTCAGATAAGCATTTATACGAATATTTACTGAACCCGAAGTTATACATCCCTGGAACGAAAATGATTTTTGCGGGTATCAAGAAGGAAAAGGAAAGGGCAGATTTGATTGAATATTTAAAGAAGGCTTCGTCAGAGTGAGATGTAGAAGTGGAAAAATGGAAGAGTGGAAAATAAGTTAAAATAACACACATTCGATAAACTAAAGTGCACGTACATTCTGTTACAATTTTCTTCTTGATAAAATGGCCAATCTGTATATGTGCAGCATTATGAAGAGTATAACAATAATTTGTGTGGTTCATTTTTATCAGTAAAAAATGTAATCCTTATGACGCATCATTTTGTGTTTTTTGTGTATGTGTATGTATATGTGTGTTTTTTTTTTTTTTTTTTTTTTTTTTTTTTTTTTTTTTTTTTTTTTTTTTTTTTTTTTTTTTTTTTTTTTTTTTTGCGAAAGTACTCTGTTCATAAGCCACGTAATGAAATGAAAAATGAAAGATAAAACAGACTGAAACAGAAAGGAGAGAAACGAGGAAAAATAAGAAAAGGAAAAAAGAGACAGATAGGTATAGTGATGATTTTATAAATGGAAAAGAATAATTGGAAGGTAATATCGTCCAATTACTCCTCCCAAAAGTACAATTCACCATGTAATAGAATAAACACAAGGGAAAATGTACACATAATATATAACATATATGCTTATCTGTTTCATGTATTTATAACTGCTTTTTGTTCGATGCATATAAATTCCATTTTCATGATGGACATATTTTTTTTGATAAAATATATTTGTTACGTATGTACATTCGTATAGTGCATATAAATTTAAAAGTATGCTAATCCCCTGTTGCTTTAAAATACCAAAGTAGGATATACGTTGTTTCCACTTGTTTAATTAACATAATTTTTTTCCTTTTTTTTTTTAAAAAAAAAAATGTTTAAAAAAGTTATAGCATATTAGAATGGCTAAACAAACTGGAAAAATGTTTGGGAATGCAAAGATGAGTATAAGCAATATGTGTACAAAATAAAATAAAAAAAAATAAAATAAAAATAAATAAAATGGGAAAAAAAAGAATATTCCATGTTGGAAAAGAGGCTTAATAAGAATTTTTGGACATCTATTAACCTGATTCCCAAGTACACATCATGTTGACATGACTATATGGTCAAAGTGAAGAATATTTGTTTAAAACAAGTTAAAAAGGTATATGCATAAAGGGGGGTGAAGGGAAGCTTATATAACAGTGTTAAGATAAAAGTATAAATAGAGATTAATGAAGAAACATACAAGTGATGCATGGATGCATGGATGCATGGACTCTTTGTGTAGCTAAATCTTTAAGGAAACTTAAACAATTTTATGTTATCCTGGGTCTACAATTTCTCGAATTATATGTTCTCTCATTAGGGAGTATCAAAATTTGTAATATGAACTTTCTTGAGTAAATTTAACATATCCTCAATTTTATTTTCATCACACCTAAAAAGGGATGGAAAAAAATAAAAAAAATAACGGAGAAAAAAAAATGTACACTTGGTATTATAAAAAATGAAGTTAAATAACAAAGTGGTGAATTAAAAATGAAAATTCGGGAAGTATTATAAGCCATGAACTATTGTTGCTGTTGTTTTCTTTTTTAAGATGTGCATAAACAATAGTGAACATGTTAATGTATTGCAAATGTAGGTGTTGGGAGCAATGATTTTATCACGACATGAAATGATGCGGTAACTTTTGATGGTTTTGAAGGTGTTTATGCTTTTCCCAGTATTGATCAAATGTGCAAAAAAAATGGCATATAGATAGCGAATACAAAAATGGACAAATGTGCAAATAAAGGAGGCTGAAAATGCAACAAATGTAGAAATGTAGAAATGCCCATGTACACGCACATCTGTGCGTGCGTCAGGCAGTAGCTTCCACATATTCATCCTACTTCTTCTCCCCGTAATTCAAAATAACATAGAGGTCAACTAAATTAATACAGTTAATATCTATCATCTGAATTTTTTCCTTCTTATCAATGTTATACGTATGTATTTCTTTAAAAAAGTTAACAATTTTTTTTGAAGTAATATCCATCCATTCAGTGAGTTGCTGATAGTCTTTATTGTACAATTTTTTTGGTATTAAATGAGGGCTCGTGTCAGCTATATATTTTTGAATTCCTTTGTATAGAATTTTATCAGATAATAATTTCATAAAATATTTTTCGTATATATTTTTAAATGAGTCTTCTTTTTTGAGTATCATCTTAGTGCATAGATGTTTGTCTATTTGCTTGGCACATTCCAGTTCTTTTTTTATAACCATGAATGCTTCAAATTTTGTTATGTGTTCATCTTTCCCTAGGACTTTCATTTTTCTTCTCCTCGTGTGTTTCTTTGTAGGGGTGGGTTACAGGTGTGTTGTAGAGTTAGTGTATGAGCAGGTTATACTAGGGTACCTACGATATGCTCCTGTGTGTTTATTCAAATGCGCATGGTTTTATGTATGATGATACTTTAAGGAAAAGGATATCTCTACACAATCACTTAAGTTTTTTTCAGAGATAATTAATTTTGTTATTCAGTGGATGAACTTGGAAAAAAAAAAAAAAAAAAAAAAATACTTTTTAAATGTTTCTTTTAGAACTAATTCTTTAATCTAAACGTTTCTATTGTGGCACATTTATGGTTCCGTCGGAGAGGATAGACATACAACATTGATACTTAGTCGATGACATGGTATATACATAATTGCACAGCATTGTGCACGTGCGGTTGTTGAATATGCTTATGATATCTATTATGTGTTATCTGTATTTTTTTTTTTTTTTTTTTTTACACTTGGACTTATTTTGCTTCTCTTATCATGTGGGGTATGCATTCATCTACATGCACAAATTCCCACAAGGGCGAATTGGAATAATCCTGAATTTATTGTTGTTCTCCTAAGTGCAAAAAATGAGTTTCGGTATTTTCGTACAAGATTTTGTTGAATAAGGAATTTTTTCTTTTTTTTTTTTTTTTTTTTACCTGAACAAATAACATTTTTTGAACATCTAGAAATTAGGGTATAATTTATTTCTTCCCATCGCTTTGGATTACTTATACATACATTGCACTGGGTTGTGGTGGTAGCAGTGGCGGTAGATGAATCATTTTTTAGTTCCTTATAATATTGACAAATAAATTGAAAAAATAGTTTGCCAATTCTGACTAAACAAGTATTTTTTTTTTTTTTTTCTAACACCTGATGCTGCTGTAAACTCCCTTTCTTATGCTCACATGCACTTACTCCTTATTATCATTGTGTACTTATTTTTTTTTTGCCCCTATTAGGGTGTTCAATTTAAAGAATCCGAAAAAAAGCACAGTTTTACATACTTACTATTAGAGGATATATAAAGCGTTCGAGGAATATTTTTATTTTTGCTTATCAAAAATTGAAGAACCTAATTTCTGTGCATTGAAAAATGTGCATCTTTAAAAATCATGTGAAATAAAACGGGACATAATGAAGATAAAGAGAAGAGGTATGTCCTTATCTTGAAAAGAAAGAATAATTAGTATTCCTTTTTTTTTTTTTTTTTCTTGCAAAAAGTTTATCAAGGCAAGGGCTACTTGTTCCGTTAAACATTTTACATGGATGAAAAGAATGAAGCAAAACATACATAATCCTGCATGTCGTGCCGTTGCATATCCAGGTATTACCTTTTCCCTGTTAATAATAGCACACTGTAAGTAAATTCCATTTTTTATTTACTTATTTTACTTTATTATTTTTATTTTATATTTTTCCCCCCTTTTATTTTTGAAATCCTTTTAACAATTTCAAGAAAAAATCCATTGTAATTTTTTCCTTCATCATTTAAATTAAATACACAAAAGTAATTTCGGCTGTATTCCGTCAAAAATTGAGCACAAAAAGGAGTTTACAATCTAGTAGTGACCTAAGTTTTAGTAGTAGTAGTAGTAGTGAATTTTTTTTTTATTTCAAGAATTGGTTGAATGAATAAACAAAATGGTTTTAATAAAAGCGGAGAATAACGAAGGGAAAAATGTTGGGGAAGGTAAATTTAGTCCATTTTTTTTTGTTCTGTTTGGAGATATACAATATGGGATGATAAGAGGGAATCACGGGTGGTATGAAGAAAGAAAATTACTAAAGGAAGCTATAAAAAAAACGAACAAATTAAAACCACCATTTGTTGTAGCCATGGGTGATTTAGCAAATAAATTTCCTATAGATGAATTACAGAATGAACAATATAAAGATTTAAAAACTGATTTGGAAGAATTAGATAAATCAATCGATTTATATGTTTTTTGTGGAAATCACGATGTTGGAAATGAACCAACACATGAGACGATAAGTAATTTTGAAAACATTTGGGGAGACTCGTATTACAGCTTTATATATAATAATTGTGGATTCATAATTTTAAATTCTGCTGTTTTTTTTAATGAGACTCATGTACAAGATTTAAAGGAAAAGCAATTGTTATGGTTAGAAGAAACTTTAAAAAACATGGTTTCCAAAAATGTTAAGCACAAATTTTTACTTTTACATCATGCACTTATGTATGATAACATATATGAAGATGAAAATATTGGTTTGATCTATGGAGATAAGTTTCATAACTATTCAGAGAAAAACAAATTTCATATTAAAAAGGAAACGAGATTAGTTATATATGAATTATTAAAAAAATACAAAGTTAATAATGTCTTTTGTGCACATTTACATGGTAATAGGGAGAAAAATATTGATGCGAATATAAAACAAGTAACCATTTCTGCAGTCGGAATGCAGGTTACAAATGATCGTTCTGGTTTATTAATCGTACAGGTATTAGAAGAATGTGTGGATTATAAGTATTATCCATTTCAATTCGTTCCAAATTTAATAAAGGTTTAACCTGGACCAATTCTGACCTTTTTTTTTTTTTTTCATTTGTATATGTAGAGGTCATTCTTTTTTTTCTTTTTCAAATGAGTCTATATCATTGAAAATTTTTTCTAAGCACACACGGGATGGGAAAAACCTTTACTCATTTATATCCAGTAGTACCACACAAGGTGTATAAAATATATTTATGCTTTTAAATTCTTTTTGTGCGTTCGTATATGTAAATAAATATGCTTTAAAATGTTTTTATATCCGTGCTAATGAATAGCTTGTTTCAACGTTCGACGAGATATGCCTTTTTTTTTTTTTTTTTTTTATCAAAAAGTGTGCATATGATTGATATAGCAAGGGATTGGAAGAGGGCTTCATCCCTTGTTATTTCTTGATATTTTACGTCTTTTCACCCGGTCGCATATTTCAGTGCACATATTTTATCCCGCCCGTTCCCTCTTTTACGTGCTTTTTTAACTGATTTAAATAATTTAATGAATTGCGTAATTAAAAAAAGGAAGAGGAACCTTTTTCCATAACCTCAAAGCTTAAATGTTTAGGTATATAAGCACGGGCATATATATAGACACGTACATATACAAAGACATACAAAAAAAAAAAAAAAAAAAAAAAAAAGGTCACTTAAAAACTGAATTCTGCAGTTTTTACTTTTTTTTTTTTTTTTTTTTTTAAAGTACGTGTCTTTGTAAAATTTGCATAAAAGAGAAAATTAGGAATAAGAATATAGAAACATAGCTTTGTAGACCATCCTGCAGCGTGAACCATGAATACTTGCACGTATTATTTAACAGGGATGGGTTTTATGTGTTATTGTTGCGTAGTATTATGTATTCTCCATTAATTACACACATGCATATACACAGGCAAATGTCACGTAAGTGATTATGCATATGTACAGAAATCTACATATGTGCAGAAATCTACATATGTGCAGAAATCTACATATGTGCAGAAATTTACATATGTGCAGAAATTTACATATGTGCAGAAATTTACATATGTGCAGAAATCTACATATGTACAGAAATCTGCATATGTACAGAAATCTGCATATGTACGAATGCGTTAAAGACCATTTTGGCGCATTCATCTTTTTGATTTTCCTGTATTTGTTTACCATTTTTGTGGAGTAAACGTGCGAACAAAACAAACTGGTATATTCTTTTTGAACGAAGTTTTTTTTTTTTTTTTTTTTTTTTTTTTTTTTTTTCCCTTAATGGCAATCCCCACAATACTGGTGCATGTACTAACTGAGAAATATAGAAAATGTGAAAATGTCATAGTAGTGAACTCTGATGGATTTCAACAATTCAAGAGATATGAAGCGTATAAGTGAAAGCGCATATTTAGCCACACTTATATGTATGTTCAAAATTGCACAAGGTGAAATGTGCACAGATCCTTGGATACCCTCTTAGCGTTCATGTTACCCCCTTTCTTCTGTTAACATTTCAGGAAAATGTGAAACTTAAAAGGTTGAATGAAAAACTTTTGTATCTTCTGAATAAGTACAGGTACGCATATTTGAAGTCACTTGAACTTGTGAGTTTTTATGAAGAGCTAATCAAAAGGAAATGCAAAGAAAACCAACAAGAGAAGGAACTTGTAGAGGGAAAAACTAGAAAACGGCAATTGGAAGATACTTGGAAGGAAGAACTCATGATAAGGAAGGAATTAAAAATCAAGACAAAAAGAAAAGAAACGTCTACTGATTTAATGTCATGTGGTATCGATGGGGTTGCTACGGTAGGTGGTGCAGTTACGGTCTCTCCTGCGTTTCCCCATGGTGACGACTGCCAAGGAAAGGGAGGGAAGTCGGTAGCGGAGAAGTTCGTAGGGGAGAAGTCCGCAGAGTCAAAGTCTGCAGAGTCAAAGTCTGCAGAGAATCCCATTGATAAAGACCACGCTCAGCACACACTTGATAACCCAGGGAATGAGTCCAACAAAGACAGTACGAGCGAAAGAAATAAATCAAATTACGTAAACCTCGGTGCACTAGATTTCAGCGCATATAGAGAAGACTCTGAAGGTTACATAAAATATTGTGAAAAGAAGAAAGCACCAACGAGCAATGAAAAAACGAATGTAGAATCGAGTTGGAGTAATCAAATGAAACAGACGCATCAATCTGAGTTTAGGAAACGACCTCTTTTCAATCAATCCATGTATGGAGTGAAACACAGTGTAATAAAAGCCTCTCAAAATCGTCTTCTACCTTTTAACAATAAAAGTGTGTATGGAGATAATAAGTATCCCAAATTTCACGGAGCGAAAAAGGAAGATATGATAACCAACAAGAGCGTATATATTAGTAGTGGAAACCTGGGGGGAAGTTTAATAAGCAGAAATATGGGATTTCCCAGAAAAATTGCAAAGAACGAATTACACAAAAGTAGTTTAATTTCTGCTTCCCATAAACCAATAACCAATTTGAATAAAAGTGTTTATATAGAAACAAAAGGGGGATATAACAGGAGCAGTAATTTAAGTGAAGGGTTGGGTAGTACCAATAGAGGAACACATATAAACAGGGATAATATTAAAAAGAACGAGAACATCATGCCATCAAATAAAAAGGTTAACTTATCTAACATGTCAAATATAACGAACATGGGAATAAATTTTCAAAATAGTGTTTATTCTAAGAGAATGCACTCTTCCAGTTTTCTCGCTGGTGGTGGTACTAGTGGAAATGGCTCTTCTATTTCTTTTAACGGGGCTCTAAATAAAAGTGTTTACATTAGAAGTAACACATCTATGGGGAATGAGAAAAAGAGGAAGACTAACGAAGTGAGAGAAGATTACAAAATTTGTTCGATGAATGACAGAGTTAAGGTTGTAGAAGATGGGAATTGCAAGTTAGACAGTCCACAGGCAGATAGAGAAATTTCCAATAATGCAAATGATTGTGTACTAGGGGAAAGAAATATGGATGACATGGAAGACGTGGAAAAGGAACAAATAAATATGAGCACGACAACAGATTTGAACTATATATATGCACCACTAACATTAGAAAATATTGAAAATTTAATGGGTAACGAAATTTACTGTGCAGATTATACTGTTAGTAGTAGTTCATTAAGGAATAATCAATTGGGGGAGAGAGAAAAGGTTGATGGAATTGAGGCAGTATCAGTAGAAAATGATAATAAATATGGAAAAGAAAAGATGAAAGGATGTCCACTTGAGACAGAAAATTACTCAGCTAGGGATGAAGAGCTGAGAAAATACAATGAAGATGTTGTATCTGATAAGAAGGAAATACTTCCAAAGTTTGTGCAGGAGGCGGATAACAAAAGTTCAGTTTTTTTAAACAAGATAAATCCTGTTATGGGAAGGATAAATGCTTGTAATCTACAGGAAATTAACAACCAACTGTGTGAAAAGAATATTCAATCAATGGAAGAGAACATAGACAAAAAGAATTGCTCTTTGAATGATAAGGTGGAAATAGAGAGAATCATCTCTTCAGATAAACACATCGATTCTTTAGATAAATATCAAACAGATGTAGGAAGTTCTGTTAAGGGTAGAACGGATGGCAATGGAGATGATCCATATAACGAGGGGTACATCAAAAACGGGAATGAAAATTTTCCTAGTTATAAAGAGGGAAACGAACAAAAGGAAATATTAAACGGTGTAATGTGGGAGAAAGAGACAGACGATTCTACTTTGAAAAAAGAAAGTGGTAAATATGTAAAGTTGACAACAGAAGATGATATAAAAAATAGTGTAATTAAGAGGGATAACAAAAGTGACATAGGTGGTTTAAGTCAAAAATTTGATGAAAACAAAAGCAAAGAGGTAAAAAAGGAACGCAATGAAATCCCTGTAAAATTTCAAAACATCATTTTAAGTATAAATGATGAAATTAAGAAGAAATTACAAAGAGGAAATGAAAATAGCGACAGTTTTCATATTCCAAAAGGTAATGATAGAAATGCAAATGGAACTATATTTACGTCTAATTTGTTGCCATACCAGGAAAAGAGAGGCGAACAGGGAGGCGAAGCAGAAATGAGCGTTAGTAATAGCAGGGCGAATTTACACATAGAAATGAGCACAGGTGTAAGATATATTTCTCTTGACATTATCGACATTGATAGTGCCATGAATGAAGGTCTTTACAACTACAAAGATGTAGAAGAAAGTTACATTAAAAGTGAGACTAATATAAAAGATATATCCATATATGATAATATACTGAAAAGGGGGGTACAAAATAAGAATAATTTACCTTGTTATAGTACAAATGGTTGCTACAGTTCTGATGTTGAAAAAGCAGAAGAAATGTGTCTATTTAAATCCTCCCAAGATGTTAAAAACGATATAGTGAAAGTTATAGGAATATCCATTTTTGATTGCCTAAATGAAGGACCATTTATGCCATCAATTTCGTTAATAAATGACGAGAAATTATCATTGTGGTTCACAAAAAAGATAAGAGAAAAGAGCATGAAAAAAAATGCCCTAGTAGAATCTAATTGTAGAAATAATAATTTTTTTTTGAACATAAAAAATAAGAGAGTGAGCTGTATGGGTTATTTCACACAACCAGTTACCATCATGTTATGCTCTTTAAAGCGACAAAATGAATATAAAAGTTTAAAGAAAATTATAACATCTGTTGTCCTTTGTACATGTGATTCTACTACCTTAGAAAAACTTTTACACACGATACCGGAATCGAACAGCAAAAATTTTTCTCTCTGGGTAGAAGCTTTGCACAAATTAGATATTCATCTAGGTCCTAAAAGAAAAAGAAATATAATTAAAAAGTTTTTACAAATAACCAAGGAAGAGACAGCAGATGGAAATCATGATAGCAGCAATGGTCCTTATGATGAGGATTCTGAGTCTGAAGAAAATGAAGAAGATAAGGACACGACAGGGAGAATAAATAAGTATGATAATTTCCAATTAAAGACGTATGCTTTTATGAAAGGAATGAATACGTATGATGGTTATCTAAATGATTCCTATTCTTCAAAAGGAACAGAACAGCTATACAATGCATCTACTCCTGTTTCTTCAGGAGATATTTTGTGTGCAGAGAAAAAGAATGGAGAAGATTTGCAAATATATGAAGATGAGGAATTTTGTCTATTTGTGTGCACCATACCGAACATTCACAAAAGATTTCGATATTTGTTACTGATAGAAAATTTTAATTTTATATATGAAGATCTATTGAAAAATATTCATAACAAACTAAGAAGTATTGAGTTAATAACCCATAAACATTTGCAGTTGAAGCAACTATTTTGTAACATTTTGTTTTTGTGTAACTGGTTAAATGAGCCAAAAATGTACAAATGGTTTCATTGGGATCTGGTTGTTCGAAAGATAGAAAAAGTTCACGGATATTTGGAAAATGGAAAAATATCAAGGGATAGAAGTATAATGCTCCTTCTCGTTGAACACACAGGGGAAATTTTCAGTGATAAGGAATTGCATGAATTGAAAAAGATAAGCGAATTTCATATAAAGGACCTCTATGATAGGTCTATTGATTTTATTAATTCTTTTCTCGAGCTAAATAGTGAAATGGACACAGATACGTTTGTGCGGAACTGTTGTGTTGGATATGCACAGGTTCTAGAATCAGAGGAAGATGCACATGCAGATGTAAATGAGATGGAGGGAATAAACTCCAGAACAAACGCAGGATCAGACTGTCCTGCTAGCGCGGACACTATGGGTGACAATAGCAGAGGGGAAAACTTCTTAAAAGACAAATTTCTCGAAAAAGTACACGAATTTGTAGAAAATAAGTACGAAAGGATGTTGTTAATTATTTCAAGGTTAGTGCTGCTAATAAAGCAATATATAGCACTTATCATATGGTTAGGAGACATTAGACCTTTCTATCCCCTTTTTAGTTATGTGGATGAAACGAGAAAAGTGAAATATTCTCAAGATTTATTTGTAAATTTTGTATCCTTTTTCGAGTCCTACAATAAATATATTAGTATTGTCAAAAAGAATAGCGAATTAGGTAAAAATAATGAGAGAAAAAAACATTTATTTCTAAATGATAATACAAGTGATTGTTTTTTGGGGTCAGATTATTATTCTTCTACGCTGAATGATGGAAATGTAAAAATGGACAAAAATATGCAAGATGCGAACTCTGTTAGGTATGACAATCGAATCAGTAAAGGTGTTAATAACAACACGTTGAAAAAAAAATGTAACTATGGTTTGGATATGAGTAATGATAACAATGACTCTTCCAAAATGTTAAATACAGAATTTAAAAAGAGAAAATCACTAACGAATACTGTATATTATGCATGTGAAGTTAAAAGAAAAAGTGTGGAAAAGGAAAGACGACGTAAATCTATTAAAAGGACAAGTTTTGAAAACACATGTAAAGAGGAACTTCATCTTTATGACTAGGGGATGCCACACCTTTAGCTTTTATTTTTTTTATTACCTTTTGTTTTAGTAATATTTTAATGAGTTTTACTTTATGTTTACATAAAATGTGTGTTTGCTAATATTGTGACGGGAGAGTGTAACTTTATTTTTATTTATTTTTTTTTTCATATAATTCAATGACATTAAAAATTAGGCCAGCACATTTTTTAATTGTTTGTTGTGCATTTCGAACGGGCTTGGTAAGAACAGTTTTTTCCTTTTATTTTATTTTATTTTTATTTTATTTTTAATTGTTTTGATTAATTTTGGCTTATTTTGATTTATTTTGACTTACTTTGATTTACTTTGACTTATTTTGACTTATTTTGTTTTATTTTACCATTTTTATGAGCATATAATTTTGGAGGTTGCACAAGCATTCATCTTTGAGTTGTCTTATAAGTTATGCTATATCTCGTTGTCGTTTCGATATGGCATGTCTGAGTCTTTCGATTTGAGGCATGCTGTGTGTGCAAGTGCTTATCTTTTTAAGCATAGTAAATGATCGGCAAAATTTACTTGTCTCCATATGCCTCTAACAATTTGTTCATATATAAGTTGTAATGGTGAACATATGCATGCTCAGCATATATAAACGTACATCATGTCCCTCTTTATAACATTTTAAAATGTGAAATGCACAGTATGGTTGTAAAAAAAAAAAAATGGACAAATTTGCGTAGGTATGAAAAAATGGAAAAAGTCTAAGAAACGTGTGGAAAAGTGGAAAACATAAGAATCGTGTGAAAAAATTCGTGTACAAATATTGGCAAAAAAAAAAAAAAAATACTCTTAAAAATCAACTGTGTCTTACGCCACCACTCTATGAAACGTGCTGAGTAACGCAAAAATAAAGAAAAAGAAAAAAAAAAAAAAAAAAAGTAAAAATAAAATAAATAAAAATATAAATAAAATTAAAATTAAAAAATATCGTATTTATTTATCCTATAATTAAATTCTTCGTGTTATGAAAAACACCTTTTTTTTATTCAAGAAGCACATGGGTAATTGTGTAATTGAATTCTTTACATGGGTTTACGAATGCATATATCTACTAATGCATATTGGAAAATAACGCATTTTGCAGGAGCTGTGTGTTTTTTTTTTTTTATCACTAATGAGTTAAATGCACTATTTTAAAGTAGGAAATTTTGAAAAACTTTTCAAAGCGTTTATTCCGAATTATTAATAGTTTTAATAGGCTGATTTTATTTTGATTTTATGGAAGTTTCGTTAGAAAATTAAGAAAAATATGTTATTCATTTTTATAAGCATCTCAAAATGTTATGGTTTTACCCCTTCTGCTTGCCAAGCTCGAATTTTTTTTTTTTTATCCCTTTTTTTTTTTTTTTTTTTTTTTTTTTTTACACGATGGTATTTATTCGACTTCTTTTACCAGTGCTTTTTCCCGTGCCATTTATATTTTCCTCCTCACTCTTATTTGGTTATTCAGAAGAGTTTTTATTTATTTGAAATACATTGCTCTTTTCATGTTAATCTATAAATATATGTAAATCATACATATATAAAAAAAAGATTTATACTGATAACTTTTTCAGATTTTTACATTTTTTTCTTTTGATAAATACAAGCACATTTATTACAAAGTAAAAAGCGTAATTTTTTTTTTTTTTTTTTTTAACTATTTGATTCGTGTAAAATAAACTTCATGAATGAATGAGAGCACAAATGTAAGAACAAATGGTCTTACATATATATGCATAGGTACATATAAACATGAATAGATATATGCTAACATTTTATTTTTGTGATAAAATCCTTTTTTTACAGCTGTTTTATTCATTTCGAGACGACACGCTTTCATTTCCCGTAGGAGCTATTCGTTTATGTACTTTTCCTTTATTTTCGAACATCGTACATGTTTGTTACCCACATTATCCTTTCCTCACCTAAGGTGCCATTTTTTTATTTTTTTTGTGTAGGCACGTTTTCCTCCATTTTTGCAAAAGTGAAATTGCATAGTTCCATTATTTGATTCAATAAGACTCCATTTATGTTTTGTTATTTTATTCCACTCCCTTGTATATTACTAACTGGCTTTGCAAATATATTTCATATAAAAGGAACTTACACTTTACACATTTAGAAATTTTCTATTTTCCAAAAATCTTTCGTTATCCATTGATTTATCCCTTTTTTTGGGATTTCACAATTTACTTGTTGTACTGCCGCGATGGCAGGTCATTATTTGCATACACTAGACGAATACTTTGCGAATGTAAAAAATAAAGGCGGTTTAGAATGGATTATAATTAACCATAGAATATCAAGATGGGACTTTGTTGTTTTCCTTTTCCTTTTTGTTTTCGTAACTATATTAAGATTTTTAATCGCAGGAATATATACCGATTTGATCGGAGAGAATAATATCCTTTATAGCATGTCGAGAAAATCGTTATTAGATCGAATAAATAAAAAATGGGACATTGCAAAAGATGGATGTATATACAAATGGAAGGAGAATTGTTGGTTTGCATTTTGGCATAGCTTCTCTTTTATATATAATTTTTTTTTATTGTTATTCATGTCGGGTTATGTGAATAACAAAAATGGATGGGTTAAAATGTGTCTTGAAGAACCAACAGGGAAATGGTTTTTTTTAGTCACAGAAGATGAATATATGGAAAATAAAAGAGGATGGCCATACACAAAAATAGATAATTCAGTTCATTACTTTTATTTATTAGAAATAGCATTTTGGTCATCATGCCTTTTTTATTTAAAATATGAAATAAGAAGAAAAGATTTTTATGTTTTTATTATGCATCATTTATCGACAATTCTGCTATTAGTTTATTCACATTTTTTTAATTTTTGGAGATTGGGGTTATTAGTTCTTTTTGTACACGATATTGTTGATGTAGCACTATATATTTCCAAAAGTTTGAATTATTCAAATCCTAGATATCAGAAATCACTGACTATGTTTTATATTTTTTTTGTTTTGTCTTATTTCTTTTTCCGCATCATTATATTCTTTTTTTATATTGTTATACCCGTGAGTAATTTAGAGAATATAAAATCTTACACCGATGGTTTTATAACATCATATATGGATGTGCCCGCTGGTATAGTTCCCGTTGTACTTTTATGGATGCTCATGGTACTACTGTAGCAGTATTGAATTTTTTTTTTTTTTTTTTCTTTAAGCACAACACAGTATTCGCTATAGTATTGCATACATATGCGTGTGATTATAAATATATACGAGTATGAACTTACATTCGTGTATATATGCACATGTGCAATAACCCATAGTGGCACATAACAGCACAAATATAATGAATATTTGTGCATAATACTTCCTGCTTTATTTTGATTTTCCTTGGTTCTTTTGCAGTTCATGCATTTTTACTGGTTTTTCCTTATTCTGAAGATGACTCGAATATTTATCAACAAAACATGTAATGTGAAGAACCACAAATATGTCCACATAAGCATGGGTGCATGTATATCCAATGTTGTTTACATATGATATATGCATAAGATCAATGCATTCATATGAATGCATATATAAACAGACAAAACATTACTTCTTATTTCCATCTTATGATTTGCAGTGAAAAATGAAGAGCTCATTGATATTAGGAGTGAGGATGAAAGAGATGATCCAATCGTTAAGACTACCCCAAAAAAGGGAAAATAATCTTTTTAATTGTTTGACCATAGGAGAAAAAGAATTAACATTTTGGTATGATATGCGTCTTCATGATGTTTTATGAGACCTGGTGTTATTATCACTACCATGACTTTTGCTATTATTTTATTATTATTATATTTGCTGTTGTTTTATTATCATTACTTTGGTTACTGTTTTTCACCATTTTATTTTATTATTTTTTTTTTCCCCCCATGGAAAAATTTTATAATCTGAGTTATAATTGCGTCATTGAATTTTTTAATTCAATTACCAATACCCCCTACTCCGCAATTTTTTTTTTTTTTTTCTTTTTCTTTTCTCCGATTTCTCATTTTAAATTAGATATTATAAATTTATCAATTAACCCCATCCATTGTGCACATAAGTTAGTACATATGCTTATGAATGTATTTGTGTCTATATGCATACACACATGTGATTATTTATAGGCATATTTTTGCCGTTCCAATCCGTATATGAAAATGGACAATGAGCCATTTGCAAACAGATGAAGTAGCACTCATAATGTGTACTACATTGCAAATATAATATTTTTAGAACTTTTTCAATTTTGTTTTAATAACATATTTGCGTAAAAGCAAACAACTGTTTTACAACAAGTATATAAAAAAAGAAAAAAAAATGTTTCAATTTAAAAATGGAAGTCATTATTTCACGAACAAAGTACAGTTGAATGTATTTATTTTTACGTTTTAACTTTTCTATGGAATATTCTAACAAATAGCTCATGTAGGAGAAATAAATAAATAAATACAACATCATTTTTCATTACCAATTTATACATTATTAATATTTGTATTTTCAAATTGGCAAATCATTTATGAGTATATTTATTCGAAAATATATTACTTAAAAAAAAAGGGTGAAGATATGGAAGTTATCCTCAGGTGCTGCCCAAACAGGTACCCAAATTTTTTAGTTCCATTATTTTGCTTTTTTGTAAAGTACCCATTTTTTTTTTCTTATGAAAATTGTCATCACCGCCATTGTTCCATCCGCCAGAAGTCTATGAATAGGTTAAGGGGAAGTTAAATGTAAGTATGAGTACGAGTATATGTACATGTGTGTGTGCGCACATATGCATATAAATATATGTGCATAGATAAATCCCCTTTGCAGCCACATGTTTGGCGTTGCGTAAGAAAGTGAAGAGGGGGTGGGGAAGTTTTAAAAGAGCTACATTAGAGTCATTGGAAATTCCAAATAAAGTCTTCAAGAAAATAGCTAGCTGGAAAAAAAAAATATGAACATCATTAGTCGAAGATTGCACACACATTCATATTCTACAAAATGAGAACAGAATGGAGTACTGACTGGGACATGGCATATATATGTGTATTTATGCACATGCATATGACCACAATGAAAACGCATATGTAATATAAATTAGTGACACATTTTTTTCTTTACTATGTTAAAAATGGTTTTCAGGAATTTTGTGACATTATATATTAGGTTAACTACTGGTGCGATAAACTTATTATGCACTGCATTTTTTTTCCGCAATTTCTCATGCTTTAATTTTCGATCCTTTAAAATATTTTCATATTCCCCATGATTTTGTTGTTTTTCCCCTTTATGATTCATCTTTCATTATGATGATCGACTGTTAGCAATGGGGAAAGGTATGGGGAATAGTAGACATTATTTGATATTATGAATAATACTATGAAGGAGGGTTTGTATATATTTAGTGGTATGCCGTGGAACTATTTATGGTGACAGGACTTTAGATAAAAGTAAAATAACGTAGAGAAATATTTATTGGAGCATTTTCAAAAATTCCTTTGAATTTGTTTTTTAGAAAGTGAAAAGGAAAAAGGAAAAAACATGCAACAGTATATGAACATGTATATGAAAAATAAAGAAGCAAAATAAAAATCTAAAAAAAAAAAAAAAAAAAACAAGCTTATTGTGTGCAATGATAAAATGTTATAACAATATTGTTATCTATAAAATACCCCATGAATGCTAATAATATTTGTGCAAAGTTTATAAAAAAAATGTTCCAAGTTTTTTTTTTTTTTTTTTTTTTTTTATTAATATACACATTGAAAGGCATTTTTATGCACTAAGATTTTTTAAGTCATATATTTAGCTTAATGAAAATATAAATCATAGTATGAATGTGTCCTACCTTCTTTACTGTTCTTTCTTACTAATTTTTAAAATTTCAAAAGATGGAAAAAAATCACAACATTGTAAAAGAAAAAAAAAAAAAATAAAAAAAATAAAATAAAATATTAAGTTAAATATAAGAACTAATAATTGAATAGTGCAGTGCAAAGAGTTGTAAATATATTATGGCAAGAATATATTCACATTAGAATGTCTTTGTGCGCTAAAACAATGGATATGTAGCAATTTATATTGCGTCTAGCAATGTTGCACATGAGTATAATCACCTTTGGGTTTTATTAAATTTTTTCCTATTTCCACTCTATTTCTTTTATACTTTTTTTACACCATTTTCATACGTTTTTTACACTTTGTTTACACTTTTTTCATCATACTTTTTTTATACTTTTGTTACATTTTCTTTTTTTTTTTTCCTTTTTATTTTTAATGATAATTCCTGGTATGTTGCCTTACACGTAGCTTAAATATGGCAGCAGCTTTAAAGTGAGCAAAGAGCTAAAATCGTACATGCTGAAAGCTTTGAAGGAATATCAACACGGTTTTGAAAAGACATCAACGAAAAATTGCAACTTGGAAAATAATATAAATTTAGTTAAAGATTTAAAAATCGACGAAGAGTAAGCATAATTTCGTGCGGTTTTGATTAACGTTTGTGCAATTTACAAATAGAGTGAGAATAATTTCCTTTGTTTTTTCTGTGTCATGTTTTACCACCCAGCTTGCACATGATTATTTGAGGGTGATTTAGAAGACGATTATTAGAAGGAGATTATTTGCACTTCTCCAATCCTTCGTCGAACTTTGGAAACAATTATTTCCGTTTTATAATTTTCCCTTCAAATTAGTGATGATTATAGTGAAGATATTTTTTTGAAAATACAAAAGCAGTTCCACCTGTATGATTTTTTCAACATATCTTTATTATTCCCAATAAAAATTTTTAATAAGAATGGAAAGACATTAGTGCAGGTAATTGATTGCTTGTCCAGGCAAAAGAAGTGGGTAGAAAATGGAAGCATATGATGGGTGTGAATATAAACTATCTCATTTCCCCATGGTCATTTAGCTATCACTACCATTTTAAGGAGTTGTGTGGATTGGTATATATATATATATATATATATATATATATAATGTAGGAAAAACTTATAAACTAGGCTGGTGATATATACATATATATATATATGTATATATTTTTCTGATATACACTTAGTTAATATCAGAAGACAATACTCAAAGCGACTTAGAATTGATACAAGCTGTTCTTAAGAATATAGAACAGAACGACTTGAATAAATTAAATTTTTTCAATATAGAAAATATAATATTCGAATTATTAGGTTAATTAAAAGCAAATTGAAAAAAAATGGGGAAACATATATAATCAATGAAAAGGACAAAAAAAAAAAAAAAAAAAAAAATATTTCCCCTTTATATTTCTTTTTCTACCTTTTTAATAGATGAAATAATAAGACAAATATCTGTAGAATGTCCGAAGCGTGGTTTTGCCTTGTTAATGTGAAATAAAAAAATAGAAAAAAAATTTACACATATATATATATGTGTGTATTGAATATACTCTTATAAATTGGGCATAAAAATGATAAAAAAATAATCTTATAGGCAAAATTACGTATGCATTGAAAGTTTAGGTTAATCACTCACTCTGAATGTGACCATCATAGTATAACGAGAGTGTGTCTACATGTATTTATTGCGCATGTATGTGTCACATATATGCATATACAATATGAATGACCCCCTTTTGAATTTTCTTTCTGCTCTAAAAGGATCAATAACGAAATACAAAAAAATGTTAGCTACTACAAAAATTTAATTGATATCATAGAGCACAATAACGATATGAACAACCAAATTTTTAAAGAAAAGCTAAACCAGTACAAATTATTTGTAAGTGTTTACTTTCTTGTTTTGTATCGATAGATATGCACTACTTTTATTGTGCGATAATATGATTACACGCAACATCTTGTATATCTTGATAATTACATTTTTAGCTAGATCAACTATCAGTAGAAGAGGACGAACTAAAGGATAAACTCATCGATTTGCAGAACGAACTGCAGCTTTTAAAGAAGTAGAAAATGAAAAATAAAAGATTAACCCAACAAAAAATATATGAATCTGTTTTATATTCAAACATGTAGAAGCTCGTACATATTTCATATCCAAAGTGCCTTGTAATCGTTTCGAAAGTCTTAAAAATATACGCACTTCTCGAGATGCACATTGCTGCACAGGCATATATATGATGTTGCTTTTTATGTGTCTTTTTGAAATTTTCTTATTACAGCGAAAATCAAAAGAAAATGCAAGAAAACAAAAATAAAAAGGAAATACAGGTCTCTTGATTTCTTTTTGGAAAGATTATCATTTTATTTTTTTTATGGAAAATTTAAGTCATTTATTATTCAATCTATTTTTCCTTTTTTTTTTTTTTTTTTTTTTAACAGTACGATTTGTTAAAGCATAATGAATCGTTACTTGAAAAAATTAAAGAAATTTACGATAAGAAAGGGGAAATTTAAAAAGCGCAAAAAGGAAAAAGAAGTGAATTTAAAAGGAAAAAAGAAAAAAAAGTTAACATGACAAGCACACACTAAAATATTTTCCTTTCATTTCCGAAAAAGAAGAAAAATTCTTTTCAGAAAAGTCGCTTTCTTTTCCTGCATTTTTTTTCATTTTCTTTCTTTGTTTCTACTTTATCTTTTCAATTTATTTATTATCTTTTTTTTTTACTTTTGCTAATTTAGTTTGGAACTGCTTTCATACAGAACATATATCTCTTCACAAATTGGCAAATTAATTGATTATTTTTATAATTTAGACAAAGATTCGTTCATTCTGTTAATTTTATTCAAATTCACTTTCATTAGTTTTTCTTCCGAAAAAATATTTTGAATAATGGTTGCTCTTTCCTTTAACAAATGATAATACTTTTCAATATAAATTAAAAATATCTATATATTGAAATGGAGAGGACAGTGGGGAATAAGAGATATATTTCGGAAAAATGAAAGGACATAATGTATCGGTGTTATTCTATCTAGGTACATAATTGAATGTGTGTCTTATTTTGCATGTTAAAAATTAACCTTCCACAATTCTATTGTATCATGGGGTGTGATATTTGTGAGATTATTCCAGTACTCTTTTTCTTGTTTTTTTCTTTCAATTATTAACTTTAGGGAAATATTTAATCTCTTTAAAAAAAAAAAAAAAAAAAGGAGCACAAAAAGGAAAATGGATAACATCTTAAGAGTAAAAACGAAATGTGATAGTGTGAAGGGGTGCATATTTTTTTGATGCTATTAATAATGAATTATGTAAAAAGGATTATTTAAACTTTGTCTATATTGAAATGTTAGTTTTTTTTTTTTTTTTTTTTTTTTTTTTTTCTTTAACATCTCTCCTTTCTCTCTAATGTTCCTACATTTTTATACTTCTGTTTCTTTTGTGAAATTTTATACATATTTTCTTTTTCCTTTTCTTGGTAATATTTGAAGATTATATCTAACGTATATTCTGAATTGTGAGCTAGATCTTCTTCGTCATTCTCCTGTTGGTTATCTTTTGAGAAGATAAAATGTTTTTGCAATTGGCTTAGAAGGAACCGACAGGGATTAAAACTACATAGTTTTAGAAATACCTTTTTTTTATTATGTTATTTCCTTTTTTTTTTTTTTACCAATGTAGAACAACCGAGTCAGTAATTCTAAATCCTCTTGAGTATGAACACCTATGTAATTAAAAATTTTTTCCATCTTATTCCCTTCTCCCTCGGTGTCCTGTGAATAAGGGAAAAGATGGAGAAAATAAAAAAAAAAAAAATGTATGAAAGTGACTCAGTTATGTGCTGTATTTTCTTATTTACTTCAAAATTTTTTTTTTTTTTAAAGTATTTGTTTATTCTTACTGCATCAACAAGAAAACTGCACTCCTGCAAGAGTAATTTTTTAACTTGTTCAATCTGATAAAGTGTGACTTTCTTAGTGTTCTCTGCATCTTGTGTCTTTGAGTCCTCTGTTAGGAAGTGTGGTGCAAGGAAGAGGAAAATATATATATATATATATATATATACATGTAGAGTACATAAGACAGTGTATTTTTCGCGTAACACAATGTAGTTATTCGCCTGAATAAGATATCAAAATGTGTAAGAATGAAAACGAATGTTCTGCACATTTGCCTAAACGCTTGTGTGAAATGAAAAACCTTTCAATGACGTTGAATTCACGTTGTATTTTTCCTCCATAAAGTGTTTATAATTGGCTTTACAAAATTCTTTTAGGAAAATTTGTTCATGAATTATCTGATTTGCATTTATTAACTTTTCGATATATTTATTGGCCTTAAATGGGAAAAATACAATGTGCGGTAGGCAAGGCGGGGTGGATGAATCGGTTCGATTTAAGCGAAATAATTTTGTTGTTTCATTTTGTTTATTGGTTGTTTTAGTTTGTTTATTAGTTGTTTTTTTTTTTTTTTTTTGGTTCTCATGCTACATAGCTTAATTGAAAATTTATTTACCTCTCTCTTTTGTAATTCCCATGCTTTTGCATATTTCTTCTGAAAATTTTGCTCATAACTTTTTTGTCTTTTTTGCAATTCAATAAATTGGAACTTAATTCGTTCGTACTGATTTATTAATTCACTGATACTTTTTCTAAAATGGTACAGAAAAAACCACGTAATGGGGTGAAAATTCCGTAAAGTAAGACATCATTTTGGAGTACTTTGTTATAAAATATTTTATCCCTGAGATGAAGTAAATCTGTATTTTCAATTTTTCTCAACAGGAGTTTTATTTTTACACTATGAGTTTTTATTAACTCGGAATGTATGAATGTCCCACATGGATATGCATAAATATATGTAACTCTGAATTCCCATTTTTGTGTTTTTTCCCTAATTTAAGGACATTCAAAAATGAGAAAATTGACATGCCATACTTGGACTTAATCTTATAGTTGTAATAATATGTCTTAACGGATAGTAGTGCCTCTCTTAATTTGTTTATTTCGAGTTTATAAAAATTTATCATTTTTAAATTGTATTTATTTTTTTCTTGTATCAATTTATTGCTATATATTTTTTTTTCTCTCTCCATAATGACGTGGTTGATATCTTGTATGTGTTCCATGTTTGCGTTCTGCATTCGTTGGGTAGGTATTCACCATAGTGGAATTAGGTAAATGGGTGTACAGACTTGGACTTGTGTGTGAATTAAGGTTTTTGTTATTTTTTTATTTTTTTTATTTATTTTTCTATTTTTTTATTTATTTTTCTATTTTTTTATTTATTTTTCTATTTTTTAGTTTTTTTTTTTTTATTACTAAGTTACTCTCCAGCAGTTCATTTTTGACCTTTAAATTTAAATGATTTTGTTCTTGGTTTTCTCTTATTTTGTGATTGAGTTTTTTTTGGTTTTCAAGTTCGTCGAGAAAAGTGGTGGAATTCTTTTGATGCAAAAAGGGAAAGAAGTAAGAGGAGTGGGTGTGAATACATTAAAAGTAGTGTGTATATTTATCAGTTCATGCACTGTTCAAAATTTTGGGGAGGGGAAAATAAAAAAAAAAAAAAAAAAATTTATGAAAAACTGTGTAAATAAATGTATTTGAAAATGCAAACCAAATTTCTCATCCTTATAAAGTCTTCCAATATCTTTTTGTTGTTGTTCTGTAGTGAGAGTTGTTGAAAAGGTTTGGATATATACATGTACTTATTCTTGCACGTGTGTGTATTAGTGGTTTTGATATGTACATATATATATATATATATATATTTTTCCTTTCCCCTTTCCTACTATCAAATTTTTCCTTTTTGAGTTTAGCTCATCCCGTGTTCTGTTTAGTATATCTGCAAATATGTGTGTCGATAAGTAATGTACACAACAAAGTAGACATTACCTTAGTATTTAGTATCATTTAAGTAGACACTATAATGTGAATTATTCTATGTTCAATTTAAGAATGAGAAGTTTACCTTCGAGATATATTTTATAACCTTCCATTTGATTCCTCATGAGTTCAATAAATGATAAAACATTTTTCGAGTTAATTTCGCATACTACAAAAGGGGAAAAGGTGGGAAATTAGGCCATCTTCAGCGTGAAAAAAAAAAAAAGATAAGGTAAAATAAGGCAAGATAAGGCAAGATATGCCAAGATAAAATGAGGTAAAGCATGACAAATTGAACAAGGGCAATAACCTTTTTTAATTTTTTCATCTTTGTATTTTAAAAGGGAAAAATACTTTTCTATTTTCTTCTTGTAAGACTCTTTTTCTTTTATTGCTAGCCCTTTAACATCTGCGATGTTATTTTGAAACTCAGACTGATAAATATCTTCAATTTGTTCAGTCAATTTTTCTTCCTTTTCATCTAAAGCTAAAACAAAATTGTTATCGTTCAACCCAATAACATACTTTTTTATATTTTCCAGAAAGGGCTACAAGAGGATATTATATGTGGAATTGACAATATTATAATGGAAAATAGAATTATATAACACTGCCTAGCACATTTTTAAAAAAGTGGCAGCTGAGGAAATTGTCAATTTGTTGTGAAGAAATGGGAACTTTATTAATTAAAGAAATAAAAAAAAAAAAAAAGTGCAATAGTGTGATAGAAAAGTGTCTACATATATCAGATTGAGAAATGGTTTCAAATATCAACAAAAAAAGGTAAATATAAAACGAGCATTTTTAACCATGCAGCGAATTCAATAATTCTGATATTTAAAAATAATGATAAGAGCTATCATATATATATTTGGTAATGCCCATATAAATTCCCTTTTTAGAAACTGTTAAATATAACTCCATTTATGTGCACAAATATGTGTAGCAACATTTTTTTTTTTTTTTTTCTTTTTTTTTTCCTACGGCTGATGTGATCTATACCTGTTCATCTTTTCTTATCTGTATGGATATTTCGTCTAAAAAATCCTTTTTTTTTTCGTCCAAATTTTGAATAATTTCATCTTTTAGGCTATTATAATTTGCATTATATTCCTCATTTTTATATTCAAAAGTGTGTACATACTTATCTTGGTGTTTATTTACAAGTTGATCAAGGGTATTTTCTCCCACTTGATCTTTACATATTGTTTCTTTTTCCTTTCCATGTTCTGATTCTTCATGTTTATTTACTGAAAATACAGAGAGGGTGTAATTTCAAGGAGGAGAAATGTGGATGGGGGAAAAAAAAGTTTTTGAAGTTGGATTGATAAAAGTAATATAGTATGTAGTACATCAATTTTTTTTTTTTTCTTTTTTCACAGTTTTACATTTATTTCTAATTCTGTTTCTTCTGTTTTCTATTCTTCTTTCTTTGGAGGTGCTAAGAAATTCGTCCATTGTTTCTTCTAGAAGAACTCTTCATGAAGTTCGTAAAAGTGATCATTTGCTGTGCATAAAAGTGACCGGGAATCGCATCAAAAAAACTACCTCATCTGTATTAACTGATAAAATTGTTGTTAATTTATTCATTATAGTAAATATATTTATTTATTTATTTTTCATGTACTGAATTAAATATAAAGTTAAATGTGCATTATATGACATAGGAAATACTGTGTGTATATAAGAAGTGTACAAGAATATCATGTTTAACTCTTTTTTGGTGACTCTCATGAGTATAAAAAAAAAATGTTTAAATACATTTTCAATGATATAATGAACATGTGGATGACTTTTCAGTTTGTGAACCCTTGAAGAGATACATGTCTTTTTGTGAAATTGAAAAAAACGAGTACCCTATTACTTGCCAAAAGGGAACCGTGTAGAAGTGCCGTAAAATGAGAAAGAAGGCAAAAGAGCAGAAAAATGAGAAAGACCGCTAAAGAGTTAGAACCTCACAAATGACCGCAACGATCCTCGTGCATTTGCATATGCACATGCATTGGTGGGGGAGGCACACAAACGTAAAGAAGAGCAAGTATTTTTTTTTTTTTTTTTTTCCATCTTATGAAATGGATATTGAATCTGTTTTTATATGAGCATAAATTTTCAATAAATTTCTCGAATTTTCTATTTTGAAAAATAAAAATAAAATGGAATTAAAAATAATAGAACAAATAAAATGAACATCTATAAAGTATGAGAGAAGAATTAAGAAGCTGTAGCGCTGCATCATCCGGACGGAAGAGAAAATATGACGAGGTTGAATTGGCAAAGAAAGAGAATTTGATAGAAAAAAACAGTATACTCATAAAAAATAAGAATAATAAAGAAAAAAAAAGATCAATTAGCTTGTCTAATGTTTTTTTCAGTGCAAATGATTTTGATAAGTACAATGATTCTTTTAAGTTAGTTCGAAGCGATACAATTGACAAGGAGGGAAGAAAATTCGTTGAGACAAAAGAAGCATGTTTAACTGATAGGAAGGAAGATGTAGGACGTGAAAGTTGGAGAAGCAGTGGAAGTGAGAGAAGAAGTGGAAGTGAGAGAAGAAGTGGAAGTGAGAGAAGAAATGGAAGTGAGAGAAGAAGTGGAAGTGAGAGAAGAAGTGGAAGTGAGAGAAGAAGTGGAAACGAAGGGGAGGATGTCCCATCGAAGAATCCCCCACATGAGAAGCCTTTTCATATCAAGCGTTTCAGAAAACTTCTGCTTCGGAAAGCGGTGTTATACAAAATTAGATGCCTGAATCATAACTCTACTTGGTTGATGGAACTGTCGAAGGGAAAAGGAAAAGGAAAAAGAACCCGTGAATTGTTCAGTGACTCATTATTTATAAACCCATTTCCTACTTACAAAAATGTGATGCTTTTATTTTACGGTGAAAAATATAAAGAAGCTTATATAATGCTAAGTAGAATTTCTGTCTATTCTTTTTCTTCATTGGAAGAAGAAAATGTATTAAGAGATAATTATTTTGAAAAAAAAAAAAAACATAGTTTACATTTCCTTGTTAGTTCGTTAATGTCTGTTCAGAAAAATTGTTCGTATTTGGGAAAAAAAAGTATTTTAAAAAAAAAAGATAAAAAAATTAGAAATTCGAAAAAACGATCAAATGAGAACTTTTTTTTCAGTTCTCAGAAAAGTGAAATGGGAAATGAGAAAGTTATTAATAAAGGGAATACACTACGAAGATATATTCAAAATGCAAAAAAAAAAAAAAAAGAAGAAGAAAGAGAAAGAGAAAGAAAAAGAAAAAGAAAAAGAAGAAAAAAAAGAATATTTGTTATAAAATGCAAATTTAGTAGATATGAAAATTATGTGAATAGGTGGTGTAATACGTTTCTTAAAAAAGACCCATTTTTGGTAAAGGATAGGATTAAAGGGGGAAATAAAAAAATGAAAGATTTTCCATGTCTTTCGAAAAATAATAATTTTCTTATTACCACTTGTGGTAACGACTCCAGCATATGTGATGAATCCAGCGAATTAAAAGTTAGAAATAATTACGAAAGAATTTCAGATTGTGGAAATATGAAAAAATGTAATTATAACTTTTCTTTACAAGAACAAGAGGAAAGAGTTGAAGGAAGAGAAAGTTTAAATATTCTAGATGGAGAAAAAACTGGAGTGTCGTCAGATCAGCCAAGTGACAAAAACAATGATAAGACAAAATATAATTGCTTCTTAAGTGAGAAAAAAAATGCAAATAAAAGTGTAAAAAAAAAAAGTAATGTAAATATCAATTTTTTAATTTTTTTTAAAGTATTTTGTCTATATATGTATGGCAATTCTTTTGCTGCTAATAGAATATTTAAAATGGGTGGTAGCAGCTGCGATAAAATATGCACAAGTCATATGGATACAAACGAATTGACAAATATGAACGAAACAGTGAATATTGTAAATTCATTGAAAGAAGAAATACTAATGTACATCGTCAAGTATCTACGCAGAGTCCAAAAAAAGTTTAAACTTGACACGTACCTTTGTCTGCTACTAAGTGTAGTTTATTACGATTTAAAAATATATCATAAAAGTTTATTGTACATAAAAAAAAGCATAAGGCGTGATTACTTCAACTTCGTTTCGTGGATTTTTTTTAACAAGTTAATATCGATAGAGCTGTTTACTTCTGAGAGATCAAATGAAAAGGAATTGAAAAGAAACAAAATCGAGAAATTAAAGAGAAAATCTAAAAGGCGTAACCGTAACCGATCATATGGCAATAGGAATAAAACTATTTCGTTGGAAAAAAAGCAATTTTATAAAAATTCTAAAAAACTAAAAAAACTATGCATCGGTTTATTTCAAAATGAATATTTTCAAGGGGGAAAATTGAATTTCCTAGATGTAGAGAAAAATTATTCAAAATATATCTCTATGAACCCGTTTAAAAACTCGAATGAGTCTTTTTTTTTTAAGAACAGCTATTTTGTAAGAAGCGTTTTTCGCATGGAAAAAAAAGGAAGTCAGATGAAAAATGGAAATTTTTCAAAAAAAAAAGAATTCCAAAAAAGAGCAAAATTTTTAAAAAAAAAGACACATTTTACATTTTTTGAAAGGTATCAAGGGTACATAAAAAAGTATAATTTCAAAAATAACCTCCTGTCATTATTTGGGTTTGCCCATTTTTGTTCTCTAAATTTTTCTCTCTACAAGGATGCTATAAAAGCATATGAATATTTAAAAGAACAATTTCCGAACAATTTTTACGTGACCTGTGAACTAGCTAAATTATATTATCATTACGGAAGAACTAGAAAAAGTATGAAATGCTTTAACAAAATGAATCGCATCTACAACAGAAACAGAGTTTTGAAGAAATATATGATCCACCGATGTTGTATCCGGTACTTAGAGAGAAGACAAAGAAGAAAGGAGAAGTGTAATGATCATATTTTTCCGTGCGTTCAGGTAATAAATGCGAAGAGATGTAGGCACATGCAAATTATCATTCTACCTGAATTTTTTTCCAATAGGTTTATTTATGTTGAGTTATTGGTGAACATGCTGGTTTGCAAGAAGGACAACTCAGCATTGTTCATTTTACTTCACGATTATGAAAATGCATTGCGGAATTTAGTAGATGGTAGAGATAGACAAAACGAGGATAGAAGAATAAAATATGATTCAAATTTTTATTACATGATCGGGAAATACTTTTCGTTCTGCCGTATGAGGAAGAGATCCATTAGTTGCTTCAAGAAAGGAATTCAAAAGGATAGGAAGCACTTGTACTCTTATATGGCATTGGCTCAAGAATATTTTTCATGTGGAAATATGAACAGTTGTGTGTTCATATTAGAAAAGGTTATTAGTTTATATTTTAATAATCCCAGTGCTTGGTTTAGCTTAGCAAAATGCTTAGAATATATGAAGAATTATCGCTTTTCCATATTTTGTTATGAACAAGCTATAAATTTAGAGGAGAATACCATTTTTTACTACCACTTATCGGATATATATTTGAAAATGGGAGAAGTGAACACTTGTATAGAAACACTAAAAAAGGGATGGGAATTTAAAAAAGGTGTTTTATTTTCGTCTGAATTGTTTTATATATATTTATCAATATTTAAAGCACAAAATGGGGATTTGTCATTTATGGGCAAAGTGCAGGAAGGAAATACCACAAGCTACATTGAAAAGAATATGAATAAAAATAATTTTTTAACATTTTACGGAAAAAATAATGAATGTCTTAAGTGGTGTGTTAAATACTTAAAATGTTGCTTAAATAGAATGAAGATAATGAGAACATTAAATAAAGAAGAAGGATTTTCTTTTATTCGTAAAATGCAAGTTGAAGAAAAGCGGAAATGCTGCCATTTTGATGAGACACGATTTTCTTCTAATGAGAATCATGGTGATTGCGAAGAGTATATTAACAATTTTTTTTTTAAGAACTTTAAAATGATATGTGGAAAAAATACAAGTTATTTTTGTTTTATTAACTTTTTGAGAAACTCTTCTACGATTTTATTTGAAGCCATTTATTTCTTGGCAAATTATTTCTTTTTCAATAAAAAATTTTACAATTCGCTCAAGTTGTTTGAAATTTTGTGGGATGCAGGATGGATGTATTCGGAGGACTCGTTCAGAATGTATAGGTACGCTAAGAGCGTGTTACACAAATTAAAGGATGATGCATGCGATTTTTCTAAGTGAATTTCTGATTTTACACAAACTTCCCTTTTTTGCAGTTTATCTGTCTGTTTGTCTGTCTCTCTGTTTATGTGTGTGTGTTTTTTGTTATACGTAAAGTTGTTGCTTTATTTTACTTTGTTTTTTAGCCCCTCCACCCCTTCATAATTACTTCTAATTCTGTGTATTATTTTTAATTTTCATAATTTGTTAACCTACCCCTAGCTTAAGGGAAAAAAGAAAAAAAATGTGAAATATACTTGAGGATGTCGTTTAAAGTGAAGGAGGGGAGGGGTCGAGAATTGTTTATAAAAACTTAGAAGTATGTTCACTTTTTTGAGCAAAAATGAAAGCAAAAATTGTTTTTTTTTTTTTTTTTTTTTTTTTTTTTTTTTTTTTTTTTTGCATATATATTGAGGGAATACATTCATTTTTGCACAACAGTTTGGTGTGTGTGCTCGTGTGAGTTTATACTTATGCCTGAGCAGATATATGTGTAATCATACTGACACGTGTACATATAGACATTTTTCAGAAAACAGTAAAAATGGATCGTGCAGTCTACATGTTTGTAAAAAAAATAAGAAAAGCCATTGATCATGTATATTCATTATTAATTAAAGTAGTGCAAGGAAAAAATTCATTCAATGATATGTATGTGCAAACATCCATTTTTTGATAAGCACTCAAGAAAAAAAAAAAAAAATAAGAAAAATGAAAAATGAAAAACGAATGTGGACGTAAATAAATATATATATTTACAAAAATTTGAGTTTTTACGATTAATCCTATTTTAGTATTCCTAATTTCTTGGGATATCTTAAAATTCATTTGTTATCTATTAAGAAAAAGACAATGCAGCATTTGTATTATTCATTTTTCTTATACACATAGCGTAAATAAAGGGAAATATCTGAAGTATCTTCCCGTCAAGCCTTTTTGATCTCATCCCGTTATTTTATTTTATTCTATTTTTTTTTTTTTTTTTTATTACTTAATATTGAAGTATAGACTATTTGGTAAGGATATATATGTATATATTTTACCATTTAAAGATTCTACAAAAAAGTCAAATCATTGATATAGAAAATTTTGTGGCTTCTTTACGTAAAATTTTAAGTGACACATAAAATTGCGTTGGTTAATTTTATTTTTGTTATTATTTATTTTTTTTTTTTTTTTTAAAGAGAAACGATTGGATTGTGTATACGCTGCTATGTAAGATGAGGAAAACGTTAATGTCTAAAGTACCGTTTTTTTTTAGTGTGTGTACTTTTTTTATTCCTTTGTACAAAACCATTAAGGGAACACAGTCGTACGACATAAACAAGGTTTCTTCATATGATTATGAGATATTAAATAAGAACCAAACATTCTTGTGGAATGGGGAAAATGAGAAAATACACGAATTCTTAGGCTACGGTATATATGAAGAGGAAGGTAATAAAGAGAAAATTTTTTTTTTTTTTTTTTTTTTTTTAATTTCAAAGAAGGGACATACTGCGAGAAAATTTGTCGTACCTGTTAAAACAGGTTGAAAGTGTGTAAATGGAAAAATGTGAATAAATGCAGTAGGACCCTTGACTGAGCTGTAGAATTAAATAATGTATGTTCTTGTCTTGTAGGTGATTGTAACTCCTCTTCCCTTTTATATACAAGTGACAAAACCAGGAAACAGATAAACAAGGGAGATATATACAAATTTGAAGAGTTATGTTTTCTTCTGAGAAGTAGCATACCCTTTAAAATTACACAAAAAAGTGGGATAAAACAAAAAGGGAATAAAAATTATATCACAGTTAGGGAAAGCATAAAAAATAAATCCAACTCTGTAAATTTTGTGGAAGAAAAGATAAAGAAAAATGTAGCACCAAGTTACCCGTGGTATGCAGAAAAAAATAAAAACCATTTTGCTTATCAAGAGGAAATAAAGAAAATACAGAGTTGGACAAGAAAAAGCAGAATATTAGTTGAGGCATGTACATTAAATTGCGGAAGTGGAGGTGTGTGTGAAATGGAAGGGGGAATGCAATACTGTAAGTGCAATGTAGGTTATTCAATGGATATAAATGATAACTTAATGTGTAAAAAACATTGTGAAGTAAATAATGGAGGGTGTGACCCAAATGCAGAATGCATACCTGTTAGTCCTGAAAATGAAGTAGAACAAGGAGTTATAAAAAATGTTGGTGTTCTTTGCAAATGTAAAAATGGTAACGGAAGATTTATGGGCTATTACTGTAGTTCTGGTTATTTCACCTATTTTAGCTTCTTGTTGCTTCTTCCGTTCCTTCTGTATTGGTATTAGTATGTTTTCGGCAAACATATGGGTAACGTTTGAAATTTTTTTTATAATTTTTTTTTTTTTTTTTTTTTTTTTGATGCAATATAATGAACTATCCCCATGTCACAAATTATAAGGTAGAGTCAGTTGATTGATTTTGCAGCCATATCAACACAAAAAAAGGGGACACACACATGTGAATATGTGAATATTTATGTGGATACTCAGTGTTAACATTTTTTCTTTCAAATTTTTGGGGAACTTTTTTTTTCTTTTTTCATTCGTCTCCTCCGCAAGTGCTGTGCTGTGTTATGTTTTATTTTATTTTATTTTATTTTTTTTTCATTGCAGTTGTTTTTTGAGTGTATTCATGGGTGTGTGTTAAGAGTTTTTCTTTACACACTATTTTTTGAGTGGGGAATAAACAACTGGTTGATTTCTTCTGCATTTCATGTTTATAAAAAAATAACTGTTTCTTGTGTGGGTATCTGCATTGGAGCTACATTTTTTTTTTTTTTTTTTTTCCTCCATCAACTTGTGAGGATATCGGATACCTTAACATATGCCATGACAATATAAGAATTTGAAATATTTTCTCTTAAGATGTTAAAACATGGGACATGTAAAATTGAGTGTTCTTTTTATTTATTTATTTTTAATTTTTCGCATCGTGTCAGGGGAAGGGCGAAAATGACCACGCAATTAATCAAAAGGGCAAGCTCATATTGGGAAAAAAAAAAAAAAAATACTAATGTTTTGTCAATTTTGCGCATATTTACAAAATTGGGAGAGCGGAAAATATCAGATTAAGTGGTCTTTAAAAATGTATTAAATGTAATACCGGTTTGAATACCTTTTCGAATTATTCGTTCAGGGAAAATTGCCAATGTGTGGAATTCATATTGTGTTAGTATCTTGTTTAATTTTTTTTTTTTTTTTTTTTTTATCCTCCCTCTTTTCTTGCGTGTGTACATTTATGTATCCATTTTTACACACAATTACACTTTATGGATATTCACAACTGAGATTTTAATATAACAGATATATGTATGAACTTATGGCTAATTTGACATTCGCGCAATATATTTTTTTTTTCTTTTTCCCATTGATAATTACAATTTAATCAAGGAAATTTAATGATTTCCCAAAAGATAGAAAACATTTTAAGCTGGAATTGCACAGAAAGACACATAACACTTTCTGGAGTTTACAATGTTAGTTCATGAATTCCGGAACGCATAAAATTACAATAGAATAGTGCCTTTCGCTTATTATCATTTTTCTCCTATTCATGCATTTTACGTGCGGGATATTAGTGAACACATGTGAAGATATAACAAATTGCGCATGGAACAGACGAACGTCTGCGCAATAAAAATGCGACCCGGACATATGCACATACAGTTACATGCATATAGAGTCATATCCATATATATCCATTTACACAATACACAAAGTGTACACGGAACAATGTAATGAAGGAGGAAAGAACGTGATGATGCGCATCAAAATGTAAACTCAAAAGAGAGTAGCCTGTTTTTCTGCCATCGTGTTTCTGTAGGTTTTTTTTTTTTTTTTTTTTTTTTTTTGCTAAGTCTGTGTCAACGATGTTACAAGGGAAGATAAAAAAATTTAAACTACCCATAAACAATAACATTGAGAATTTTTTAAAGGACATAAGCTTAAAAAAAAATGAATATGTATACGGTTGTGGAGCAGAAGACATAGAAAATATTACTCTGAAGGCTGAGTGCATAATTAAATATTTTAATTTCATTAACGAAAGTTATAGTAACCTGTTATTACTATTATGTCAAGAGGGCTTCGATACATTGTTGAATTATATAAGGATATGCGATAACTTTAATGATGGAGAACAAGAGAAGATTTTTGGTTGTCTAACAATTTTAACCGAAAAAAGTGTAGATGTTTTTAAGAATTATTTTAAATGTATAGAAAAATGTCATAAAAAGAATGGGTATTGTGATAATGAGGTGGAAAAGCTACAATTTATTTTGAATGAAAATAATAATATAATGAACATGATAATTCAGTGTTTGGATGATAATTATAAGGAATATACAGTAAATGAAAAAAGTAAAAAAAAATTTACATTTTTCGAAATTCATGAAATATTAATTTCCTATTTTAATGCACTAACATTTGTGTATTTAAATGTTTTTAACTATTATTATAATAATAATTTCTGTAAACAACAAAATACAGAAATGGTTGTTGTCAATGTCCAGAGAGGAAGGAAAAAACTGAAAAAAGAAACTGAAGAAGAAACAAACATTGCCTTGAAAAATATGAATTGTCTTTTAAATAACATCATCTTGTTGTTAAGTAATATCAATTTTGAAATTTTATATGACGAGGTTAACATTCCTATAGTAGATTTATATTTGCAATTTTTTTTAAATATATACACAATTAATCAGGAAAATAACAACATGTTCAATATGAGTTTATATCATGATCATATATCTATGATAATTGGGACTTTGTTAAAAATATACATTAGGGAAGAGAAGTGTGTGGGGAGAATTAGGACCTCGTCCAAGATGGAAAACGGAAATATGGAGAATAAAAATAATAAGGAGAAAAAAAAAAGTAACTCTGTTAGTCAAGTGAGAGGGTGGCATAAAGATGACAGCAGTGATGATGAAAGTGTTGATCCAAGTGAGAGTCGAAATGAGGAAACGTTTAACAAATCTTTTAACGAAGTAGACGACAATAAAAGTGTGAAATCAGTGGGTGACAAATTTCACTCATTTTCCTTTACATATATTTTTTTAAATGCGTGTAAGAAATGTACGAACGTGAACATATGTGATGCTTTGCTAAGGGTTAGAAACACTGATATTCCTGCAATTATTATAAAAGAATTTATAGATTATATAAAAGAAAATTCTCTGCTGTATTTAAACCTGAGTATACAGACACATGCACAAAATGAAATAATAAATGTTTTAAATTTTCTGGAATATATATCCAAAAATTTAAGTTTTCATTTACTTTCATTTTTAAAAGACTTAATGGATATGCTAGGTATTGACATTTATTATATAAGGAAATCTATATTCGAAATGTTTAAAAATTTTATAACTTTAGCAAAGGCTAATGAGGAAGTACAGGAGAGGGGGAGTAAGGACATGGATGCTGAGAGCGAGTATGGCACTAAAAAGGAGAGACTCAGGATGAATATTGATGCGATGGATTTGGAGTACGACGAAGAGGGAGAAGAGGATGTATATGAGACAGATGAAGCAGAAGAAGCAGATGAAACTGATGAAACTGATGAAGCAGATGAAGCAGATGAAGCAGATGAGACAGATGAAGCAGATGCAACAGATGAAAATGATAGTAGCAGTGATTTTTTTACCCAGGGGAATGATGACTACTCTTCGGATGAAGAGTTTAAAAAAGGCCACGGAGGGAGAAAAAAAAAAATCAACGTGAGAAAAAGTAATAAAAGTGTCAGTAAGAAAAAGACGAAAAAGAACAGCATATTTAAAAAGAAACAACAGAGGCAAAAGAAGATGAAGATGAAAATGAAGAAGAAAAAAAAAAAAAAAAAAAAAATGAACTCCTATTTAAGGTCATTTCGTCTAAATATGAACGAAAGCAGCATTAGCACATATAAAGATATTATACACAAAATAATTTTAGAAGATATTCCATTTTTACAATTATGTTTTAGTGAATGTTTGAAAAATAGAGCTTTCATTTTGAGCGTGTTGATGTCGAGACAACATGATTCCAAATTACATGTGCGATGTCATTTGTTAAAAATATTACAAGAACTAATTGAAAATAATATAATTCCTTTAAATTATTACAACAACTTGTGCTTAATATGCAGTGAAAGGATAAATGACAAATCACCATTGGTGAGACAAAGAGCATTTTCTCTACTTTCATGCATAGCTAGCGATGTAGTGAAGAGCAAATATGTGATTCCATTAAATACGAATAGAATAAAGAGAGAATTAGAAAATCTGAGTAAGAGAAAAGAAGCGTTAAAGAAGAAGGAATTGCTGTCCCATGCTGATGGAAAGGGAGAAGAAATCAGTTCAAAGAAGTTGAATGGAATGAAACCTAAATTGAGGAAAAGCAAAAAGAAAGTTAATCTCTCAGAAAGTGATAGCAGTGACGAGGATGATGAAAATAACTTAGGAAAAAGAAATAGCACAATGCAGAATGTTGACAATTGCAGCACGTCTTCGTTGGTAGAAGAGGAAGTGAAAACAATTAAGGGATACAAGAATAAGTACGATTTGTTAATTAAAATGTATAATGAAGTCTTATTCATTTCAATTATCGTAGATGATTGTGTGGATTTATGTTTCAAATTGTTGTATTCTGTTGTAGAAACAGATCAGAAGAGTTCGATAAGATTTATTATATTAGCACATATATGTGGAAATAAGAAAGCAGAAGAACAGATGAACAAAGTATGGTCTTTAATTTTTAGTAATAACAGTAGTATTGTCGAAATGATTATAAGTGAATTTGTTAATGTTAATATTTCGTGTGATGATTACCGAATTAGTGCTTTTCGATTAATTAATATATCACTTAATAGTAAATTAAAGGATTTGTCTTGTTTAGAAAAAATAATGGAATGTTTATTAATGCAAGATAAGTGTAATGTTAGTGTTACAAAACTGTTAGACGAATTATTTAATATAATTTTTGTTGACACATTTAGTGAAAATAAGAATTTAATCATAAAAGAAGGTGCTTTATTACTTATGAAAATATTATTTTACTGTATCCATACAGTTAATTTAAAAAAAGGGAAAAAAGAGCAATATTTTTTTTTTAGTAACAAAAGAAAACATCTCATTTTGTTATTTATAAATCAGTATAAGGATAATTTGCATTTTATAAATTTGTTAATTTTAATTTTAAGATATAACAAGACTAATAAAATTATTCAGAATTTGTTAATCATTTTGTTTAATCTCGTTTTCGATCATATGGTTGATGAGAAAAATGAGAAAAAGAAAGAAAACCATTCCACAAATGAGTTGAACAATGGATATTCTTCTCCCTGCAGAATTGTAAGGGGTATTAGCAGGAGGAGCAGCATCATCGGTGACAATGCAAAAATGCAAAATTGTGATATTCCTGAATTGACAAATTATCTTCATCTGCACGATGAAAGAAATGTATGGTTCAGGTGTTGCCAGTCCATTGTGGAAAGTATGTATGAACATTTTGATGACTTCCTCATAATTTTTACTACGAAAATGAAGAATACGCTGAGTGCTATTCTTTGTAGTAATAACAGAAATATGAATGAAGATCTAGGATATTGCAAAGACAAGGATAAAAATATATCAGGATGTAGACTAGTGAAAAAGACAATGGACGAAGAAGAAGATGAAGAAGGAGGAAGCGAAGCAGAAGGAGGAGAAAATAAATCAAATAAGGTATCCTGTTTTGTGTTAACAAAATTTATATTTTTATCAGGACATTTAGGGTTATATACATACATATATGCGGAAAAAATACAAAATAAATTGAAAAAAATTGCATCAAAAAGTGATAGTAATTATGGAATGTGTACGAAAGAAGAAAAGGACAGAGAATATTTTGATTATGTAGTTGAAAATATGATTGTATGTAATAATTTACTGGGGAAAAAAATTATGCCTTTGATATTTTTAATTTTAAATAATCCAGAAAAGTTCTTTCATGATTGTGTAGTTAAAGAAGCAACTGATGCAGAGACTTTGTTTCATAAAGATTCCAAGAATGATACCGCTTTTATGAACAGTAATATGACCAAGGAGAGTATATACATGCATTATGAGATGTATTTACTTGTACTGATTTGTCTATTAACCTTGTGCAAATTTTGCATAATTTCTCAAAAATTTTGCCAAAATGTTATTAGTGAGCATGTGTCGATTATACAGTTAATTGTGTCCGTAATAATAGAAGAGCAGAACCAAATTTTCTCTTTGAAAACGGAGATATTTCTGAGTCCCGAGGGGTTAGAATCTAACGGGGATGATGAGGCTAGTGATGACAACAGCAGTTATTTCAAAAAAGGAGATAGTAACAGAAACTTTGATGATGTTGAGAAGTTCATGGATGAAGATTCAAAGGAATGGGATCAATTCGAAGGCTCTTCAAAAGGCAGAGGGATGAGAAGGAAAAGAAGAAACCCGAGGAAGGAAGAATATTTATGCATTGAAAATGAAAAATTGGATAAATTTTATAGCAAGAAAAGAGACTTGAATGAGGATCTATTGGAACAATTTCAGAGAAGAATAATGTATAGAACAGTTTCTAATATAAGGAAAATGCTCCTAATTAGCTATGCGGATTTGTTATATAGACATCCCAATCTATTAGAGCCATATAACAAATATATTTTTAAAGTTTTAAATGATAAAGATATAAATATGAGAAGAACTGCCGTTTCTGTTTTTACACATCTTTTTATGACAGACACAGTGAAGGCAAAAAATGTATTACTTGTTCATATGATGTATTTAACAATTGATAAAGATGAGAAAATATCAAGTGGATCGAAATCTTTTTTTTATGAATTAGACAGAAAATCTCATGTAACATTGGTTAACAATATATGTGATATGATTTGTGTTTTAGCAAAAAATGAAAAAAAATTAAAATACGAAATGAATAAAGAAATTGAAGAATTTCTTTTGAGCTTTATTAAAAAAAGTAAATATAACGAAACGTTAGTTGAAAAAATTTTTAAAAAAATGAAAGAAGTTAACATTAACAAGACAGATGCGTTAAAACTTTACATGCAAGTTTTCTTAAATATACAAATTGATGAAAAGGTACTAAGTAAAATGAACAAATGTTTTCATCTAATTCGGTACATCATAAGAGAAAATCAATATATTCAAGATAGTTTCATACAGATATGTAAAAAGGCTACCGAAAAAAAGAGGGGAAGACCAGCAGAAGAAGGACATCACCAACAGCAGCTACAACAGCAGCAGCAGGAACAACAACAAAAGGATCAATTGAGTGCATCGAACAATGAAAAGGGCCATACTGAACGAGCAGAAAATGATAAATCTGAAAATAAGATGAGAGAATTGGCTGAAGACATTTTGGGGAAAATTGAGTCTACTACAAACAAATCGAAGAACGCTTTGAATGTGCATAGCAATGTGACAAATACAGTTTTAAAGGATTCTAGAAATCAAAACGATAACGATGTACTTAGAAATGATGAGGAATTGAGTAAGCACGAGGAGGATGGATTTGACAATGAGGATTGAGTTGGGAACACATAGACGAGACGCTGAGAGGTGCTTCTAAATTTGAGGGAAAGCGGGCTACTATAACGGAAAATAGGAATGAAAAAAAAGGGGAAGAAAATAGGACGGAAAAAAAGGGGAAGAAAATAGGAATGAAAAAAAGGGGAAGAAAATAGGAAGGTAAAAAAAGGGTTACCCCAAAGAGGTATATTTTTTCTAGTTAACTCTTTTGCTTTTAACGAACATAGAGCTTAAACAACACATTGGAGGGTAAAAAAATAAAATAAAATAAAAACAAGATGGTATTAGGAATACATTTTTACCCTTCTCATTTTACGTGTTTTTTTCTTATTTTTTAATTGGTAAGGGAAATAATTTCTATAAAGTCAATCGTTAACAATTTTGTATATATGTTTTTATGTTAATATCTAAAATTGAAAATTCTTCTTTTTTTCATTTTTTCCGGCAATTTCACACCTTACATGTGTATACATATGTACCATTTTAAAAAAAAAAAAAAAAAAAAAAAAAAAACGAGCAAAGTGTAGAAAAAAGGAACATTGTTCGAGAAACGTCATCTTATCAATGTTCCTGTTTTTATGTAACATACGTTTTGTTTCACCCCCACTTGTGGTGATTATAAATGTGTGCATATATGTAGGTGAGTGTATACATATGTAAGCACGTGTACATGTAGGTATGTGTGACATAATATTTTTCTTTATTTTTTTTTCGTTCTTTACTGTTACAAATGAACAACTATTTGAAAATTTTGAATAGTATCATCGTTTAGTGAACTTTAAAAAATAACAAATATTTGAATAACACTTGCAGAGATGCTAATCCTAAGGAAGGATGTGATCTATCCCTTTTTCAAAACATGGAAAATGTGAAATTCTCTTTTTTACATCAAAGGAAATATTTTTCCTCGAATATTTCTTTAAATTGGGAATGATTTTTTTTTTTTTTTGTTTCTACTTTTCCTTCTCCTTTTTAAAAAAGTTACTGTGGATAAAGGATAAAATAACATGACGTCGTGTAGGGTTGTTTGACATTGGATATAACATCAACTAGTTCCACACTGAGAACTATTATGTCACATGTGTTGTTTTAATTCTCTACACATTTACACAGGTGTAAGCTTTTGTTTCTGTTGCTTATTTTTATAACCTTTTATATCTCTCAAAATTTTCCGATCTAGAGGTGAAATTCTGTTCTATCATATCTTGTACGTTTGGAAAAAAAAAATAAAAGAGGCATATATATATAAGTATGAGATATCTTTTGTAAAATTGCACGATTTCGCATTAGTTAAGAAATATACGCATGTGATCTACATGTACATTTTTTTTTTTTTTTTTTTTTACCTGTGATGACGTAATGGACTATTTCCCTTTTTACCTTTATCTGAAGTCAATCATTCGTGTTTTATTGTTTATTTATGAATTTTTCATGATGTTTTTGTTAAATAAGAACTCATATGGAAGAAAATTGTTGAATGCATTTTCGAGAATACAAATATGTAAATAAATAGATGAACGTGTGTATAAATGTCTTAACCAAGTACAGAATTAAGTCTGCTAGCCAAGGGAGTACGATCAAATTTACCATTTTCTGCAAGGGGAATGAGGTTTAAAGGGTGGGGAAGCACGCATACATATATATATATATATATATATATACATACATAAACGTGCATATATGTAAAAACATTGCATATGAAATTATTCTGCATAGAGAAACGTTTTTGATCCAAGCAACTTTTTTTTGGCACCTCAATATCGTTTGGAAAATAATCTATTAGCGAATAAAAGTTTAAGTTTTTTTGAATTATATGATGCATATTTTTTTGGGCTCTAGTGTGGGCAATTTTTTTTTTCATTATAATTTCGACTTTATTTTTAAGAACTATTCTGTCTTTTATTTTTTGTCTCTGTAACCCGGGTACAGGTGAAGGGAAGGGGGCGAAGAAGAAATAGTGAAATGGCCCTCAAACTATTTGTATGAATACACAAACTGTATGCACAGATGTGTATATTTAACTTTCTTTATTTTTGTTGTTCTGCATGTTTTTTTTTATTACGGTTTCTTCGTAAAACGTTTCGCTATTATGTTCGAAATCTTTAAGGGATTGATATTTCTTTTGTCTGATTTGTTCATAATGGTTAATTTTGTTTTGCATTTTTCTTAACTCTTGATCCTCGTAGACCTGCCAAATGATGGGCCAAAAAATATGTAAATGTGTGTAAACATGTGCACATTGATAGGTACATATATCTGTAGATATAATACCGAGTGTAACTAATATTACATGCGGGGAACGAGAACTAATCGATTTTAAAATAGGAGAAAATGTTACCTTTTTTAATGCTTGATTTAGGACATCTTCAACCAATTGTTCAATTTTTGGCTTCACTCTCCTTTGTTTTAAATTAAAAATGTTTTAAACCAAATTGTGTAGTAGTGTAATACATGCATATGTTCTTGTACAGAGATGAAAATAATGAAAACGTATATTTTTTCACTGAATTTGCATTTCAGCGGGTCTCAAATTTATATGATTTGCCAATACATTGTGATGTAATTGCATATCGTTGTTTCGTTTTGGAGAAGTTTTTACAATTATCGCTATATGTATATATATATATATATATATATGTATATATATGTATATATATTCCCCTCTTTCATACTCGTAATATTTAGTGAAGTCGTCAAGAATGACTTGTGTCCCCACATCCTTATAGGTTAACTTTTTTATTAACTTGTTTTTTTTACTTGTGATTAGTTTTTTCTTTTCTGCTTCTAATTCTCTCTTTTTTTTTTTTTTAAATTGTTCTATAATATCCGAGGTGTGAAATTCATCACTTGAACTATCATGTACTGATTGACTACTGGAAGAGCTAGCAATATTTTTTTTTACTATTATATCGTTTTGATATTCTTCTGCTTGAATATGTATATTTTGTTTTTTTAAAAGGTCATTAAGGTAATTATCATGACTTTTTATTTTTATGAATTGTGGTTCACATTTCCTATTTTGTGTCTTGTCTTTAGAATTTGAACTATGTTCATTTTTGGAGTTCACAGTAACATTTTTTTCATTTACACTTTTTGAGTAAAACGTACTGTTGGTATTATATCCTTTTGTTTTATTTAATGTTTTTTTAAAATTCTCTGTCTTTTCTTTTGGATTATTTTTTTTTGTTTCTGATTTTTCCGCCAAATTGTCAGCATGTTTTGGCTTGCTTTTGTCACTTTTTATAGCTGTAAATTTGCCATTTAATGAAAATTTTTTTACATTATCATTTTTTTTTTTTTTTTTTTTTTTTGATATAAATTTTACATTACAACTATAAGTGCAGACTTATTGACTTGTTAAAATTACCAATTTTAGGTAGACTGTGTTCAGATGTGCTGGGGTATTCTTTTCCCTTTTTCCCGCAAAACTTTACAGCGTAAACGAGAACAAGAACAAAATGCAAGGGAGATAGAGTGAGGGAACAAGTGGTGAATAAAATTAATATGTACTTACATGTAAGTGTAAAAATGAAAGAACAGTAAGTAAAAATAGAGTTCTTTATGTATGTACATTTTTTAAGTTCATCGATTTTTTCAAATTGCTGGAAGGGCATGCCTTTAAAATTAGGCACTCTTTGGCTAATTCTTTCTTTCTTATTTGTTGAAATATGTAACAAAAAATCAGAAGCGTTGTAAATGCAGAAAAAAAAAAAAAAGAGATAATAATGTAATATACAAGGAATTTATCAACTCTGACACCTTTTAATATACCTTGTCAGTAATTTTTAGGAGTCTCTTAGGATTTGCATTATTATCTGATATATAGACTGGTTGCTTTTTTGATTTTACTCTGAGGTAGAGAAAACAGAGGGTCAGTTGGAGAGTCGTGGGTGCAATACATACATATATATAAATATATATATATATTTATGTACATGCTCTTTTCAGTGTCTACATGATGAGAATTTGGATTTTTGCTGAAACTAAAATGCTATTACCCTACTGATTCTACTTTAAGATTAATGTCATCTTTCCTCATTTTTACTCACAAGTGAAAAATAGAAAAAAAAAAAAATATGTAAAATAATTGCATATACCATGTCATATACAAATAGCCTTCATATATGCCGATTCTTTATGTGTACCACTATGGGGAAGGAAATGGAACCAAAAAGGAAATGAAAGATGTGATACAATTCGATGTTATTCGATGCATTGCAGCATAGAGAAATACGTGCACAGTGAAAAGCCAATTTGTTTTACTTTATTTTATTTATTTTTTTTTTTTTTTTCCTACCTTTTTCTGTGTCTTTTTCCTCAAAAGGTAAAAAAAAAATATATATAATAATTATATGTGCATGCACATTCGGGGAGCGAACTAGGCAAGAATGAGCTGAACGAATTCGTATAAATGTCTATATTTTCATAAAGTTATAAGGGCATTTGGAATATAATGGAAAGAAAGTTGAAACATGGTTCAACTCTTATGATGGATATTTCATATTTTTCATGCCTTGTTCAAAGTTTTCAAATTTGTTTGCGGTTATATTGGGCATATATAATCGCTTTCCTTCATAAGTTTTTTTTTTTTTTTTTTTTTCCTTTTTTTGCTCTAATTTCTTTTTCCATTATAATTAAAAGAAAAAAAAAAAATATATTTCATTTTGAGAATGATAAATGCAGTTCTCTACAAATGAAAACTGATGGGAAATATGATCCAAAATTAGATAATAAGAGAAATGAGTCATTCTACATTTACGAGTACCCTGATTCAGAGTCAGAATGTGATTAAAAAAAAAAAAAAAAAAAAAAAAAAGGGACCCTAAATTTGTGCTCACAAATATGTATACTTATTTAAATAGAAAAAAAAAAAAAAAAAAAGTCAAAATAATGATTAAGGGGAAAATATTTTTCATTGAAAAGTACTATAAAAAATGAAGATGAAAAAAGGGGTATAGATTTGGATACCTGTATGCACATTCATATATATAAGTATATTCAAATTCACATATGTTTCTACATTTCATATCTGTTAGATATCCCTTGTTTTAAGATTATTCCCCTCGAATTAATCTAGCATAGGTGTGAGGTTTACATTTTCTGTCTTATAGTAATTTTTTTTTTTTTTTTTTAGAGTTAGGAATGAGTCAGAAAGGGTGTAGGAATTGGTAAAGATATGAAGATATATGTGTACATTTAAAGGGGATATATACTATGGGTTACACTGATATACAAACATACAAATTATAAAAATAAAAAATCATAGAGAATATTCTGAAATCTTTGAATCTGTTTCGTGTCATGTAGCAAAGCCATAGAATTATTTTTAAGATTGCTTTTTAATGTTTTTTTTTTTTCTACGTTTTTTCTTGAACTGTGCTCCTTTTCATTTATTATAACATTAATAGCGTCAAATATTTTTTTCACATTATTAGTAAATTTTTTCTTCTTTCTAATTAGGTCTAGTACATTTTGAAATTTTGAAGGGTCTATTAAAAGTAATATATTGAGAAACTCATAGGGGGAATATACATATAATGTGAACAAATACTCTAAAAGGTAAAAAAAATGTTTACTCTGAGAGTAGTACAATTTTCGTATAAAGAAATTGTGTTGATGTTCTTTAAGTATATCGATTATATATTCATTTTTTAAGTTTAAAAGGGTTAAATATTTTAAAATAAATAATTGTTCGTATGTGTCTATTTTATTTAAATAGCATGCAATATTAAAGGTGAATTCTACCATAAAGTAGGAGAAAAATGTTTTTTTTAATTCATCTAGCGACTGGAAGGTTTCGCTACTTTCGTATGTTGGTTCAATTTTTGTTTGTGTCACATTTGGAACAGGTTTCATTAGAATATCCTGATTTATTTCTTTCACTTTTTTGGATGCACGTGCTGATGTGAAAAAATCGTGTAGGCTATAATTCTTTAGGGAGTTTAAAAAAAGGGAATATCTTCTGTGCATTTTTTGTACGTCAAATGAGGACTCTCCAAATGGGGTCTCTTCAAATAGGGTCATTCCATTGCAGATCCCGGCAATTAGAGTTTTGTGTGATGGGTTCATCCCGGAATTCAGAAATTTTTTCCTTTCAAAGTAGCACAATAAACCCAAAAAACGATAACAGATACTCGGAGTTGTTTTTCCTTTAAGAATATATTCACATGTCACTTTCTTGAGAAAATCGTAATGAATTTTTACATTTTTATAGACATGATTGTCACAAAAGGGTTTAAAAATTTCATAGGAAAGAACATTCAAATAGAAGACCTTTAAGTAATTAATAGTTTCATTTACGATTCTTAAGTTTTGAAAGAATATAGAAAATATTTCAAGATAGAGTTTTAAGTCTTTATATACTTCTTCATCTATACTTACGCCATTTTGTATTTTTTCCATAATAAATTTTTTATTGATAAAATCACATTTTGTAAGCACATTTTGTAGCAGATGAAAATGCACATGGATATATAGATCGTAAGTAGAGACGTTATTGCATTGGTCTTGAATATAGGAATTAAGAATGGTTTCAGCATATGTTGGAATTTCATTGTAATGGTAGTGGTCTTTATAATTTTCTCTACTTTTATCATTACAAATGTTGTGTTGGCAAAATTCCACATTAATGCCATAAATAATTTTTAAGAAAATTCTCCTACTTATTATATTTTCTTCTTGTAAATAATTTAACAATAACAAACTTGTATACATATTTTTTTTTATGTTCATATAAATATTATTATAATTATTAGACATAATATTTTTAATTTTGAGATATGTCTTTTTCATTTCTGGACAGATGTCTTCTTCCTTGAGAACAAAATTTTTTACTGAAAATTTTTTTTGATTTTCGCTAATTTCGAATGTAGTTAGGCTGTCTGCATTAGTTCCATTTCCTGATTGTTCAATTTGGATATTTTCCTGGTTAAAAATTTCATTTTGTGTGTCTGTATTGCAAATATGTATCATTTCCTTTTCATTAGAGGGTAAACACATTTTCTCAGGGAACACAACGTTATCCAGGATCTCCTTGTAATATTTCTTTTTCCATTTTATATTTTCATTTAAATCTTGTAAATAATCATCCACATCTGCATTGTTATTTTTTTCCCTACTTTTTCCGTCGTTTTGGCTAGGTAAAAAGACGAGGTTGTCTAAATCTATTTTGCCTATTATTGAAACTAATATGTATAAGTGTTTACTATTTAAAAAGCAGGAATGTCGAAATAAGTGTTCTGTAATTTCATGAATTATTTTTGAATTTAACATATTATACTTATGTGCAAGGATAAGTGTTGATATTACTTCATTTATTGTAAATTTGTTTAAATGAATTAGTATTTTATTTTGAGTTTCTTTTATTTTTATAAGGTTATATTCATCAGCTCTGTTTTTTATTGTTTTCATAAGTACCTCAAAATTATATTTTTCATTTTCCTTCTGTGCAGGTATAGAATAAGATATGTGATTATTCACTTTTTTTTTTTTTCTTTTTTCCGTAATGGTATTTCCTCCATTGAAGTATCTTTTGTTATACTTGTTTTTTTTACTGTCATGAAAGCATTTTTTCCCTTTAAAAAGTTTCATAAAGGACAAATAACAAATTTTCATTTCTACCTTAAGGTATTAATAAAAGAAGAGGGAAACTGTACACTGCAAAGTTGTTATTTCCATGATTTTTACGAAGGATGTACATTTTTTTTTTTTTTACGAAAGAAGGTTTTGAGTTGGCAAATTATCTACATGATTAATAAAAAGTGCAAGGTTTAACTATTCTGTGTTGTATTCTTTTTCGATTTATGCTTCTAGCAAATGTGCAAAAGATAAATTTCAACAAAATTTTGTTTTTTCCAAAAAATAGAATGCAATAAAATAAATACATTTAAAATGTAGGTGTTTCAAAAAAAAATAAATTTTAATTAAAAAAGTAAAAAATAGCATCGCATTGCAGTAGCTTCAAAATGCTTGCTTTAAAAAATAAAAAAATCTTAAAAAGGGACTTAAAAAAAGGAGGAACAGCAACAACAACAAAAAAATAAAGAAGCGAAAAATAAACGGAAATGAGGCGAAATTAAAAAATTAAAAAAATAATGATAAAAATAAAAGGGAGGAGGGGAGGGGTAAATAAAGCTATATATATGTATGCATTGGCATACACGTGTAAGAATGAGCACTTTAAAACACAGTTTTTAAAAGAATTTACAAAAGCCCTCCCTGATTGTACTCAACTCATTAAGTGTTTTTAACCAGAATTTTATTAGCTAAAAGGTGAGGATAAAAAAAAAAAAAAGAGGGAATAAATCAATTGTGCTTCAGCAACTGATAAAATATATATGAACAAAAAAGATATTCAAAAAAAAAAAAAAAAAGTAACACACAAAAAAGTACATTGATGTAGATATACACATGCCAAATGTACACATAGATAAACATATAAGCTTGTACAAGCTTACGAAGTGTAAGAACAATCTAATGCAAATACGAAAACATATTCAAAGAATTGGTAAATTGTTATATTATACATAAAAATTAATATAACACGAATAAAATTTAAAATAATATGCTTTCCCTACCTCTTCATCCGAATGAGTTCTTGTCATATTATTCATAGGTTTCAATAAGAATAAATTTCCATATATAGACGAATTTTGATATAAAATAGTTCTAACATTTTTGTATATATTTATTAATGTGCTTAGGTCCTTATTTATTTCATCTGTAATATGGGAAATGTTCGAAAGGGTAAAGAAAAGAAATAAATAAAAAATATGTAATTTATTTTGACTTTATAAATAATTTGAAAATTTTCCAAAGGTGTGGGGAAAAACATTTGAACCACCTTTGGTGATGTAATATCATCGATTGTAGAAGTATCATAAACGGTTACAGTGCTAGCAAGAAAAAAAAAAAAAAAAAAAAGAAAGAAAGAAAAATAAAAATAAATAAACAAAACAAAATAAAATATGTACGTTTTTATACATGCAAAATTGTGTACACATAAGCACAACTATTTTAATGAGACACGTGTTTCAAGTAACAAGTGTGTGCTATGAAAAAATTACTTAAGTTGGAGATGGTGTCATAATTATAAAAAAAGAAATTGTAAATATCAAAGTTACTTATTTTTTTATTTGAAATATTGTTGAAAGAAACACGTAATGTTTTGTTATAGTTCCAATTATATATACCCCATAAATAAAAATTAATATATTTCGTTGTACACTTTACAATATTTTCCGCTTTCTCAGATGATGTGTCACCTGAATTCTTTATTGTTGAAATTTTTATTAACCTAGACCTTTTTGATTTTCTATAGGTAGCACTTAAAAGATCATTTTTATTTTTATATATATTTTTTCTTTTTCTACCTGGCTTATTTTGTATTATTAATTTTTTTTTTCGACCTCGTTTTTTTTTTCTTTTTCTTCTTTTCTTCGTTATCAAGGTATTGTTTATTAATTTAAAATTCCTCTCATCTGTACTCTCTGTTTTTATTTTGCTATTCCTTTTATTTAATTTTAAATAGTAATAGTTTGCATAAGAATATCCTATTAAGGGGGTTAAAATAAAATCATTATCTGGATATTTTTTTTTTCGTACATTTTTACACTTTGGACTTAGTACTTTCACAATTACATTTTTGCATAATTTATTAACATATATTTGCATAACATAAATGTATAACAGTATGTTAATATCTTCTTTACAATATTTGTACAAGGATTCTATTTTTTTAATTTTTTCATCGTCTAGGCATTCTTTAATATGTTCAGAGATTTCGTTTTTACAATAGTTGTTACTATTCTCTTGTGTTGTGTCAAATATATTAGAAGTATCATTTTTGTTCGTGAGATTTATGTGAACTGTGAAATTATATTCTCCTTTTTCAATAAGTTCTGTTTTCACGAAGACATTTTTATTGTTGGCATTACTTTGGTTTCTATTCTCCAGTTTGTCGGTTTCATTCTGTTCACTAGCTATAAAACTGTTTAAGGTTTCATTATTTTCATCATAATATGGGCTAATAGTGAACTCGTTCTTATCGCTTATATTTTCGCTATTCAATGTTTCCTTTTTTTCGTAAGAATTTTGGCTAGTTGTGGATTCGTTTTGATCGCTACCATTATATCCATTAACTGTTTCCTTTTTTTCATATGAATTTTGGCTAGTTGTGGAATCGTTTTGATAGCTACCATTGTCTTCATTAGTTACCTCCTTTTTTACACTCAAGAAATTGTTTTTATCACTTATGGAATGTACATGGATATTTACATTCTCACCGCTCAATTTTTTTTTTTCTAAAAAATCTTCATTTTTAATATTCATTTCGTTCGCTTCTTTACATGCAAGTTCTACTTTATCTTCCACGTGTTTGGGGGAATCAATTATAACTTTTTCTTTAATAGCTGTATTGACACATTTATTACAGATATTATTATTATTATTGCTATTACTATTGCTGTTATTATTGTTGTTATTATTGCCATTCTTATTATCTGTCACATGTTTCGTCTGATCGTTTATAACCACACATGTTTCATTTACGTTTTTTTCCTCTTTATAATTTGCACACAGATGCATCCCCTCTGTGTTTTCTTTATTCACGAGGGGATCATCGTCTAGAATGTATACATCTAACTCTCTATCATTTACAATTAATTTACTGGTAAGTATATTCTCATTACTGTTTATGCATTTCTTTATCTTATTTGTGCATTTCCATTCAACACGAACATTTACATCTTCTACTTTTGGATTTTCACTTTTGTTATCAGGGTTTTCTTTAACTTCAGCTATATTTGTATATCCTTGATTGTCATTTTCGTTAAGTTTACTATAATCTGAATCTTCTTTTTTGGGGCTCATACATTCTTTCCCTTGATTCACATTTTCATGTATGTTCATATTAAATTCGTCTCTATTTGATTTGGTTATAATCGTTGTCTCCTTTTTATCATCCACGATACTGGCATTACTATATGTACTTTCGTTTATACTGGTTTGAGATAATATTCCTTTTTCATCCTCTTCATTGTGAAGATTTAATTTCTGTTTTTTGTTTTCTGAAAGTTTAAAAAAATGTGTGATTTTTGTAATGTATGTATTCGTTTTTTCCTTACTTATATTGAATAGAGACTTTTTTGATGATTCTTGAATCATTTTAGTTAGGTTGTTCTGTAATGAATTCTTCTCTTTGAAAAAGGAATTTTTTTCTCCTTTACTGTCGAATTCGCTATTCTGTGCTTTAGTTTCGTTTATAGCAAGTATTTTACTTTTGCATTCGTCGTGTATCTCCATTTCGTTTTCTTTTTGCGTTACACCTTCTTGCACATTTTGGGATTCTCTGTATTCTTTTGTTTCTTCGGTATTTCCTGCCTCTTCATGTTTTTCCATATTTTTTGGTTCCGTATGTTCTTTTGTATCTTCGATATTTTCTGCTTCCTTATGTTCCTCCATATTTTTAAGCTCCGTAAGTTCTTTTATTTCTTCGATATTTTCTGTCTCTTTATGTTCCTGTGTATTTTCCCCATTTTGAAGTGACACTACTTTTTTCTTCCTACCTCTACGTTTTTTTTCTTTTACTTCTTGTTTTTCTACTAATTTTTTTCTCCTCTTAATTTTTTCATCTTTGGCTGACTTGCTATCCAGAAAGGATTCTTCTTGTCCCCTTTTTCTTTTTTTCATTCTCCTTCGTATTTTTTCCCTGCTACCATTGGGCTTTAAATTATCGTCTTCACTAAGTTCATTTTCATTTCTTTTTTGTATCTTCGCTTGTAAGTTATTCCTTTTTCGTTCTTTTCTATTTTTTTTTTTCCTACCTCTCTTCGAAGTTGGAACCTCAATTTTAATGGGGACATTATTTTCTGCAGAATTTTTTCGTAGCAAATTATTCGTTTCATTAATATTAGGGTTAGATGTACAGTTGTAAATTTTTCTCAAACTTTTATATTTCTCAAAAGATATATTTTCTATTTGTTCTTTTTTGGAGTCATCTATAATTTTAATAATTTCCAAGAGTTCAAAAATATCCATATCGATATTTAAACATGAAAAATAATAGGAATCATTAAACCAAAAAAAAGAGGGCGTTATTAAGAAGTATGACAGAATATTATTTTTGTTTTTGTAAATGCTTTTAATACATCTTCTATATAAAACACCTTTAGGAGACTTAAATTTGGCCAATAAGTTTCCTTTTAATTCGTACTGAAAAGTTTCTCCTTCTATTACTTTTCTTCTCTTTACGCACTCTTGGATACTATTGTTATTCCTTTTCAACATTTCAGAATCGTTCCCTTGTTCATTATCGTGTTGAAAGTAATTTATTGGATGTTTCTTTCCATAATCAATGTGGAATTTATTGTAATTATCTGCAATACTGTCATGGATGATACTACTCTGATCGCTCTGTTCATTAATTTTTTGATCAGATGTTTCATTGTAGTTGTGATAATAATGTTTTAGTTTATTAGGTGTGAAACTTTTTTTTTGTAACGACCATGATTGCAATATTCCCTCTTGTTCGATTTTTTCTGAGTCATCGTTATGCGAGTCTAGTGTGTTTGTATATGGGTACTTGCTTTGTGTGTCTTCTTCTTTTTCCTTTTTGTCTTTGGAGATAATTTCATTAAAATCATCGTTCGTTATGAGTACACTATTTTGTAATATAATTCTGACATCTATTTTTTTAATAAAATTTAGAACGAGATGATCTATGTGGAGATCTCTTTCACTTTTATAAATTTTCATTAAATTATTTATCATAATATTTTGTAAATTTGTATTGTTCGGGTATAACTTTTTTACTTCAAATAATTTCATGGCTAGTACAAAACACACTTTATTTTGTATACTTTTGCAAAAGCTAGATTTGATAATTTCCCATTTTTTATGAATAAAAATTTTATAATGTTTAAAAACTTTTTTATATTGTAAAATGTATTTATAACTTTCAAATGATTGAACTATATAAAACATTTTACTTGATTTTCTTTTCTCATCATTTTTACGTGTTACACAGCTGCTTATGCTATTACTACGTAAAAGAGAACTATCATTCGAATAGTCTTTTTTTTTCCTGTGTCTTATTTTTATTCCATGTTTGAATTCAGGGTTTGTAGTTTTATTAATTTCCGTTTTTGTACTAACATGAATTTCGCTTTCTTTATCTTTTTCGTTTATGTTAAAATAGTTATAACTTTGTTTTTCTTCCTCCTTTTCGTAAAGATTGCAATTACTTTTTGTGTCATTTGTATTTGTGTTAGATACTTGTTTTGAGGTAATGGTTGTATTTTGGTTCCTTAAATTATCGATATAATTTTGAACATATTTTCCATCGCTTAGATTATTCAAAATTTTTGTATAGTTTGCCAAACTCACCTTGTGTTCAGACGATAAGAATATATCATTTAGTTTAAGTTCTGTGTAAAAATTAACTATTCTTCCAATTCCGATTTTGTTTTTTTCTTTGTGCTTAAAAAATACTATGTCATTGTGTTCATAAGTGGCTAATTTATTTTTTTCATCATATTCAATGCTTTCATTTTCATTTATTTTAACGTTTTCCATTTAGTTAAAGGTAGTAATGTTCTTTTCTTTATTTAGAAAAAAACAAAATTACTAAATATTAGTATACAAGAATGGTGAAGCCGTTCAGACGAAATTACTAAACATTCGCTAATTGTATTCATTTGATTATTCCTATTTGGAGTATGTGATGAACAAAATTTGGTGTTTCATTTAAAAAAAAAAAAAAAAAGGAAAAAGAAACAGGAGGGAAAAAAAAAAAAAAAAGGGTATGTTCATTAAAATGGATGAAAAACGGAGTGAAAGTATTTTATCTTTAAAACATGACACTCATGGAAATTTAAAAAAAAAAGAAAAAAAGGGGAAATGTTTATCGGTTGGACGGTTAAGCAGCTATGCGGTTGCGCGAGAAACCGAATTGAAATGGTGGGAAACGGAAAACAATATACATTTGTGTGATGTGTACAAACACACGTTTTACACGTTTTACTTTTTTTTTTTTATTTTTTTTATTTTTTTTCTTCTCAAAGATTTATTGAATATTTTTGTAACAAGTACGTGATTTTACAGGGATAAGAAAAATAAAATGGTGAAGAAAATATGTTAGCAGTTCATATTGAATTTATCTTTTTAGGAAAGTTTCAGACAAAAAAGAAAATAAAAACTGACAAGGGAATCTTAAAAAGTTACTGTACACTGATGGGTAGCTGGGACGGAGAAATTTTAAAATTTACATAGCGCAAAAATGGAGGGTTGCGAAGGAGCATGTATATGTGGATATATACACATACAATACTAACATATTTAAATGCTCATATAAGAGTTTATATATACATATTTCATAACCTGATGTGTATATGCAATACATAAACAAAACATGTTATCAAATAAGCAAAATGAAAAATATGATAAATGATATGCATCTTTATCATTACGAAAAAAAGTTTATTATGCCATTTTAAAATGTTGGCACACATACGGAAGGTACGAATAAGGCTATAAAAATTTCACATTTTTTATACAAAACTTACGTACGAATGATATATAGTTTAGATATTCCCATGTTATCAAATAAAAAAAAAATTGAGTTTACACAATGAAATAAGTATTGTACAATTATGTTAAGTACCTCATAAAACAGTAGGGTGGTTGTAACGAACCAACAGAAAAAAGTAAAATACTTCTATAATGTAAGCAGTGCCTACGAATGTAATGGGTATACGAATATGTTTTAACGTATGTATTATACATATACATATACGTGTGTACAACAGTATTTACGTATTAGAATTGCTAACCCAAATAGGAAATTTATTGAATAGGATAATATTGATAAATAACAAAAAAAAAAATAAAATAAAAGGAAGGGAGAAAAAAAAAAAATGAATAACAGCAAAATAGGAGTAGAACAAAGAATCATGTAAAATAAAACACAAGAAAAGAAGAAATAAGGCCAAATTGAAGAAAAAAAAAAAAAAAAGAAAAGAAGAAAAAAAAAAGCAGCTAAACAGTATTCTATATAAATGCTTTTAAAAAAAAAAGAAAAGAAAAACTAAATTTAAAGAAAAAAAAAAAAAAAAAAAAAAAAATTGACATTTTAAAAATACTTGTATCCCCCATTTAGGAAAGGTATATTTCAAAATAGCATGCGTGAAATTGTTTGGGTGCTTAAGAAAAAACGTCACTACACAAAATGTAAAATTAAAAATGAGGTATTTACTAAGGCAAATATATTATTAAACAAAAATAAAAAAAATAAAAAAAAGGAAAGAAAGGAACTAAGTTGTGACATTAATTCATTTTATTTAAAATATTTGAATGCTTTACATTTCCCAGCTTATAACTTACTTTCGGCTTAATGAATTCATTTTAATTTACTTAATTAAATGAGCTTATGAATTTAAGTATACTTTTTTATACCTTTCACTTTTTTTTTTCTTTTTTTTAATTTTTCGTTTCTGCATAAATATATGCAACATGTATAATTATTTGAAGAGTTATAAAAATTTCAGTAGAATTCATAACAGTTAATAGCTCGCATTTTTACTCGTTTTTCTATGAGAGAAATGTGTGCCAGAGGCTCTTACAAAGCACAAATAAAAAAAAAAAAGAAAAAAAAAAAAAAAAAAAAAGACACTAACTAAATGAGTATACATATATTTATTCAGAATGTATAACCAACTGAACAGAAACAAAAAGAAGAAAAAAGATATCGATGATGAAAAATTAAATGTAGGGACAATGATAAGATGCAAACACTAGAGATGGCATCACATATATATTTATATTTGTACATGCGTACATATGTGTATACATATTTGTGCTTATATAAAGTTGTATAAACCTTTTAAGTGTATATTTGTGTAAGGAAAGGAGTACCTTCACATGTGTATACTAATGTCCCTCTATAGTTTAAAATCGTGACTTTACACACATTATGATGTTCTTTATGCAACGTTTCCCCCTTTTGCAACTTGTTTGAATAATTTGTCAAGGAACAAGAAGCTGCAAAAATTTACGCAGAGTTTGTACGGTCCTTTGAGGGAAATGCCTTGGAAAAAGGAAATAAATTTGTCAAAAGTAAAAAAAAAAATAAATAAAAAAAAAAATAATAAATAAATAGTAAAATAAATAATAAAATAAAATTCAATTGTGAGACAACTGATATGAACACATACACACAAGCATACGGTTTTCTCTAACCAATGTATTCATATGTGCGTATGGGTTAAGCATCATTTTGATATACGAATACATTGCCCTTTTCATTCTATTTGAATAGGTGGAAAAGTATTGAACCCGTCGAACACTCACTTCGTGCCATCAGAAGATGAAAATAGGAAAAAATCAAAGAGCAAATTTAGCAGGGTAGGAATTATAAAGATATTTGACATATACATAAAATTCTATATATGTGTATATATAAACACATGAATTTCCCTGTGGGGGAAATTCTTGAAGGAAGAACCACAATATGTAATAGCACGTACAAGCTTAATAAAGCATATTTCATACTATGCTTAGTTGGTGTGCTTTACATGATAGGTTTTTTCATTTTTTTCAGGGAGATTATTCATATGAAGAAAAAAAGAAAAAGGAAGAAAAAATAGACAACAACAAAAATAGTTCAGGGAAAGTAAAAGAAATAGATAGTTTTTTAGAAGGTTACACATTTTATTGTATTTAAAGGAGAAATGTTTAAAAGAAAAAAAAAAAAAAAAAATTAAAATAATAATAATAAATAAAAATACATACAAAACTATTACCTTTATGTTTTATTCACGTCTACAAATAGAAACATTTTTTTTTTTTTTTTCCTTTTTTTTAAATATACGTATTAATAATTAAAGAAATTAAATTAAAGCAGAAAATTTTGGATGAAAGGAAAATTTTAAAGGAAAAAGCACAATTAGCGAAATCTGAGGAGGAAAAAATTAAAATAAATAGAAAATTAATAGAAATAGAAAAAAATGAAACGTTATTTCCGTATGTTCCAAGAAAGGAGAGGGTTGCAAATTTATACATAGGAAATTTGTCTCCGGAGGTAAGAAAAGGGAGTTTCTCAAATGACATCATGATCTACTAAACATAGAATACGTATCTGTCAGGTGTGGAATAATTGTCATATAGATTATGATGTCAGTCTATTTACATGTGCACATGTATGAAAATGATAACCAATACCCTAATGTCAATGTGTATATTGGATTGATGTTCTTGATGTATTATAACTTCACATCTTCATATCATTCTCATTCTTCCCCTCCCCCGTCACAATTTGCAGGTTACTGAGGAATACATATGCCAACGCTTTGGAAAATTTGGAAAAGTAAACAGCGTAAAAATAATGTATCCACGTACAGATGAAGATAAGAAGAAAGCAAGAATTAGCGGATTTGTTTGCTTTGAAAATAGAGATGATGCAGAAAATGCAAGGGATGCATTGGATGGTGTAGAAATGTTTGGAAATATAGTGAAGGTTGGTTGGAGTAAAGCCATACCGAAAAATTTAAATACTAACAAAAGTGAATATAACAATTTGAATTACGAAAAAAACAATTTGTATAACATGAGTTCGAATAAAAAAATTGAAATTTTATTACCAGAGGATAAGAAGACGAAAAGAATAATTGATTTGTTAGCAAAATATGTTACGGAAGAAGGATTCACATTTGAAGAGACTATAAAAAAAAATGAGAAGGACAACCCTACATTTACATTTCTTTTTAATACGTCAGATTTATTTTATTATTATAAATGGAGGGTCTTTTCTTTTGCCCAAGGAGATAGTTACAAAAATTGGAGAGCTGATCCATTTCAGATGTTTGAAAATAGTTATGTATATGTGCCACCGATCCAAAAAAACACCAAAAAAGTTGTTTCAAAGAAGGGCAAAAGGTAGCATATTATTTTTTAAAACAAATTTCGATGAGGAATCGTTTATTTTTGTGGGAATGAGAAATGGAAATGCTGTTATATTTCGTAAAATGTTTTATTTTGGTTGTATAGTTAACTTTTTTTCTTCTTTTTTTTTTAGTAGAAACAAGAAGAGTGAAATAGACGAAAGGAAGAAGAAAAAACTTGTTAATATTATAAATAATTTAAATAAGAAGAGGTAGACAAGCAACTTATTCTTATTACAGTTTATTGTGACATAGTTTTCCTACTGTTTTGTCACTCGTTTGAGAAATTGTCCACGTGTGCTTAAATATATATATATATATATATATATACACATTTAATCGCATTTTTTTTTTTTTTTCTAGGGTGAGCATATGTCGTGCCATGATATTCTGCACAAGGCACAGCGACTTTAGCGCAGACATTGTGAAAACTATTTCGAACTATTTAACGGATATGAAATACGATTTGCTGAAAAAGGTAGGTTGACTTGTATAAGAGCTCTTTTTACTTAGTTTATTTATTTGCACTTTTAATTTTTATTTTTTATGCGCATGTGCGCATTGAACATATATTTTACCCCAGCTTTTCACATTCCTTTTGTTTCTTTTCCTGTCCAGATAAACTTAGTTTACTTGCTTTCGGACATTCTTTACAACTGCAGCAACCAGTTTTACTCGTCCTGGTCTTACAGAAAGCACATAGAAGAAGAGCTGCCTCGAATATTTTTTCATTTTCGGAAGAACACAAAAAAATGCGATAGTAAAATAAAGGCCAAAATATTTATAGATTCGATTATGAATATATTTGATATGTGGGACGTATGGGCAATTTACAGTTCCACTTTTATGAACGGTTTAAAATGTTTATTAACAAATAAAAAATTAAGTTATGTAAAAACTGAGATGCATGATTCTGATTATGATCCCGACGTAGACGGGACAAAAATTGAATATTTCGATGAAATAAAGCGATATCCATTAAATTTGAGAAGAAACGCATATTTATATTTTCACAAAGAGGAAAACCAATTAAATCGATTATGTGAACAAAGAGGTTTGTATTTCGATGAGAATTTCAAAAGAAAAAAGAAAATAAAATATTTAATATTATATGATGAATTTTGTAATAATAATAATAGTACACCAAATGAAAAGGGCAATTTAAACATGTTATCGGATGATATTAAAAAAGTCCCTGTACTTTTCAGTGACACGATTGATGCTACTTATGACGTAGAGGAGAAGAACGCCAATCATGTGTTTTGAAAGGATAGCAAAAAAAAGTATATTGCTGTTTAATTTATATGTATTTTTTTAAACTCCATATATAAATACACATTTGCATAATAAAAATTTGTAGGCACACATGAAGGTTTATACCATTTTTTTTATTGCACTTTTTTGTGGTTTCTACATTTATCTGTTATATATGTGTATATATAATATGTACGCTTTCGTCAGAAAATGCTTTAACCCGGGCATTGGTATTTTTTTACATCCACGTACTACACATTTGTGTGTTTTGTATTATGCCAATTTAAAAAAGCACATGCGATACAATTCATTTAACAAAACTTTTTTTTTATATCTTTTTACACATAAATTTGTCATGTGTAACATTTCACTTATTAATTCTTTTGTTTTGTTTTGCTTTGCTTTGTTTTGCTTTGCTTTGTTTTGCTTTGCTTTGTTTCGTTTTATTTTCTTTTTTTCCACAAACAAAATAAAACTATTTTGTTAAAATTAAAAACATGGTAACATTTAAAATTTGGATAACAATTGAAAAGGATGTTATTTTTCCCTTGCTATTTCGATTGTGCAAATTAAAATTTATTTATAGTGTGGGTTATGGGAAAATTCGCTAAATTTTACAGATACATATACATTCTGCATGTTAAAAGAAGACTAAAGCTTGATAGCTATTTTTTTTTTTTTTTTTCATGACTCAAATTGACAAAGATTTGAATACAGTTGTCGTTTGTGGTGAGGTTCATAATATTCCACCCATCTTACTACCGCAGCTGAAAATATTATTCTGTTGCACTTTTTAAAGTATATCAAAAAGGAAATTATGTGCGGCATACATAAAGAATGTGCTTATTATTTTTTTTTTATGTCAAATATTTTTTATGCAAAGTAATATGGGCTTATATCCCTTTTTTTTTTTTTTTTTTTTTTTTTTTTTCCTGGTAATGTAATATTACATATGCTTCATACTTCCTGGAATTATACGTTTTATCAGGTCACATTTTTAGCCACAAAAAAAAAAAAAAAAAAAGTAAAATAAAAAACTCATCCACCCGATCAATAGGTGTAAATTTTTTTTTTTTTTGAAAAGTCAGTGGGATATCCTGGATTTTCCCCCTTACCCCCCTTGTAAAATTAGAGGTATATCCTGAAATAATATGAAAATAACAAAATTCTTTATTATAATGATCAGTGCCATACCATATACATACATGCCGGATCCACATATATATGAAATCTTGAATTCTTGTGTCGAATTCATTCGTACATACAACTATACACAATACGAACTAAGGATGTGCCATTATCATCTATTATATATATTTTAAGAAATTATGTCGACATCCCCAGGGCTAAAATATAGCTACCACTTCAATCACCAGTACGGTACCAATTTAAATTTTCATTATTTTTAAGGAGCTAGCAAAAATATTAACCACATTTAAATATACTTATTTTTACATAGTTATATTACATAGTGGGCACATATGTTTTGTCAAGCCAGCATAAATTTATGGATATACCTCTCTTTTTCTTTTTTTTTTTTTTTTTTTTTTTTAAAAAACGAAAGGGTTATGTATTTTAAAAAATATTAACGAATGAATAGAATAAAATTAACATTTTTTATAAACCCCTCCAATTTTTTTTTTTTTTTTTTTAATCACTTTTTATATTTAAAAAAAATAAAATGTAAACATTTTTTTAATTTTATTTTTCTGTAAATTTTTAACAAACAGGATTGAAAATTAAAAAAAAGTTCCATTTTATATTTTCTTAAAACTTGATCAAGTATGCAAATTTTTATAAATATCCCATATGATGACTCCTTATGTATTGAGTCATCCAACGTTAGTACCATAAAAAATGTTAAAGAGCAAATATCAGAACTGAAAGGTTAGCCAAAGAAAAAAAAAAAAAAATATATATATGTAAACATGTATATTTATCCCATCATTTTTTCCCTCCATTGTGGGATCCTTTTTTATGTTAAAACACACATGTTACTTTTGTACATTTCCCCGTTTGTATTTAACACCTGTTTTGCATTAACAGAGTTAAAATTTAGTTTTTTATTATGCCCATTTTAACTCTTTGAAGAGTGTATATATGTATATAATTATACTGTAATTTTTGTGTGTGAGATATTCTTTTTTTTTGCTTTTATATGATATATAGTGGCTAGACGCCTCCTTATGTGCAATAATCATGTACACTTCTCTTATTTGTACACATTTATATACATTCATAATTTTTCTTGCGTATACAAAAAAATTACGTAGGTATTCCTTGTGAGGCACAAAAATTGTTCAAAAATGGTCGCCAGTTGGGAGACGAAGAATTGATTGAAGTTGATGAATCTGAATTTGTAAGTTTTAAAAGAAATAGGAAAGAACAGAATTTATAGCATATTTATGCGTCGTTTATGCGTCGTTGTTAATATACATATGTATTGTATATAGTATTGTACAGATTATTGTTCTGAGTATCTGGGTACAAACAATCAGAATAACAATTTTCTCATGTGTGTGTTAAGTGTCTACATATGAATACGAGAACCGATTGAAAGTTTTTCGTACCCGTTTTGTTGTGATTCCAAAAGGGTGCACATAAGAGAACAAACACAATTGGAATACGCTCGATTTTTGCTAAGTGAACGAATAAGAAAAGAGATAAATGTTAATAGGGTTCATATTGTTATGTATGTGTAATGCATGGATACTTTCGTCCATTTTTGCATGTCTATACGGCTATACCATATTGTGTGACCAATGCATATATCGTGAATATTTTTGTAAATTATGTTTTATGATGTAAAATTTTTATTTTTTATGATGATAAAATTTGTCAAAAGCAAGTAGGGACATGAGAATATAAAATGTGTTCGCGTTTATATTATCTGAAAAAATAAAAAATGTACATTATGCTTTCTCATTTTTTATTCGTATTGTTTGCTATAAGGATGTGCAAAGGTGATAGGCCTTTCCCATTACTTCATTTAGTTTTACATCGAAATGTGTCTCATATGGGAATACGGAAAAGTGTCCTCGTTTATATTATGCAGAATATAGTATCCCCATTCTGTGTTCCACCATTTTATGACATAAAAATTAGTAATTTGTGGTGTCTTCCTATTTTTATCGAATTTTTTTTTTTTTTTTTCAGGAGTACACCTTAAACTTAACTTTTGGATTACTTGGAGGTGGTAAAAAAAAGAAAAAGAAAGTTTATAAGAAACCCAAAAAGGAAAAACATAAGAAAAAAAAAGTCAAATTAGCTGTACTTAAGTTTTACAAAGTTGGAGATGATGGAAAAGTATTTAGATTAAAAAAGCAGTGTGATAATTGTGCACCAGGTACTTTGATGGCAGCACATTTTAATAGGGATTATTGTGGAAGATGCCACCTTACAATTATGAAAAAATAAGGCTCCTTAATTTTTACTATACAAGCGTTTTTTTAAAAATGTTTTTTTCTTTTTTCACATCACATTTCTTATTTTTTTTTTTTTTTTTTAAATTACACATGTAAAGAACATATAACAAAAAACTAAGAATTATGAATTAAAAATATTACAATTCATTTACAGAAAAAAAAAAAAAAAAAAAAAAGTCTTATATGTTAGGTTAGGTACCCGATGTTGTGCATTTCGCAAGAACGAAATGGAAAATTAAGCAACGAACGGTCCTTGTGTGTATGAAATGTTCTACACTTAGGTAATAATTCCATCGCAATTTATAAAAGGGTATTATCATTTTTATTATATATGTATATAAATACAAATAATACATGTTCATGCTTATATACATGCTATCTTTATATTGTGAAGCATTGAAAAGGGCAACCAAAGGAATAAAGTGTTCCATTATTATATGTTGGTATAATAAGACTCCTTTTTTCCCAAAGGGGGAAAAGGACATATAAAAGGACAGAGGTATGCAGAATGGATTAACGAAAAATAAATGCGCGTTCAAAAATTATGAAAAGTTTTTTTTCATGTGAACATTTTTTCCCTAATTTAAACATTTTGGAAATTCTCAGTAAGGCATAGAAAGCTGTTTGCAAAATTTTACTTTCTGAATTTTAAAAAAATAAAGGAAAATTGTTCAAAATGTAAAATATAACTTTGCAGATATGTTACTGACCAAGGGGGGGGATCTTTTTTATTTTTTCTTATTTTCTTTATCACACATAACAGAGAGGAGATGGGAGTAAGGAAAATTTGTACCACTGGATTATTATGTACATATGCAAGTATTACATAAACGCATGTCACTTGTGTCATTTACAGTAAGAAATACTGACGAAATTTTGTATAGTCATTGTATGGAAATGTTTTATTTTGTTAAAATGTAAAAGGTGAAAATGTTCATTTGTACATTCGTTAAAAAAAAATTAAATTGCTTGTATAATTTTTTTTTTTTTTAAAGTTTATGTTCTCTTTTAATCATCTTGAAAAAAAAAAAAAAAAAAAAAAAAAAAAAAAAAAAAAAAAAAAAAAAAAAAAAAAAAAAAAAATTTTTTTTAAATTTTTTTTTTTTTTTAAATTTTTTTTTTTTTTTTAATAATATTTAAAAAAAAAAAAAAAAAAAAAAAAAAAAAAAGCAGAAAAAAAAAAAAAAAAAGAAAAACATTTGATGGATCAGCGCATGTGCCCCCTTTTACATTCCCACAATTGGAAGAATTAAAAGGAGAAAAAGTATATTTTTTAAAAATATTATAACAATGGGATTTTATAATGGCAAAAGTTTAAGAAAGGACATAGAAGTATAAGTCTGTTTTATCCGATTTTTGTACGTATATATACAGATATATATATTTATCAACTAGGCAGAATGGGAATTATATTGTATAATAAATTATATCCATTGAAGTAAAAACGAGAACAAATAAATTTAAATTTGAATACATTAGGGAATAAGTTTTTGTACGAAAAATGAATTAAGTTGCATTTTATTGGACTACATATATGTTTGCAGTATACATATGTTGCATGTAAACGTTATGAATACATTTACATAAATGCCCTTGGATATTAATATATATATATATATATACATATATATAATGCAATTGGAGATATATATGTAAGCCTAGAATGACAACTTTTTGGGTGAGCACAAAAAAGCATTATTGTGAAACGTGCAACTGCTGGTTGTCTGGGCATAAAGTGAACATAAAGAATCATGAAAAGAGCGCAAGACATGTCGAAAATTTAAGGAAATTAATTAGCGAATCATTTAAAAGGAAAGAACAAGAAACGAAAGAGAAAGAGTTCCTTGAAAAGGAATTAAGAAAGTTAGAAAATGTAGAAAAGAAATACTTGTCAAATTTAAATAAAAATGAAACATCCCCTCAACAAGATGGCGACAACAAATTGAATACTCCATATTCTTATGCCAACAACATAAGTAATAACAGGAAAAGTAATAACAATAATGAAGGAATAAACTGTAGTAATAACCGGGGTAATAGGCATTCTAGTCATAAAAAATGGATTCTAATGGTACATGAAGATACGGGTTCTTTAATATTTTTCAACAGACTGAAAAACGACATTGTGTATGAAAAACCAAAGGATTTTCATGAAAATTTACTCAACTACGAACCAGTTTCTGAACAGAATGGATGGCATAAATACTTTGATTATAACTCAAATAATTATTATTATTTTAATATTTACAGCTCGAAAAGTATATGGGAATATTCAATAAACAGAATAAGTACTTTGATTGATTTTATCGATCGTTGTGATGAAGCTGAAGAAAAAAAAATCAGTAGTAATTACACAGAAAATGTGAAATTGAATACGGATGCAGATCCTTTGTCTGGTCATCACGTCCTTTTAAATAGAAATATGAATTACGCAAATTACCCCCAAGAGTATATTCCGAATAGTTATTATATACATGCCAATTATAATTCGTTAAGCAACGCAGCAGGTAACACAATGGAGCTGGTTGAGAATTCGAAAAAAGAAATGATTAACAGGAACAGAGGCAAAGATATATTTTCTGGTGAAAGCGGTGGTAACACATACGATAGTACACAGTATAACAAAATGGGTGATGCATTTTCTGTCTCCACAAATGACAGGATGCATGAAGATGGAGAAAAAATTGTAAAAGAAAAAAATAACATAAAGGGTAATGCAAGCCCAAGTGATAGCAATACAGTGAACGAAGTAGTCAAAACAGAGAAGGTCAAAAGTGCAATTATCACAAACAAATTTAATAAAAGCAATATAGGTCTAGAGGGGAACAAAAATAATATGAATAGTTCTTTCTCTTTTAAGGAAGAAGACAACAATAACCTTTCTCCGTATAGAGAGAAAGAAAAGAATGGTAATACAAAAAAAGATAAAGAAGGGGAAAGAAACAAGACAGATGAAAAGGGTCAAATTAAGAAAGACTGTGCAATTCAAATGGATGAAAGCTCTAAACCAGGCACATGGGAAGTTGTGGAGAACGAGATAAATATAATTTCTAATGAAAATGTTGAGAAAATTTTTTATAATATAAAATCTAAAGAAGAAATAGAAAAAGAAAAAATTGCGCATCTAGAGGATCATATTCGTTATGAATATTCTGAATATAACGAATTTTATATAAAAAAAAAAGAATTAGAGAATGAAAAAATATATTTAAATCAAGAATTTAAATTTGTTGACAAACCTATATATAAGAAAATTATTGATAAGAATCGGGATAAAAAAGTAGAATTTGCGAAACGGAGCATTAAGGGCATGATGAATAAAAAAAAAATTGCATAGAGCAAAGCTGTTTAAGTTATATCCCTAAGTGGGAGGGATTTGTCCTATATTTTTTTTATATTTTCCGAAAAACTGACCATATTTTTCCGATTTGTATATGTACGAATACGTACATATGTATATATATGCAAAAGTATATGTGTAAATTGTTTAACATATAGTATGTTACTTTTTAAAGTTCGTATCTATTTTAAATATAAAAAAGTTAGCAGTTTCCACACGCCAACTTTTTGAATTACAGGGGTTGTTAAGCTAAATGTTATTTGTTTTTGCGCATTCGTTTTTTTACTGCTTTTTTTTTTTTTTTTTTTTTTTTTTTTGTTGATTTGCATGTGTTAACATAGTAAAAATAGGATTCTTATTTATTCAATTTTTGTTTTTTTATTTACACATATGAATAATATGAACTCATTTTTAGTTATGTCATAATAATTAAGCATTTAAAAAGAAAATAAAAATGATAAAATTAAAAATGTATTAATCATTATCTAAAAACCATGCACAAAATGTATTGTGCATATTTACAACAAAATATGTACACATGATGCATTGTAATGGAGAAAATAAGGGTTTCTTTTAAAACGCTACACATGATAAGCATTTTGGTAGTAAGTAGAACTTTCTGCATATATGCTAAACGTATGTGTATGCATATGTGCATATATATTATATTCACACACAATAATCAGAAAGGGGCGTTACCTATTTATAGGTGTACTTGGATTAACAAGTTTAAATATAAAATTTCATGAATTTTGTAAGAGGTTAGCGGTGAAAAAAAAAAATTTAAGATCATGAATTTTTATGGATGGCATATATTAGTAAAAGAGCTTAATTGATGTGGAGCTCACGAAACTTAAGTGCTGAAAAAAAAATAAAAAATAACACATATGTGCATACCATGAATACATACTACGTATATACATACGTAAGTAAATATTCGCAACACATGCATACAATTTGTTTTAAAAAATGAAAAATTTCTTCAAGTTTCACCTTTTAAAAAAAAATAATTTTTTTTTTACAATACATTTTAGAAGCAAAGGAAAAGAGAAACAAGTGTTAAACAAATGCCAACTTAAATCATAAGGGGGTAAAAAAAAAGAGTGAATTTTATAAGAACACTAGATTTTTATACTTATACGCAGAAATATTCACTGCATGATATAGGTAAATTTTGAAATAATAAAGAGATAAAAGCGAATACATATCTAAATGCTGCTAAACATTCCTCACTATAGTTTATGTTAAAGATATCCACAAATAGGCATAAAAAAATATATACACATATATAAGATTATTTATTTATTTTTTTTTTTTTAGGAACACCCAAAATATATAATCAAAGACAAAAGTATACAATGCATATGTATCTTGCATTGTAACATAGTCGTCTTTACTACTAATCTTAAATAGCCCAAATATTTCACTCTTCCTTTTTTTTTTTTGGGGGGTGGGAGCGAGGAAACACATATTCAGAAATTACATTCATCATATCAGCTTATTTTCAATATTTGTGTGAATACATCGGTTTAGGCGTCTCTGATTGGGTACAACCGTATTAGGAAGTTGGAAAGTCGAGCTGCAGTGTTGACCCTCAAAGTTGGTCTGCAAAGTTTATCTGCAAAGTTGATCTGTAAAATTGATCTGTAAAATTGAACTACGAAATCGTATTGCAGATATCGCTTGATCCACGCTCCTTCACACACACACTTGTTGACCTTGCAAAAATCGGGAAAAATGGAAGGCTTTGAAGATATTGAAAATGCATATAAAGAAATAGAAGACGAGATAATAAAAACCATTGACGAGCTATGCGGATGCAATTATCTGAAAATAAAAGATGAAATAATCATGCCTCACATGAGTGAAAGCCTAATCAACAAAATAATATTACTGAACAGGCATATTAACGATAATAGCAACGCTGAAGAATTTGAGAAAAGAGTAATGAACGAAAGAGTGATGCAGATTAATGATAAGTTAATTTACCTATTATGCGATTATTACATTAACAAAAAGGAAATAGATAATTTAATTAATTTCACATCTAGTAATGAAAATTATTTTAATGTGTTACCTCAAGCGAAAATGGCCAAACTGATTAGAAATATTGTAGAGAAGATATCGAAAAAAATTCGAAATATAAGTACATTATATATAATATTTAAAAAGTATATGAATTGGGCATATGAAAAGAAAAGAAATTTTTTAAGGTGTCGTATAGAGGTGAAAATAATTATCTTATTTATCTTGAAACAGAAATATAAAACAGCATTGAGTTTAATTGAACGATTGCTGAAGGAAGTAAAGAAGGTGGATGACAAAACACTGTTACTTGAATTGTACATTGTTGAGACGAAAATTTATATGTTACTTAAGAATTCTACTAAAATGAAAGCATCGCTGACATTTGCAAAGAATATTGCAAATACTATAAACACAGCTATTTACATTAATAGTGAAATAGATTTGCTATCAGGAATCCTATTTATATATGAAAAAGATTATAGAAGTGCATATATATACCTCTACGAATGCTACGAAACGTTGTATACGTATATTTATAATAGTCATAACAACACTTTGGATTTTTTAAGCAAAAAAAATAACGATTTTTATTCTGTTATTATTCATAATATAATTAATACGAGTACAATATCATCACAAAATAAGACAAAAAGTATAAGTCAAATTAGCCCATTTTTACTGTCCTTTTACACATTTTATGAATATTATGACAGCAGTAATAGCATCTTAAATTTGGACGAAATGAATATTATTTCAAATAATGTAAATTTAATATATAGTGACATGATATGCAAAATTAGTTCGAGTTACCAAGAACTTGATGAAGAGAAGATTTACTGTATTACCAATCCAATTGAATTAAATTATGAATTAATTAAATATTTGACATTAGATAATTATGGAAATTTGCTAGAATCTAAATCGAGTAGCAACGTTACAGAAAGTTCTATTTTTATTTTTCCTGAAAATAATACGATATGTGGAAACTTTGGCCTAAATTTAAATATAGAAAATTTAAAAGTTATCGTCCCTTTGAAATACATGTTACTATGTAAAATATTAGAAGAGAATAATAGAAAAGACATAAATAACATTTTGTGTGAAAATAATAAATTAAATTATATTCCAAATAAAGAAATTCAAATACTGTTGGAGATATCCAAATGTTATGAAAATAGGTCTTTAGACGTATTCGAGAAAATAATTAAAATAAATATTTTCCTTATCAATGTGGATAAGGTGATTTACAACTATTTGAAAGAGCTGTATGAATTGTTACTAGAAAAGAATATTTTAAAAATTATAGAAGCTTATAGTTGTATCGATTTGAATTACATAGGTCAAAAACTAAATTTAGATTTAAATAAAATTATTTCAAAATTGTCTGAAATGATCTTAGATAAAAAGCTGAATGCTACGTTGGATCAGAATATTGGAATTTTAATTTTGTACGATGACATGCCAGAGACCAATATGTATCACAACGTTTTGGAAATAATAAACAATTTGACAGAATCGGTGGATATACTTTACCAGAAGGCACAGTTGACGGTATAGTGATGCTTTTGACAGATGTTTACAAGAATTTTGTAAAAAAATAAAAAAAAAAAAAAACTGCGAAATTTTTTTTTTACAAACCAGGTGATTCTTTTTTCGAAAGGAATTTCATATATATCATATAGAACGATATAAAACTTATGGATCTCAATTTGAGATAGAATGGGTAATTTTTTAAACGGATAGAAGTATACATATATTATTGTTCTGATAGACTTTCCTGCATGGTACTTTAAATCTTTCTGCATTTTTTCATGTACATTAAAGCGGTTACATCTGCAGGAGTATACTCAGATGCACACATATCTGGGTTCGTATTTTTTTTCGAAAACGTTTTCTGGTCACCTTTTTTTTTTTTGCACTTTCTTTTTACATGTTTTTTTTAAAAAATATTAGCTCTGTGTTACTTTTTTTTTTTTTTTTCAATACTAAAAAACAAGTTATGAAAAATGCACTCATAAAAAAAAAAAAAAATAATAACAATAATGTAAAATAAAATGAAATAAAAAAAATGTAATAAAATAATACGGATTTACAGCAAAAAATCAAAAAAAACAGTGCAATCACATGCACTACTAGAGGAAGTATACACTACTCGAGGTACCAGAATATGGGGCCCTCTCCCTTGGATCCATCAGTCCTTGGAGGCATCCAAGGAAATGAGGTGGATTTGTTTTTTATAATGTAATTACTTCCGTACATACACATGGTACAATAAAACAAAACGAAAGACCACAAAAACCAGACAATGGATACTTCCACTTTGTTTGCATCTTTCAGATGCTCAGCATCTGGAACAATTCTCTGTGGATGTTTTTGTTTTAGTCTGTTAAACAAAATTAATCGAAATACATCTGTTCTTTCTGGGCCATGAAAAGCACTTCCTCTTATTTTATTTGTTTTTGAATTACTTGAATTTAAATCATTCATTGTTATTATTTTTCCATGGTAAGAACCATTTAAGTAACTAAACATGTCTTCTTGCCCCTTATGTGCAATAGGGCTTATTACTTTAGTTTTTTCAACTGGTTTTATAATATCTAACAAATTAGATGGGGCAATATATTTCCACTGGTTGTAGTCATGCCATTTTCCTAAATATATATGATTTCCTGCTAAATTCCTTTTTGTTAAAGTTAAGAGACCAGACGTCATTTTGACTTAGGAGGTTGTTCTTCTATCAAATACTATCTCGCTCATTTAGCGGGGAGGGTCTCTGTTTCCTTCTTCTGCCTTTTCACGAGCCTCTTTGGCCGAGTTTGGATGACTTTTCTGTCACTACTTGGTGAAGTTTTGTATAACTTTATTTTATTTTATTTTTTTTTTTTTTCTGTACTTGTGAAATGTTAAATGTAAAATCTTTATATTCTTCACTAGTTCAGGATGCTTTTCATCTTTATCGAGAACATATGCGAGTGTTCAAATCATTTCTTATAAGGAGCACATATTTTTGTGTTAAAAATATATTTATCTAAGCTGACATGTTATATACAAAAAAAGTACAGGAGAAAAGCAAAGGTGGGGAGGGGTGAAGAAGCAGAAATTAAGTTCTCGACATATTTTTAAAAACAGAAATGTATTGCTAACAGAAAGTGAAATCATGAATGGATTACGTGGATGCACACTCTATCGCGCAAAAAAGGGAGTTAACGAAATTGACTTTTGTGTAATGGTGTGTATTATGATAACTTATGATGTGTTTTTAAATTTTAAAAAAGGGTTAAAGGTTTTTTGATTATTTTATGAAAAAAAAAGCAACAAAAAAATGGTGATGAAAAAAGTAAAATAAATTTTATAATATCGGCACGAAATAATTGAGCTCCTAAATTAAAAGCATTTTCAAGTGGAATTTTCTTTAACTACGCACCATTGTGCTATGAGTGACTGCCTCCTTACTTATTGTTGAACTTCCATAAATTATGCAGAATAATAAAAAGAATAATTAAAAATGTTTCATGAGAAAATTTTGCCACTCTTGAAAAATGACATTGTTATTATGTATGTGTGCATTTTATATCTGTGTTTTTATTCCATTACTTGGAGTAATTTTCTCACCGCCCCGCACAGAATCTTATATTTTTTGGGCGCGTAAAATATGTAAATGTTTGTTGTTTAAAAATGTGAATTTGATATATATATGTGAAATAAAATATGAATATATGGCAACAATTGAAGTGCGCGGAAAGGTTAATTATTGTTTTGCGAGTATTTGTATATACATATACAACTAAACATTTGCTGCAAGCGATACAGAACTTTTTGATACACTCCATATTTTACCATAATTAACTACGTGTTAAAACCTTATTAACTGCCTTCATTTTGATATTATATTCTTCAAAAATATCTGGGGAAACAACAAAAAAAAACAAGTGTAAAATATGGTGTAATTATTACAAGCACATAAATTTTTCTTAACTTTAAGTCCCTTTTAAAAGAGAAAAAAAAAAAAAATTATTTGTCCCCATATAAAAGTTGTTAATACTTTTAATTTTATGCAGCATTTTGTATCACAACATTGTTACATAGATGGTAGTAGCTTGTGCAGGGAATGGTTTGTGATTTACTGCTGTGCAAGTGGAAATGCTTTTTCAAAAAAAAGGCAAAGAAAAACCTTCTTATGAAGAGTGGTATATTTAAAAATTGATTAAGCGGTGTGTTTCTAAAGAATGAATTTAATAAAAATTACAATAACAAAGAAGATAAAACTTATGGCATATTATGAATAAAATAACAAATAGCTTTATATTAAATTGGATAAACATTAAATAGTTTTGGAATAAAATTAATAGGTAAATAAAAGGAAAATTGAATTTTCATTTTAATGCTCTTCCATGGTGAGTACTAAGTTGGCAGACAGCAAAACAGAATTGTGAACGGGAGAGTGGGTAAAATCGGGTTAACTATATTATCGATCCATTGGGGTGGAACAGTATTTTGCATATACAGACAAAAATAAATGTACATATATATATATATATATATATATATATATATATGTACATAATTGTGTACATATAAATAGCGCAAAAAAAAAAAAAGGCATGTATAACCCCATGAATGAAGAATGGACAGAATGGGATAAACCCACGAGGAAAAAACTGCTATTCACCATCCAAATCGTACAAGAAACTTGATACATCTAAATTTAATATATTAACGAAGGCGTCCTCGCCGAAAAAGTATTTCAAGTTTGGAAAAGTTCTTCCTCTATCCCCATTGACAAACTCTTTTATATACATACCTGACTGTGCTAATAAATACAACAAAGAAAAATGTTCATGAATAAAAACGAGATTAAATTCAAAAATTTTTCTTTCTCGTTTTATTAAACTTCTTCTATGAAGTACTCTTATTGGGGTTTTTTGCATAATGCTAATTATGTAGATGTCATCATTTTTATGATAATTTAAAACATCCTGATTGATTTTTTGTATTTTTTCTTTAGTCATTGGAGATGAATGGTATATTATACATTTATAGGCCTTTTTTCTATCTTCTCCATACTTCATAATTTTTTTTATTAGGCCATAATTTGTGCTAAAAGCAACGTTGCTAAATTTTACATCAACTAGGTTGTTAATATTATAACATGGTTTGTTATTTTGAGTAGTAGGATTTTTCAATGTGCTTGAATGGAGTGTTGTGTTTGTGCTTAAACAGCCGTTTAAGTTGTCCTTATTGCTGTTCTGGAAATATTCTTGGGTGTTATTTGGGAGGTTTGCGACAATTATGTCAATTTTGTTAATGTCTTCAGTCTTGTCAACTTTGTTAATGTCTTCAGTCTTGTCAATTTTGTTAATGTCTTCAGTCTTGCCAACTTTGTTAATGTCTTTAACTATGTCAATTTTGTTAATGTCTTCATTCTTGCCAATTTTGTTAATGTCTTCATTCTTGCCAATTTTGTTAATGTCTTCAATTTTGTCATTTTTGACAAATTGTTTTTGATACTCCTCAAGAACCAACTCGTCAGACAGCAGTACTTCCAGTTCTTTGTTATAGTTACATGCAACGTGAAAATCGTAAATCCTTTGTTCTTGCATAATTTTGTCCTTTGCTTGTTTTACCAGCTCTTTATGACAGTTTATATCGTACAAAGAAATAACGTCCTTTTTGTTTATTAATGCATAGCTATCATTAATTACTTGTGGGGGAGCATTATCCTGGTTAAATTCAGATAAATTATTTGTTAACAAATTATTATCTTTATCATTTCTGTGTTGAATCAAAAAATTTATTTGTTCTACTGTTTTAATTTCCGATGTTTTACCACTACTATAAGTGTCAGCTAAGTTCATCCTTTTTAATTTACTAAAAAGTAAGTAAAAGTTTAGAAAAGAAAATTTCGTTTCTTTGAGAACAAAAACAAAGGGTCTTCCTATATTCATCATTCGTACATCTTTATCTTCTCTTCCTGATGCCATAAATGTGCATGTAGAAGATGAAAAAGCATTTTTAAAAATTTGAAAAATGCATTCTTCCACTGATAGTGCACTTAGAGACACGTTATTATTGACGAACCACTTTGTTTGTGACATTTCTTTGTTATATTTGTTGTAATAGCCACATATACATAGATTGTTAAGTGATACATAAATGTCGAACGTTGTAACTGGGTTAGAAATAGCTAATTCGTTATTTTCTATTTTATCAGACGCAATTTTGCCATTCATTTTTTTTTCTGTCTGCTGAGTTTCTTCCTCATTTTTCGTTAAATCATCACTGTCATGAGTGTTGTAATAGTCCCTATCACTGTATAATATTTCAGGTTCTTTTCCAGCAGCAGAAGAAGCATCATTGCGATTTATTATTCTTTTTTTTTTATGTAAAAATCTATGTTTTTTATTTTTACTTTTATAAGCTATTTCGTTAGACTGATTGTTTTTTCTTTCTATTTTCTCATCAGTGTTGGCACTAAAAATTAACACAGTTTTCTTGTATAAATTTATAATAAATTCAGCCTTGTCATCAGTTAAAGTTACACTATCACAAATTTTGTTGTAAAATGTTAAGTATAAATAAACAAAAATATATACAAAAGTTTTATGGATTTGTTTCTTAAGAAAATTATTGCTGCCTAGTTTTATGTTCATAATAATGTGCTCTTTTATATTTTTATAATTGTAGTTAAAAGTATCCAGGGTGACAATTTGAGTATCACATAATATTTGTTTTGTTTTATGTAGATAGAGGTAAAAAAAAACTATATCAATGTTATTCAAAAGAGTGTCAAACATGTTTTTCGTATTTTTAAAAACGCTGTTTATAATTGTTTCCTCATTTGCTGTTATGGGGATATTTTCCCTTTTCACATTATGATGGAAACAGCTGTTTTTGTTATAAAATAATATTAAATCTATATTGTGCAATCCGCTACACATTTTGCATAAGTAAAAATTCTTATAAGCCTTTGTATAGACATCTTGTAAATGTTCCCCAATCGTGTTTATATTTTGATCTTCTATGTATTTTAAAAATCGTTTCTTATTATTGTCTAAAAAGAGTTTACTCTTTTTCTTTTCCTTCACATTTGATACATCATGATTATAATCATTTAAAAAATATTCATCGAAAAATAGGTAATCATGGTCGTTTAAGGTTTCTTCTGATAAGGAACACCGATAGCAGATGTTTTCCATTATTTTGCTTCATGTGCAGTAGAGGACTCACAAGTAAATGCGTAAACAAATTCGATTATTGTGCAAAGGCGGGAAATTTTTAAAAATGCCAATTAAAATGAAAGTGATCAACAAACATATACATAAAAGAGGGTATACGTTTGCATATGTGCATAAACATATATAAATGCACAAATTTATTTTATCAATTTTGTAAGATGATAAAATTACTGCTAACTAAAAAATATTATGGTCAGGAACATATAGCAGAACTATTCCATCTTCAAAGTAACTTCTACATGTTTTTATTCCCTCAGGTGTTTCCTCTGTTTAGGCTTACATTAAAATAACGATACAGGGGAGAAAAAAAAATAAAATAAGTACAAATTGTTTTATACACTTTATATATGTATATATATGTAAATATATACATGTGTGCAATATCTTATATTAGAATTAATTTGGTCTTAAGGGAAAAGAGTTACTTCCGTTAAAAGCAACATGGTAATAAACTTGTTTGTTTCTATTGGAACAACTTACATGCGATAGAAAAATAAAATAATAAATCATTTTCAGATAAAGATCGTGCTATAAAATTTAATTTTCATGTTTACGTGTACTACACTGTGTAGCTATATATTTTTTAATTTTCTGCAACTTTTTTTTTTTTTTTTTTCTTTTTAAATTTTATTATTCATTTTTATTTTTCCCATTAATTTTTGCACTCTAATTTGTGATTATTTTTACGTGAAATATGTTAAGAGTTTTTATTTTTTATGACTTAGAATAATTGTATTTTTTTTGTGCTTTCACATGTGTATAACATAACATATTGTTTCATTCAAATGCAATCATATATTTGGATACATGTAATAAAACATAAGAACGTCGAAAATTTTTGGTCAGATCATGCTTAATATACATCCATGATTATACATTTTGATGTCAAAATCGGACAAAATAATAGTTTCACTAATATATCCTATTTTTTTGTACATATACATATTTTAACTTATTTTACCTTCCAAATGAAAGAAACATAGCTTCTTTTTCTTAAATATGACCTCGTTTTTACATAACAAAATTTCTCACTTGTATAAAGGAATATATTTGTATACACACATGTAAAATCTACATACCTTCTGCACAAATCCAAATAAAAAAAAAGTACCCCCCCCCCCCCCCCCCTTTTTTTTTTTCTTTTTTATATATATCCTTATAAAGTGAAAAAAATACGTTTATATTTCTCTTAAAAAAGAAAATAAATAAGAAAAACATTCTCAATAAATCTTATGAGTGGATATACATTATAGAAGTATTTTATAACGGTAGATCTTTGATGTCACTAAAAAATTGATCTATGTAGATTTTAATCAGAATGACATCGAACAAAGAGTTAAATAAAGAACACCTCGATTTATTTTCCTATGAAGATCCTGAATTATGTGAGGAGGAAAATTTGTTCAAGTCTAATCAGGCGCCGTGGTTTTATCATCTAACATACTGTAAAAAAAAAAAAAAAGAAAAAAAAATGGAACTGAAAAGTGATGAAACTTACTGAAATCGAAACAACACATACATAGGCATATTAAGAATGTGTAAAATAAAAAATGGCTGTAGATATAAAAACATGTTTGAGCGTATACATTGCTACTGCTTTTATCGACACGCGCATTAGTTCATGATTAAATAAGGAAAATTTTTGTTCATTTTTATTTTTATTTTTTTTTTTTTTGTGTATATTTGAATTATTTTTTTTATTTTATTTCCCATGTAACACCTTTTACAGTGTTAGGATTAAAAAAGGATGATTTCAAAAGCATAAAAAACATCGTGGAAAATGAGAAAAAAAAAGCAAGTGCGAAAAGTCATATATTAGACATAATAGATTACCGAACTTATAGTGACATAATGCGAAAAATTAATTCCAAAATGAGAAATTCCATATCTGTTTATTTATTTTCTTGTAAATATTTTTTAAGTAAATATTCTCAAAATACAAAATCTAACGAGAATGTTCATTTTGTATTTGTGTTTGGGAATATCACAGCAGATTTGGTAATAAAAAAAATGGAGGAAAATGAAAAGAAGAAAAGAAGTATACTGCTAATATAGCCTAGGTTGTTGTTTTCATGATGATTCATGAATTTACTTTTGTTTCCCATATAATTTTTTTAGGATTCCGTTTGTTCGTCAATTATATACAGTTTTTTTTTACACCTATGGTATTCCTTAAAAAGCAAAACTGTAAAAGAAAAAAATTCACATGTACTGAAATTTTTTATCCCGGTTATTAACATTAAGAAGAGTGAAATGAAGCTTAAAATTTTGGTTAAAAAAACATATAATGAATATATAGTTGTGTAGAATTGTTCTTTAACTTATGTATTTTTGTGTTGTTATTTAAGCATTATTTGGGTTTACTTAGATGGATGAATAATTTGCGTCCTTATTTTTACGATAGATATATGATTATTTTTTTATTTTAAATGGTTGTCTAGTCACTGTAAATATATTTTACTTCAATGGTGCATTTTTTTTTTTTTTAGATAAATTGGTGGTTGGAAAAATGTGAGATAAAGACTCCCGAGGAAATTTTAGTTTTTAATGATGATAAAAATTTGTTAGAAGTAAGGCAATTAAGAGAATCGGAAGATAGTGAATTTTGTTTTATCTTTTTATTATATTATTAAATCATTTAACTATTTTATTTATTACTTTCCACTTATTGACAAATTCAGAAAATTCCTATTTTTTACAGGTTTTAAAACACGAAAACAAATACGACATTTGTTTCGTTGACTTTAATGACTTCGAGCCGAGTAACATATAGTAAGTGTTTTTATAGGGATATATATTTTTTTACTCATTTTAGTGATTTACAGTGATATACAGGAACAGATATTATCTACGTACGAACACGAATTTATACACAAGTGCGCAAGTACTTTCTTTAGTACTTCACTGAAAAGGACCTCATTGTCTCATTCTATTTTTTTTAGCAATATAAATAATGTGAAATCCATAATTGATCATCATATGCTTAAGGAAGAGGCAAAAAATAAAAGAATAACAAAATCGATTTACCCTATATATGTGTGCAGTTGTATGGTTATCATAGCCTATTTTGTAAGTTAAAAAGGATAAAATAATGAGAATAAAAATAAAATATAATTACATTAAATTAATTAAATTTTGCTTGCATTATGTTTTTTTTTTTTTTTTTTCTAATTTCAGTATAAGCAATCGAGTGAATATCTTGGAATACCTTTTGTAAACAAAAACATGATGTGGCTAATATATGGAACAATATTAAGGGGTTATTTAAAAAAACAACATAACATGTTACATTTTGTGAAAATCGTGACTTAATAAAGAGTGTTGTACACAAATTTGTGTGTGTACTAACATAGGACCTTAGAGCTCCAAAAAGGTTTATATATATTTATACATATATATGTGCACATGTTCCTTTTGTAGACTCCAACAACTTTGCAAAAGGGGATTTTGGAAAACGATGGATAAAACCGTAATTCATATAAAATACAAAATTGATAAAATGAATTAATCTTTCAAAATTGTAATGTTTCATTGTTTCATATATCATACAGCGAAGAGAAGGGAACACATAAAATAAGAGAAATATATATATATATATATATCTTTTATTCCTCATTTAGAGACCTAAACATATTCTTATCCATGAAAAGATTTTTTAGAATATCAAACAAAATGGACATATATATTACTTACAGTTTTAATATTATTAGATTTTCTATAAATTTAAAAGAATTTGTAAGTTTTAGAAAAAAGGATGCTATATAACTACAAAATGAGACATGCTTGTGAATACAATTATTTTTTTCTTGTTTTAGATAAAAATAGAATACAACAGATAAGGAAAGAATAAAATAAAGCATAATTTTAAAAACAAAGATTTCTTAATGATAATGTGTGCAACATTTTTCCATGCTTTTTTTTTTAGGGAATAGAAAATCTTTTGCTTGCTGATTATAAAGACTATAATTATGAGATTTTAAAGAAAAAAATAAAAGTAAAAAAAAAAAAAAAAAAAATAATAAAACAACAATACACTACTTGAAGTTTTCAGAATATGTTGATTTATACGGCAACTTTTCGTATTATTTTGTACTTTCATTCGCATATTTCTTTTTTTTCAGATGAGAATTGCATCAATAGATTTTAGTATAGATTTGTTACTTTCGAATGAAGATGTTAACCGAATAGTTGTTAAATTAGTAAGTTATTAAGAAAATAAGAAGCTGATACATTCCCCTTAATATACCTAGCTGTATATGTCTATACGTATTTATAATTATTAGTATACCTACCTCTCATATGTTATTTACAAATACGATTTTGTTGCAACCATTTTTTAGCATGAACTCTGCGAGGATAATAATTTTTCTATCTTTATTTTAATTGGATCATATTTATATAATTATAGTAATTCAGAAAATGTGTAAAATGTTGAAAAAAAGGAATAAGAAAAGAAGAAAAAAAAAAAAAAAATTAACATTTATATATTATTTTATTTTATTCTTTTTTTTATTCCTTTTTTTAATAGAACTATATAAAGACATGGGAATCTTTTTTTATAACAATGATGTGAACAAGGATGGTAATAGTTATATATGAGGAATTTATTTGTAATTATTTTTTTTATTTTTTCGTTCTTAATACCAATTTTTTCGAATTTGTTTCGAATTTGTATTTCCCTTTTTCTTTTTTTAAGATTTAATTAATGCCTTGTTTTTAAATGAAGACATAAAACTTTCTAAGAAAGGAAGTAAAAATATAACTTGGCGAAATGATTCCAAAATATTTGACACTTTCCAAATCGTAATTAGACAATTTTTTTTTTTTTTTTTTTTTGCTCTATATTAGAATAATATCCTTCTTTTAATTAAAATTAATACTGTGACTTTCTTACTTTATTTATTTTTTATATTTCCTATTTTTTTGCAGAACAATCAAAGCTATTCGCGAAAAAGATTAGAATATTTTTTAAGTGAATATTTTTTTTCGTATACCTAAAATCTTTAACACTTTTCGTATATTTTTTACAAATAAATATACTTAGTGTAAACATATTTTTTCATGAATAATAGCCTTTGCGTTTTTTTTTTTTTTGCTTATAATCAAAACCGTAAAAAATGAAAGAAAAAATAAAAGAAAAAAAAACGGAAAATATTATATTCCCTTCTATTAAGGCACAAAAGACATGTGTTTATTATTATTAGAATTATTTGTTTCATTTTTTACACTTAAAATTTTTCTATGCTTCTAACTAAATATGTACATTGGTAAAATTCTCTCTAAAAAATTTCAATATATAAAATTAATAAACACAGTAAAATAATTTTATTCATATTCTTATGAATAAAGATGTATAATAATTAGAAAACGTGCTTAGGGGAATTACATGAAATATAGGAAAAGAGAAAAAAAATATATTATGAATATACATATATATACATATTCCTAATGCACTGAAGAGACAAATACGCTATCCAGCATAGACTTTTATTTATGGTAAATTTTAAAACAATTTTTAAAAAGATATGAAAATTTTCTATAAAAATGGATCAACAGATGTTGTAGAATATGGCAAAAAATAATTCAAGCGTGGAAATTCCTACGGATGTTCCCAAAAAAAAAGATATTGAGGAGAATATTGCTCCGGAATGCGTACAAAATGAAATTTTAGAACAGTACGACATTTTTTCAAATGCTTACGCATCAAGTGATAACTTAAGCTTTGTAGATAGTGAAGAAGACACATCATCTAAAAATTTAGGTTTAATTAAATTCTTTTCTTTTGATCAATCTATAGAATATAAAATGTTTTATTAACTAATGCATAATTTTGTGAAAATGTTATATATTCGTTAATGCAACGTTTTTTTTTTTTTAAAAACTCACTTGTACATGGAACATTTTTAATCTGCTCTGTTTTTTTCCTTTACATATATGCGCATATATATATAGACGATTCAAAGAATAAAAATATTTTAAGTTTAACTGTCCATAATATTATAAATGTATACCCGAACAATGAAAGGAACAGAGAATTCAAGAAATACAAGGTTCTCCAATATTTTAAATGTTCTTTTTTTGGCTTCATGTTGTGTGTAAGTATATATATGTATACATAAGTGCAGGTAAGAAATAGGTATAATTACATAATTATGAAACATACACATCGTCATAACTTACAGCAAAAAAAAATTGAGGAAAAAAAGAAAAAAGAATATGAAGAAGAAAGAGAAATAATAGAAAAGAAGAAAAAAATATATGAAGAAAAAAGGCAGAAAAAGTTGGAGATATATAAAATAGAAAAAAAAAAAAAGAAACTAATAGAAAAACAAAAGTATAATAAAGAAAATATAGAATATAATTATTTAATGATTTTAAACTATTTTGAATATTTAATGCAAAATGGGAAACACAAAGATATTTACTTTTCCTTTTATGATATGTACATTTCTCCCATGAGGTTGTATTACTTTGCCAATGCAAGTGTGGACCAAATTTACTATTTAGGTAAATGTAAATGAGGGAATAAAATAAAAATCCCCTTAAATGATAAGTAAGAGTAATTATATACATACCTGTGTACATGTTTATGTAATTGCGTTGATATATATTTACTAAAGTTGTGTTACCCTTTTGCTAACGCAATATTAATGTGTGCTTCAGATTTATCAAGAAAGTGGATGTCAGACAACTACATCTCAATCATACTAGAATTATGCTCACGTAAAAAAATAAAAATTTTGAATTTGTCCTACAATAAAATAACGTTCAATGGGCTAGAACTTTTTTCGAAGTTCTTATCGGTAATAAAGACAGTGAAAAAAAAAGTGTGAAAAAAGAAAAAAAATTACATTGTAGAATGCAGAACAGGTATATATATATATATTTCTGATTCTGAAAGGGATGATTTAACATGTATGAAATAATTTCTTAAAATTTTCAATTTGTAGGATAACAAAACACTATTTTGTCTTAACCTGGAAAATAACGATTTAACAAATAAAGGTAAAAACGTCGATGAAATGAATAAACTTTTCGAATCCTTAAAAAATAATAAAGGAATAAAAATGTTGAATCTATCCAACACGAATATGAATAAGGTAACACTTTTTTACGTCTTTCAAAAAGTTGACAAAAACTCCTTTTCAATATATATACATATATGTACATGTATATAAATTTTTCATTAAACACTTTAGAGCAATGGGGATATGCTGTATGAAATGCTAGAAGCTAATAAATCTATAATTGAAATGAACTTTGAGAATAGCGATTTTAGTAAGTTTTAAAAGTATTTATTGGTAGCTGAAGAAGAAAATGAATGTAGAAATATTTGTCCTTTATTTTATTTCTTTCTCCTTTATTCTATTCTTAGCGCGTGAACAAAATTGCAAAATAATTAATTATTTAATACGAAATAAAAAAATTTGGTTAAAGCAAGCTGATATAGAAAAAGAAGAAAATGATAAAATGGAAAAGGAAGAAAGTTATATGCGCGCTTACTATATGTCCGTGGAATCTTCTATGTAATATTTAAAAGAATATTAAGCTTATAAGCTTAAAACAATAGTTAAAGAATTTCTTGCATGCGTGTTAAAGGAATTTCCTTAATTAGAAAACATTCTGCTAAATTCATTAGTTATGAAAAAGAAATGACACAATTTGGATTTGCTATATTTTTTGTTGTCTATTTTGTATTATATATTTTTTTATTTTTATTTCATTCCCGTAGAATTGAAATTGAAAATAGGGAAAATCGAAGAAACTTAAATAAAATGGTAAAAACAAGGATTGACTAAAAGGAACAGAATGCAAAGAATTTGATGCACGTATATTTTCTCTTCAGATGATTATTCATCTGTACACATAAAAATTCCTATAATTCTATTAAATGCAGATATACATTGATATGTGGAGAGAAGAAATAAAACAAAAAGAGTTAAAAGAAGAGGCAATTCTTGAATCCCTGGAGAAGGTATTTACTTCCTAGGTTTACATAATTTTTATTGCCATAACATAAAAATGGCAATTAAATGTTTATATGTACATAAACAGATGCCTATATATATTTATAGAAACGTATATAAACTACTACAAACCTGTTGCCATATCCCCTATAGGAACATGAGCACAGAATAAAGCATTACAGGAAGAAAAAAAAGAAAAAGAAGTGAATTTTATTTATGGCATCCCTTTTATGTATGATTCTTTTATCAAAAATGGAACATATACACTTGTGCACATTGAAAATGTTGCTAAAAATGGATAACATAAACTGGTAATTCTTATTTTCCCTCTGTTTTTTTTTTTTTTTTTTATTTTAAATGTTCATGTTGTACTACTGCATTAAACGGTATTTCTCATCGAAACTATCATAACTCATTAGAATAATAACTTGAAAAAAAAATGCCCATTTGAGTAATGTGCAATTTTGTCTATCTAAACACATTGGGTCCTAAATAAATATTTAAATGTTGAACGTTCTGAATCCTTTTTATGAGTCCCTCAAAGATTTATCCACTTTGGGTAGGTTGATTATTATTATTATGATAATGTGTGACAACAACACCTTAGTTATGTTTATAAAAAAAAAAAATTCCAAATTTCCTATGTATAATTTATTATAAGAATTTTCAAATTTTTATGAAAATTAAATAAGCATATATAGGAATATATATATATAATGTAGATACATCTGTATTCACATATACATAAGTAAAAATGTACATATGTAAGTGCGCATACACATTCATACATATACACACTGTATATATTCACAAGAGAAAATTTCCAACATAATATCTCTTTCAATTTTTAATTCAATTTGTGTAAAACTTATATACTATTTAAAATCTTAAAGATATGACTCCAAAATAAATATACAAGAAAAAAAGGAAACAACAGAAAAAAAAAAAAAAAAAAAAAAAAAACGTTTATGAGCACAAAGCTAATGCTTGTTTAGACAATTCATTACGTATAATTTAATGAATTAAATGTACCATGGTGACAATATATGTATATGTATGTTCATGGATTTCATGAAACGCTAGATACATATTTTTTAAAAATTTGGATCATATATAATATTTATTTATGTAATTTCTTCCTTTTTTTTTTTTTTTTTTTTTTTTTTTTTTAATGTTATTTTAACAGCAGTTGTATATTCATTCTTGAAAATACACAATATATATTATTATACATACTCCAATTATAATTTCCATATTGCAAAATAGTTTTATTTAAATCGTCTCATGGTATACATGTATGAATAATATTTGCTGTTAACTAACAAAAGTGAATAAGTAGAAACATAACTCAAGACTATAGGTTATGTTTGAACTAAAAAAAAAAAAAAAATAAAATAAAAAAATAAAATAACAAAACAAATCAAAATAAATATTATATTAATACTGAAAAAAAATGTAGTCTTCATCTAATTGAAATATTTACATGAAGAAATATTAGTGACGTATTTTTCTTATTACAGTTTTGATTGATTCATTTATTATTATTATTTTCTGAAATAAGAAAAAGATGTACTGCGTGTATTATAGTTGAACATTGTTTCTTCATAATATAAGTGCTCGAAAACATGCCTTAATCATAATCTTTAATAATGTTATTTGAAATTAAATACTCCTTTTGATCATCATACAACTTAAGCCTTTCTTGTGCATATAAGAAAAAATCAAATTCGTTGTAACTTTTGGTCTGATAACCTCTAATGATGGACCAAAATCCCCACAATAAATGGGCACCTAATGCCTGGACTTCTACTGCTTCTAATATTTGATCAACTAATTTGTGATTTTCTTCAGTGGATGATTTATCTAGATAATTTGATAAATAAGCAGTTATAAACAATTTCCTATTTTCATAGGAAATGTATTTTTTTTTATCAATTTCAAAAAAGGGATACGTGCTTGTTGAATAATCTATAGACGTTTCTATAAAAAAGTTTGCTATATCTGCTGATAAAAAATTAAAACCAGAATACTCGAAATCAATAAGACGTAAACATTTATTGGTGTTAATAATGTTGTTTTCTTGTAAATCATTATGGCAGAAAACAACAGAATTAGCTATATTATCTGACTTGCAATATATATTAATAAATTTAATAAATTTTTCAGATTCTTTGATATATCTATGAATATCACTGTTATATTTTTCTATATTTTTATATTTGAAGAGTTGTTTTTTCCATTTTTCCATCATTTTAAATATACAGGGTGTCCTATCCCAATGTTCTGGCAAATGACGTTTACGACTGAGGGTATGAAATTTACCTAACACATTTGCGATACCAACTAATATAGTTGGGTTTTTTAAATCATCAATTCTAAGGGGATCACCATATAACCATTCCTCTATACGTCCCCCATTAAATGTGTTTAGCAATTGTGGAGCAATTTTGTATTTGCTCATAGTTTTATATACTTCAAATTCGGATATTGTATTATACAACTCATCAACGTGTTTCCCATATATTCTAAATAGAACGCGTCTTCTTACTGGTTGATAATTCTTTGCTGTTTCATCTTTTATATCAACTTCAAATAGCTGATTTGTTAAACCGCTTAAAATTTGTTTAACACTTATATCATTTTCGGTAAAATTTTGCCACTCTGGTATTTTCTCTAAGCATATTTTTTTAATATATAACGGATCCGTCAGATCAGAAAATTCTTGGGCACACAATGGTATGTCGTTTTTTTTATTAATTTCTTGTAAAGGAAATGGATTTTTGGATATTTCTATTTCCTGATTTAATTGTATAGTGCTATACATTTTTAAATCTTCAGGACAGGAGGCTATTCCATTTTTGTCCACTTTTAAATTTCCATTGTTGTTGTTTTCAACATTTGATAGATTACTTTTATCACTATCAAAATTTTCATATGTCCTGCTAATACTCTCCATTTTCGCTTTTTGGTTGTAATATGTTATTCTATGTATTTTGCCTCTTTTTCTTCTTAAGTGTGTGGAAATGTGCAGCGTGTGTAAAAAGCGTGCATATATGGAGCTCATATAAAACGTTCGCATAAAGCGTATAAATAGGGGAATTGTAAAAAGGGCGAATGTTAAGCATAGATATAACGTGTGGCTCTATAATGCCAGCAAAAAAAAAAAAAATTACACAAAATATGAGAGATTTCTTAGAGATTTTGCGTTTTCAAAATTCCATGAACTTGTATTATGGAATTTTAAAATATGTGCACTTGCACAAGTATACTCATTTATAAAAAAATAACAAATCCATGTGCTATACATACACATGTGCTTATGTTTGCAAATATTGTAAACACACAAATGGTTTTAAATACACGCCCTCATGATATATATATATATAGGCTCTTTTTATATCAAATTTTTTAAGATTGTTTATAATATAAAATATTAAAGGAGAAAAATGAAGCATATATATGTTGTCAAACATACAAAATATCACATTTGAAAATATGTTTAATTCAAAGTGTGATTAATTTTTCAAATACTGAAAATTTTTTTTTATTTTTTGGCGTTGGCCATATGAGGTACAGGGAATAATACCCTAATTTTTCAATTATACAAACTGTCAATATGTGGTGGTATATTTTTTGGTTAAGGTTATTTTACTGCCTTAACATTTTCCTTTTTAAACGTATATATTTTGATGTTTTGCAGTTATACCCTTGTAGTGTTTTATGGTTTTACTGCTTTATTACTTTTCTGATTTATCGATTTATTATTTTTCTCTTTCAAAAAGTATAAATTGTACGACGCTTATATTTTTGAGCAACCCTTCAGAAGAACTTTCCTTTTTCATATGTTTTACTTTTTATCTTTTGTAAAACATATCTTTGTATGTGAAAAATATCACCTCGCCATAAAACAAATGAAATATTTTGTTGGAGGGTGGTGATCAAACGACGCTTTATTTAGCTTTTTGATTACTGCTTTAATCGTTTAATTTGCATGAATGCATATCAAATATTCTGTGCTTAATTTAAAAAAAAAAAAAAAAAAAGGAAAAAAAGAGACTTTTTCTAATACTCTCCTTAAATATTTGTTTTTGCTTTTAATTGGAACAAAAACAATAAAATGTGTACTAATAATGCTTTTTATAAATCAAATTAACCACATACAAAATATCATTAATATATGATTCTGTGAATACATCTAGACGTGTAATTAAAATGTGATATAGTTTTGATTCTTAAAAAAATTACGTAGAAAAAAAAAGTAAAAAAAAAGTAATAAAATAAATATGTAAAAAATGATGTGTCAGGAATTTCAGAGTATTATAACATTTTGATTTAAATGCAAAGTACAATATATAGTAGCATTCAAATATAACACTTTTTATGTAATTATTTCTCATGCATGCTATAGATATGTAAATGCATTGTATAAAACTTTTTAATTTACAATTTGACGCACTTCAATATAAAAGATGATAAAATATGTCAAACAGTGCTTTGTGGTATTTCTGTTAAGTTGAACAAAACTTCTGTTTGTGTAATTTAATTTGTGTTTTCAGTTTGTAAGTATTTTTATAAAAAACTTGAAATAATGCAATGGCAAAAAATGTTCATAGGCGATATAAAATAATTTATGCTGGGATATATTATTATTACGTTAATTATGTATTACATATGTTACATATTTATGTAACGTAAAAATGATAAAGCATAAGTTAAAACAAATATATAAAAATAAAATGCTGACAATAAAATAGGAAAGATCCGCACATATATATTTGTAATTTATAAATTTGAGAAAAATAAAATACTCAAAGTAAAAAAAAAAAAAAAAAGTGCTATGAAAAAAACAGTTTATAAAACGAATAAATGTAAGCGAAGAAAAAAATTAATGTTTAGGAAAAATGTGAACGAAGGAAACAAATTTAATTAAATATAGCATGGGAAAAAGAAATATATTTTCATAAAATCGAATATTTGCTAAAACGCCTACGTACGATTGTGCGCGTTTAATAAAATTTAAACACACAACGTAGTGTTTATATTCTCCTAAGCAAAATTTATACTTTTATAAATTTTTTTTTCCAGTGTAATAAATATAAATGGGTGAAAAAAAATTAACCAAGAAATTGGACTATATATACAAATTACACATGTATTGTTATTACTACGTAAAAAAATATATAAATAAAAAAAAAAAAAACAGAAAAAACAACTATGATTTTTGTGAAAGATCAGTTGTGTGCTATAAAAAATATTTTAATAAGGATCAAATATTATATATAATAATTTATGGTGTTATTTTACATAACACTTTTATTATAGGAGAATGCATAAAATTAAAAGAAGTAAAAAAAAACATAAAACAAAATTTTCAAGTGTTGTTGGCATATGTATAATTAAATTTTTATATTTTAATTGGTTTATTATATATTTATATATATTGAGCAAAAATTATTTTTTTGAATGAAATATATTTTTATGCGTAAAATTTAATTGTATATAGCTTGAAGGAGCGCTCGCATAAAAGGGGTTACGATTCAATATTTTTGAAGAATTAATCTTACACATATAAATGGATATGTATGTGTACATATAAACGTGCGCATATATAAAATAGATATATATTTGTTTATAGAGAATTTTTTTGCATTTACCCTTATCAGTAAATTATATATTACACATATGTTATTGGTTGAAAAGTAAAATGTTAAACGATGATTTGAGAAAACGCAAATTAGATATACATAATTTAATACCATTTGTCTGAAAAATGAAATAAGAGGATAAAAGCAGCACATGCCACTACCATTTAGTTTTCAAATAAAAGAATAGTTGCTTTATATATATCTAAGACATGTTCAGTTATATTATTACATAATTATATTTATCTCTATATATATATATTAAACGTAATCATTTATAAATAATTTGCTTTGTTTTTATGATTTTTTTTTTTTTTTTCGTTTTTCATGTTTTACTTACCCCTCGAATGTTTTTCCGAAATCAGAGATTGTCCTACATTGAATTATGAGATTAAAATTTGTTGCTTGCTGTGTATAACGTTTTAATAATATATGTATCGAATCCAGGGTTCCATTGAATTTTTTTTTTTTTTGAAACATAAGAAATTTGTAAAAAAGATGAGTTAAAGAAATGATGAATAAAATATTGATTGACAAAATGGGTAAGTATTAAATTGAGGTTGCTAAATTTATCAAGTTTTTTTTTTTTTTTTTTTTTAGCATATTTACAATTAATTGTTTAAAGTAATTATTCTATTTTTATATAGGCTAGTAAACGATTTTGCAGAGGGAAAGATTGTTCTTACAATAATTGTTTTTTTTAAAGAATACAACTGTTTTAGGCAGTTTACATTATCTATGTGAACTGTATATGCTATAAACAATTTTGTCTATATTTAAGAATGAATCATTCATAATAGATTGATTATATTAATAACAGGAGGGTGGAAAGTGTGTATATATATGTGAAAGCAAATATATGTGTTATCATTACGGTTAATGGTGAATTATCTTCGAAAAAATATATCAAAGTCGCATTCGCCAAATGTTGATACATTAAGGTTCTTTTCAAACAAATAAGACATTAAAATGTTTTGCGATAGAATGTTTTCTTGTCATTGTTTCCTTAAAAGTGTGTGCATTATCCTGTTTGTTTTATATTGGGATGTGTTTAAATAAAGAGGTTATGACTGTATAAAGGGGTTTTCATTAAGGATTTGTATTGAAATTATGTATGTTTCCTATTGAAACTGTAATATTCAGTTTTTTTTCATTTGAGAAATTTGTTTTTCAAAATATAAGATGATTACAACTTCGGTTAAGAATGCTATTAAAATATTATAGTAACATCCTACTGTGTATCCGAAAGATTGGGGGAAAAAAAGAAATGAATATAATAATGCTTATTTTTTTTTTCATAAGTGTGAACCAGTGTGTAATAAGCTAAGTCCCTTTCATTTCGAAAAATTGCTCTTACGTGTTAGTGATATATATGTATATATTTCCCGCTTGTTCATAAATATATACCGTTTTTTTTTTTTTTTTTTTTTTCATAAACATTACTAAAACACTACGAAAGTTTTTGTGGATAAAAAAAAAAACTTAAGTGTCATAAAAGAGCTTGTGTATCATAAATGGTTATAATGTTCCTTATTTGTTAATGAGAGAAAACAGAATATCTGTACTATGTAAAGTAAAACTTTAACCCCCCTACAGAATTGATAAAACTCGAATGTTTTTTATTTTATTATTTATTTTTTTTTTTTCTACTTAAATGGTTAAGGTATTTTTAGCTAGAATATTCAAATTGGCTATTTAAAGTTTTGTTATTTTTGAAAAGTGTTGTAATTGAAGAACAAAACTGGCAAAAAGGTTAATCACGTTTATGGTTCGAATGAGAAACAATAAAATATATAAAGATGCAAGAAAAAAAAAGGAGAAATAAAAACGTTATAAATGTGACTTATACATTTAATTGTATTCATGTTTGTAAAATGAGGTTTTAATTTTGTTCAAGAAAAAGTAAAAGCCGTTCATTAATGTTATGTTTATTGCCATCTAATGTGGTAATGCATACAAATTAAATGCTACCAAATGTAAAAATTTAACACATTTCGAGTGGTAATTCATCGATTATGTTATATTTATTTTGAATATGTTTATTGTTTTTTAATAATCTCAATTTTTTTAATGGGTTTATGCGAAGTGTGTCCACGTTTTTGCATTTCACTTTTGAGTAATAATTCTGGAATAAACGTGCTTATTGTATGATTTATTAATATTAAACAAACGTAATAAAACATTTTCCTTTTTTTTTACTATTTGTGAAAGATGCATTTTTTGTGGAATGGGAATATTTAATTTAGTTATACTGGTTTAACTTTATTTACATAAGAAAACAAAAAACATGTTGCTGTGTGGTTTATTTTAATAATTCAGTTATGTGTGTTTTATTTTTTTTAATATATAATATTCATGTTGTTCGACTAAAGGAGTATTTTGTAATTCAGATTAGCCCTTTCTTGGTCAGTATTAATGAAGTTTTTTCATAAATATCACTTCTGTTATGTGGTCTTACGGGAACATTATTTTTGATAAGTTATTATTATGATAGAATGACATTTGTCGAATTTTGTAAATTCGGGGACATTTCCGTTGTGGCATAATTTTAGATCCACTATTTGAAAAAATGAACGGATTACTATCTGTAGATGCAGGGAGGAAAATAAGCAAAATAGATGAATTTAATTAAATATAAAACCAAAAATAAGCACAAGAGTGTTCTTCTTCTTTAGACCATTTATTATCACATACTGATGTGAACACATAAAACTAATAGTTAAAAATATTAAAATATAAAATATGAATCATCATTAGGATTCAATACATGTGGCACAATAATTTTTTTAAAATTGCTAAGTGCTTTTATAAAATGTTGAGCGGATAGAAGACCTTCTATACATTTAAAACGCAGGTGTGAACTGAATTATAAGGAATTTTTAAGCCAGATCGAAAAAAAAAAAAAAAAATTTCTGAAAAAATTGTATATTTTTTTTTAGCACATTTCGTTATTTAAATATATATAATGAAAAAGAAGAAGGAAACATTTCAATCACATTTTTTTTACTATTACAATCCTCAACAATTTTTGTGAACTTGCGTTTTTATGAATAGATATATTCTGGCTTGTTCGTGCCTCTTAAATTTTTTTTTTTTTTTTGCATTTGTGTGTTTTAAGGAAGTACAACTTAAACTGTGTTTACATTTATTTAATTCCTTTTTTTACATATTTATTTTAATTTTGGTTATTAATTTGTGAGTTCCTTTTTTTCATTTTCAGCTTAGTTGAAACATGTGAGTATGCTAATGCAACATCAACAGGTTTTGTTAATTTGAAGTTTTAATGCATGTATACGGTTCAATTTTGTTCAAAATAACATACTTTAAATTTAATTGAAATATATTTGTATAAACAATTGTGTTTGTAAAGTTAAGAAAAAAAATTTGCAGTGAAGAGGGTTACCTCCTGTTTTTGTTCCATTATTCCCTTAAAGGATATAAGAACTAATTTAACTTTCTTTATAGATATATAGAAATCTAAAAAAAAAAAAGTAAAACTAATCCACTATAATTATTGAGTGCATTAATTTAAGACTATTTTTAATGAAAAAAGGGGTAAATAATCATCTTTATTTGTACTTTACTCTTTAATATAATATTTGTCCAGAATAATGTTGGGCATAAGCAGAATAATTGCAGTATGAAATTATATATATTACATAATGAATATAATTAAAATATATACATCATTTGGATTTTTATTAATAATTTGCTTATCAAGAATAATATCATACAGTATAAATTCGTTTGTAACTTTTGTTAACAATTTAGTATATAACAGAATTGACAACTTTTCCAGAACAATTCAAAGGAATATTGCAGAAAGAAGTCCTTCAAGAAGCCCAAGGAAACGTGCTTATGATTTCTCACTTACAGAAGATGAAGTGGAAAATCTTATCTCAATATTACACCTGGAGGCACTAGTTCTAAGTGATATAATATGTACCATGATTCAACGTTTGAATGAAGAAACGGGTTCCGTAAATGTTGATGGATTAGTTAGGGATAAAATTCTTCAACGTAGTATGATTGAATCAACAAATTACCCCAACTATGTAATGGAACCCATGCAAATTAGATTAACTGAGCAAGTTGGTGATATAGTTTCAGTTCGTCCTTTAAGTAAAGATATAATTTTGCAAAAGTATGAACTTTGTAAGATGGAATTAGATGAATCAGTACATTTAGTACTGATTATATCAAAACAACATACAGAAGAAGAGGCATATGAAATTCTAAATAATTTACAACTTATAGGGGAATTACTAAATACCAGATTGAGAAATGATGATATTATAGTAGATGATATTACGTTATCCTGTATGGCTCTTCGAGCAAGGAGAAGGGCCATGAACATTATTAATTATTATCTTGATAGGCCATCCTTTGCAAAGAGCAATTAAAGGAGATAGTCCCATATATGTGATATATAAAAAAAAAAAAAAAAAAAAAAAAAAAAAAAAAGATTTTGATAATTACTTTGTGCAATATTTTGAAATAAAATTTGTTATAAAAATAATATTTAATTTCACAAAAAATGTGCAGTTGTTAGGAATTTAAATAATCGGTTGTATAGCTTAAATATATAATAATTTTTCTATGCCCCCCTTGCTAATTGATTTATTCTAAAAATTCCAAATTATTAAAGGTACTTAGTATAATTATTATATTATCCCACTTTGCATAACTAACAGAAATGAAGGATGTAAAGAAGTTAATATGATCACCAATGTTTGATGCATTTTATGTTTTATGTTCACGATAACGTTTTTTATTTTTCTGCAGTGAAAAAAGCATATAAGATTAAACATATGAGAATAATTTATGGTAATACATTTGCTGTTTCTATATGTATAGAAATCATACGTGCATCATTTGTCATAAAATATGTGGATATAGAAAAAATTCAATAAAGATTCTTACATTTAATGTTGTTATTTGATTTAAAATAATGACACGAAAGATTAAGTCATGGAATATGGGGTAAATAAAAGTGTACATATATATGTGCACATATTTGTGTATACATTTGTGAGCTATTTGCTTAAATATTTTCCTAAAATATGAGATGTTTTAACAAAATGAGATGAAATCTCCACATTTTATACAGTTTATTAAACTGAATAATTAGCATCAGAGGGATAATAAGAATTATATACACAATAAAAATTATTTTTATTAAAAAAATCCAAAAGTTCACAAGTCGTGATGGTATACATTCTGCACGTTATTTTACGCTATATGTTATGGAATATATGAGCATTATAATACATGTCTAGTTATATATAAAATTTTCGCAACATTTTAAAAATCCCTATTTTATTTCATTCCCGTATTGCTGTATTATTTCTTTATTTATTGTCACACTGTTGCAATGTTGTATTGTTATACTGTTTCGTTATTGTATTGTTGCATTTTTGTATTATTCAGTTGCTATAACTATTGAAATTAAAGAAACTGTACTAAGGAAAAACGTTACTCTTGAATAACACGAACAACATATAATCGCGCTAATAAGTATACTTATCAGATTTAGAGAACCACTTTTTTCTATTTATTGAGTGTTTTTTTTAACTAAACATTTGTATTAAGTGTAATGTTTTTATGACCTTAAAAAATTAGGAAAAAAATAAAAAAAAAATAGGTATCATTTACAAAAAAAATGGGCTTGATTAAAAAAAAAAAAAAATTAATAAATATTACAACACCAAAAAACTAAACTAAGGAAATAAATATTTATAAAATCACATACAGAAAGGCTTATACATATATATATATCAACAAAGTGCGTAATGTTTAATTATGTAAGTTGTTGCTGTTCTTATTACACAGTTACAATTATTTGCTGAAAGAACTATATGTCCTTAGGATTATCTGTTCTTGCCTCTTGTTCTAAATTTTGAATAACCAACGGGCAAAATCAATTGCTAATACTCACAAATATTAAAATGTAGCAACATAGGCTAAAAACAAGAGTTTCTGCATTAATTGCAAAAATGGATTATTATAGGTAACATTTCATAACCTTTATTTTTCATAACTGTATATGTGGCAGTATAAGGAGCTGATTTATAATAAAGATGAAATTACATGTATTCGTTACCCTATGAATGTTTAAAATACATCAATATTTTTTATTATGCAAAATTAAATATTTTATTTTGAATTTAGGGCACGTATGAATCGTATTGCTTCTTGAATATAGTTTTTTCACCGTGATCAATATATTTTTTAAGATTTACTTGTACAAACGTAAGCATTTATGTGTTATAATTCGAATTTTAATATATTTACAATTGGAAGTACACATATGTGTGACAGTCATTATTTTCTTTTTATTGACTTTCTAACAAAGATACTAATCTCTATCATTAAAAAGTGATTTTTTCTATTCATTATGTTACCATTATACCATCAACCGTTTTTAATGTGTGTATATAATTCCATTAACATCATTGGGAACGAACTATGCATAAATGAATTGTGACTCCTTGAAATCTTATACGCTTGATTAATTTTGAATATTTTGCTCAAAATAAAAACTAAATTGCTTAACAAATATTAGTTACAAAATTGTGTTAATTTTTAATTGCAACATGTATTTATGCCTTATTGCTAATTTGTGAAACCATTGTAAAAATAGCACGTGTTCATGTTAATCAGCATTTTATGAAGTTTCTGTTTTTGCTAACTTTCCCCTTCCGTTAGTTATATATATATTTACAGTTTTATAAGATGTGCTATGCTTATTTACTTAATAATTTGTATTCAGATAAGTAATTTCACGTCGAATTAGTATATAGGATAAATATAAACACATTTGACGTAGTACATAGATTTGTGCTCAATTGTGTGAATAAAATGTGCTTTAGCATTATGATAATTTTCAAATAATTTTTTCCAAATTGTAATTCATATTTAAATAAATTTGTTTGTAAATTTAATATAACCTGCTTTAAAAATTAGGTGGTTCAATAAATACAAATTAGTGTTACTTCTATTTACACAGAAGTAGACATATTTCCTGATTAATCCGCATGTATATTTTTCCTTACGCAGCTTATAAACTACCTTTCTAAAATATCAAAATAGTCACTCTACAATAAGATTCTAAATTAAATGGTTAGAAACAAAATGCTTATGCAGTTTACGCATTTGGGACACCTTTTGTTGTTTGTTCAATAGATACTAGGTTATTATTTTCACAGAATTTTTTTTTTTATTTTAATAAATAACTTATATTAATTTTAGACTATTAAACACAATTATTCTCTTTTTTTTTTATTATTTGATTCTTCTTATTATTAAAGGAATAATTTAATTGCGTTATTCAAACATTCTATAAAAGAAAAACAATACTAATTAAGAGCATGCTTTTTTAAAGGAATTCTTATTATCCTTATTCATTGTATATATATTTTTAATATGATATTTCATTTTAAAACAATATAATTTCGAAAATTTGTTAAAAGAAAAAAATACCTATTCTCTAAAACATTCTATGAAGCTTGCACAATGATGCATTAATAACTAGATAACAACAAAAGTGCTTCTTGTTTTTATTATTAATTATTGCATATGTTCCATTAATAGTGTTATTCAATATTATTTTGCAATATTATTGTTTGATCACCCTTTTTTAGGTATTTTTCTATATGTCTTTTAATATTTTATATATAGTAATGTAATGGAACTATTATTAAATAATATACCTTTATTTGAATAATAGAAGAAATTTATTTCTGTATATAGATATAGATTTATTATTACTATATTAGAATTAAGTATTAAAAATATAATATTGAAATGATTTGGGTCTAATAAATGTTAATGTAAATTTGACTTATTCTTGATATATAGATGTCTATACATTTGTGCAAATAGCAATAATATATTATATAAATAAAAAAAATTCATATTTAATTTATTGTAACTTCTGATTCTTTATTTAATTATTAATATAATTTTTCGAATTATATTTGATTTGTATTATACCTCCTTAATATTTTTCAAGGATTAAAATATATCTCTTTAACATGAATAAAAACTTCTAGTGATTCTATTATATATATAATATAATGATTCATACATATAAATTATACTGTATTCCATATAATCTATATTGTGTCCAAATGAATAATACTTTAAACAAAATTAATTATCGATTTTATAGTTTTAGCATTAAAACATGGATATTTTTATGGATCAATTTTTATATATATTTACTACACTTTTATTTCTTTCACACTTATAACATAAAAAATCATTATAAAATATTCAATAATACATATATATACCTAATATGTACAATTATAATTTTTAAGCAGTAAATACAGAATAGAAAAATTTAACGCACTATAATACATATGGAAAATTGGGCACTTAACATGGATCCCATATTAAAAAAATTATTATATCCATTTAATATTTTTCAAAACCACATATATATAGTATATAGCGCAGTCATATTTCGATAATATATATATTATGTTAAATATTTCAACACATTTATTGAATCAGTTTAATTTATATTGCAAAATATGCAATATCATTTACGTATCATGAAAATATATTTCACATTATTATATATAATGATGGATAAAACATCTTTTGCATAATTTTTTCTACAAATTGTAATTTTTAAATAAATTTTTTAATTTATGATTTCATATGTAGAGTAGTACGTGTAACTAGATTGTGCATATACAATTGAGATTAAAAATGGGTATAACTAATATTTATTTGCATTACCTAAAATTAATAACACTTCTCTACAAATATATATAATCAAGTTATACATATATTTATATTTTTGTGATAACATCAAGTTTTACAAATCCTTTAACCATATTTTTGTTTTAATGTAAAATATTTTTCATCCTACTAGAGAATTAATAGATACTATTAAACATAGTTAATTTTTTTAAGAATTATTGAATACTGCATTATTAATCTTTAAGAAAAAAATTAATGATATTGTTATTGTCTTATTATTTCCCATTAGGAAATGTTTAAAGTATCTAGAAGTACATATAACACTATGAATTTAGAATATGTTTAAGCATTTGATGAATGAGAGCTGTTAAGAAAAAAAAAGTATATAATAAGTAATTAAAAATAATATATTATTACTGGTATCCCTTGATTGCACATATTAATAATTATATATGATATCTATAATATGTGAATTACAATGACATATTAGTTATACATTTAAAAGAAAGAACATAAATATGTGGAAATTAGTAGCATAATGATATTATAAAATACACTTTATCAAATATTCATGGTGACAACATAGTTATCAAAAGATTTTATACACGTATTAAAGTTATATCTTATATTTAATGATTACATTTAAATTGTGAAAATTGACGATATTAATATGTTTATTGCCATCATCTTTAACTTAATAAAACGTAAATTGTATATATTCCTTAAGGGTTATATATGTTTTTTGGGATTATCAATCCACAAGAACAGCACATAATACAATTTTAACACACCTTAGAAAAATATATGTAGTATGATAGCTATAAACATCTCATGTAAAAGAATGTTATAAATAATATATTAATTTACATAAATAATTACCCCTATTGTGCAAAATAATAAATAAATAATATAATTATTTATTACTATAGAAGGAACATATGTAACCGTGACTACTTCCAGAAAATTGTGCTAAATAATTTTATTTCCTTATAAATATTACATGTTTATTTTACCATTGAAACGGTGCCACTAATATGAATTCAATGTTTTACATTGAATAATTATGTTCATTATTAAACTATGTTAAATTCTTATTTATAAAAAAAAAAATAAAAAATGTGCTATAAAATATTGTTTTGGTTTTTATGTATCGTTAAAAATATATAAAAATCATGATATTGTATTATAACTTCTGAAAATTAAGAAAAAAATATATAAGAAGCTTTATACATATTTGCTGATTTTTTCGTATGGCAGAAGAGTATTTATTACAACAAGAATAACAAATAGGAGAAAAATAAAAATACATAGAATAAACATATTAATCATATGTATATTATTATTATCGTGTTCTTGAAATTCATAAAAATATATTTTTTAGAGCACTCTGTATATATGGCATGTAATATATATTTTATAGTAGCTATTATACCTTTGTGAAATTATTTTTTTGTCAGGTACTTGAGAATTTTTTTTTTTTTTACACTTTTTCCTTATTTCTAGAAATAGCTATATAATATGAATTTTTTTTAATAAAAATATTTTATTTTAATCTTAATTTTAATACATGAATACAGAGGTAAAATATATTTAAGGACAACTACATTAACAAGTAACTAGACATTGCATTACGCAGGAGTGTATTAAATAAATTAAGGAAAATATATGTAGTGATTTGATAATTTGTTGATGTAATGTGTTTTAAAAACAGCACAATTATAATTGAAACAGACGTAGTTAAACTTTGTATATTTTTTATTATAGCAAATATTTTTTTTAATATATGCTTTTAGGTAATGTACTATATATATGTGATTTTTAATCTTAAACATGAATTGTTACTATTATAATCTAATTAGTTAAGGAAATAAGTATATATGCTGTCTAAACTTTGGCAAAAACAAATGCATTATTTTGACTGTTATAATTATAAAATATGAAATAAATATAAATTATATTTATTTTTATTAGAAGTGTTTTTTATTCATAAAGAATACTGCATGAATTAAAAGCTGTTAATGAACACGAAGTTTTCCATATTTTAGTGTTATTATATTTCAGTAATAAAAACAATTAATTTTAAAATATAAGGAAAGAAGAAATTACACAGCATCTATATGTGTGAAGATTTTGTGTAATAATAAATGTGACACAATATTATGCTATATGTTCAATTGCATAGGTAGTATATTCTAATGTTTTTGTACCCTAATAATAAATATTTATAAGAAAACATACTATATTTAATCTTATATGTTATTAAAAAAATAACTCCTATTTTGAAGGTCTTATTTACAATCTAAAATTAATAATGTAAAGCATATACAATTTATGAAAAAATCATTATTTTTTTATTTTTAAATTAATGAATATAGGTAACGTAAAGTATATTTAAAAAATTAAATGGAATGACTGATCCAGTGGTGGATAACGCCATTAAATTATTAAAGGATTTAGTCTTCCAATCTTGGAAGTCTGCAGTAAGTAAATCATTTAAGAATGGTTCCCTTCAATTATTAGAGAATGATATCCATAAAACGTTGACAGATAGTGTAAATATTAACACTTTAATAAAATAACTATATATATCTATATTTTCATTTGAATATTTTACATTTTTATTAGAGTTTTAAATGTTTTTTCATGTAAATAAACATCAATATGATTAATTATTTAAATTTAACTCTTTAATTATAGGATTTACGCACAACAGTAGCACAATTATTGATAGAAGAAATTACAAACAAATTTAATATTGTAGAAGAATATAAGAATTATAAAAATTGTGTCAATTGTTCAAATAACTGTAGTATACATTGCATCTATTGTAATGTAGAAGAAATAATTGAAACGTTGAAAAAATTTTGTGAAGCATTTACATTAAACAATAATACTTGCCATGATTATTTTATCTATTGCTTATATGGAATATTAAAAGACAGTAAATGCAATGATAAGGAAATTCATGAATTCTACATTAAGTTAAATAGTCATTGGAAATGCGATGTAGCAGATAAATCATGCAATATAAAGTATTTACCTATAAAGAACAAGGATATACTAAAGAATAAGAAAGAATTATATGATTTTTTGAGATACTATAGAACTATAAAAATATTATTAAATAAACAGAAATCGTCAGAAAAAACAACATTTTGTAATTATATAAATTATTTTTTTAGTTTATACGAAAAAATTCATAAGGAATATAATTTACTATATTCAGGAACCTATGATAAAGAAATAGAATTATTTAAATCAATATTTAAACATGCAAAAGACGAATTAGAATTTTTAGATATAAATTGTCCTCATAACAAGGCAAATTTGGCGTTTGACAAAGAAAATAGAAAGATAAAACAAATAAAACAAAATTTATACGAAGACTTTGTTAAAGAAAAGTCTCAAGAATTTGAAAATATAAAAAATGTAAAATGAATTTATGTTCACGAAGAACCCATGAATGTTTTTATAATAGATTTATATATAAATAATAGCTATATAATTTTATTTGAATATTATGTCTTTAGCAAAATATAATTAAATTATTTTTATTATAAAATAAATTTTATAACATTTTCATATATTTATTTATATTTTAACCTTAGGATTTGTTGGAAAATTCATCCATGTATGGATTTTATTCAAAATTAGATGGAAATTATAATGTTGGTGCTAGCATGTCATATGAATTGAAGGAGGGGGATGATGATTACATTAAGGACAATGAAAATTTTTTGAATGTATGGAAAAAAATTGATAAAATATTATTAGAATGGTCAAGCTATTCTTATAGACAGGATAATTTAAGTAATAATGAGAGATGTGAATACATAAATTATTGGCTGTATGATCAAATAAAAGACAATAGTGATCCTCGAAACATTATTCCATTTCTTTACAGAATAAATGGAATTATTACTAGCAAAGGTTATTGCAAAAGAAAAAATTTTGATTTTCATGTGGAACAAATAAATAATAAGAAACATCTGCATGATTTTGTAAGAAGTTATGATTTTATAAAAGATAAATTGAAAAAAGCAAATGATGTAGAAAGGGAGATGTATTGCAAATATATAAATATTTTCTTTGATTTATACAAACACATGGAACAAGAAAAAAAAGGGGTTCAAGGATATAAAGATGAAATAGTTCATTTCCAAAATAAATTATATAACAATATTAATGAATTAATTTTCTTAAATAGTTATTGTCCTGGAAAATGTCTAGGATACATATTTACTGATAATTATAAAAAATTTTGTGCTTCATCAGGAGACAATACAAAAGGGAAAAAGAGTGAAAATGGAGAATCATATGATACTAAAAATAATTTTACTGCACATTATAGTAAAAAGAAAAATGTAAATTATTTTTATATGAATAATTCTTATAGCATCTATCAAATTATTATACTTTTTATATAATATATTATAACATTTTTAAAAACTTAATTATTAAAATAATTGACCTTTGTACTAATTTTTAGGATTTAATTTCAAAATATATAATAGAAGATACTACCTATATTGAATTAGATATGGAGAAAAATAGTGAATATTTGAAACATTATTGCACAGATCTCAATGAATTTGAATATAAACATAAAGGGGCTTTTAAACTTTGTCATAAGCTTGTTAAAAATTTAATAGACTTATATCGAATAGAAAAAAATGTAGAACGTAATGACCGTTGTTATGCATTGAAACACTGGTTATGTGAAGAAATAAGGAAATTACTCAGTGTTAATTCTAATGATGTTAGTAAAGAACCTGTGATTGATAAACTAAGAAAAGTTGTTTTCACTGTTAATCATAATTATTTGTTAGGAAATCCTTGCTATATCGATCTCGTTGGTACACTGGATCAATGGAAAGAGGAGAAAGAACTATATGATTATTTTAATGTTTATGATAAAATTGAAAAACACACTAAATCAAATAAAAATAGCTGCGATAAATATATAAATAGTCTATCTTCAATTAATGAACTATATGAGAAACATTTAGGGAGATGCTGCTATTGTTATAGTTATGGTAAATGTGTGGAAATATGTCCAGGTTATTTCAAATGTGATGAAAAATTTAACCCATATAATATTTTTTCAAAATTGAACTGTGAAGGAGAAAATATTAAGAATTTTAAACATGTTAAGAAACCACCTCCTGTTGATCATTTTGTTAAAACTAGGACTCTCAACTCGTTTTTATTCGCATCTAATAGAACAAAATTCGATACATTCTATACTATCACAACACTACTTTTAGGATTATTAGGAATATTTATGATACATTTCATTTTTTATAAGGTAAATTAAGATAAACCTATAAATGTTATATATTGGATTTTTAATATATTTATCTTTAAAATATGTACTTTCGTAATAAGCATAATACATTTTTACGCGGATTTGAATATATTTATTTTGTCTTAGTTTACTCCTTATGGATCATTCATAAACAAAAAAGTTTTTAATAATAAAAATAACATGATTAATATGAGTGGGAAAGGCAAGAAAAAATTAGAACAGAATATATTAAAACATAGAAATACAAGTAAGAAATCCAAAACAATTCATTTTAGCTACCAGAATGCATAAAATTTCTCAGAACTGTTATAAATATAATATCAAAACAGTTAAAATTTTTACATTTGAATACATCTGAATAAGATTTTTTCATATATTATGTATAATACTAATAAAAATAAAAAAGACATATATTAAAATAGTAATATATGTTTATTTTTTAAAATACAATTCATATTGTCATTTTTTGATTTTGTGGATTCACAATAATTTATTTATATCGTTAATATTTCTGTACATATTTTTTCTCTATTTTAGTTATTATTTTGTTTTTTTTTCACACTTAGTATTTAGAAATAAATTTTCTACAGTATGTATTAATATCTATTAAAATATTTTTATTGTTATACAAAATTATGTTATTTAATTGATCAATAGCTATCACATAATAATAATTTAAGTATTGATTATTTTTAGCATATTTTATAAAATTGAATGTATTTTTCCTTAATGTTTATATATTTCATTATATCTTTTTATCATTGATGTTATAGCACATGAAATATATAATACATATATAAGTGTTACTTCTTTCCCAATAAGTGATAATTGGAATATGTGATTAAGCAATTAATACATATAATAATTATAAACGTTCCTCTGGGTATATTAATTTTTTATTGCATAATAAATATGATGATATTATATTATTAATTATTTTATAAATATAATAATAACATTTAAACTTATTATTACGTCATAAACTTGATTATGTTGTTATATGAATAATAGGAATAAAATATTTTAATGAATATTGTATTCATATAAATAAGAATAAATTCATTCTTACGTAGTAAATATTTTGCTTTAATTCTAATAAAAAAATAACACTTTTTAAGTGTGATGAATATGACCCTATTTTTATCTATATGTGTTCTCATAAATCTTTTTGGAACAATTAGTTCAATGGTTAGGTTGTAAAATAAAAAATGCATGTGTTTGAGTATGTTTAAAGATAACAAAATTTCGTGTATCTATATATAATCTATTAATTTATTATTACTAAATTAAACCAGAGAAAAAATATTTTTCTTCCAACAAATTATAATGCGCAGAACATGCTTTAATGATTAAAAGAAAGTGTTAATAATATTTACGGTAATAATATATATTGGACATATATGAATTATCTTCATATATGATTAATTATTTACACTCTAATCAAAAAATTACACCGAAATGAGTAATAATGCACCTGTTATTTTAACAAATCTCTGGAAATAAAAAAAAAAAAGAAAGCAAAACGATATACATATACATTATAATTAGAATATGTTATTTATGAGATAAAAACTATATATCACTTAATTATTCTTCTTATATCATTTTTTAAATTTATATAGCCTAAAAAAATAAAATATTATAGTGACTTTATTAAATATTTTTTCAATGTTAATAGACCCGACTTGTACTATGAATTAACACTTCGAATTTTGTGTTCTACATAAATATAAACATATAGTTTTTTGCAAAATAAAATCAGTACATACACTCATAAAAATAAATGCAAAAATTAGTTTTCCTTTAATTAAGGTTTCATTGACATTTAGTGAATTATAATTTTTATTATTACTTATTTATTTCACGAAACACAAAAGTAGTCATATTGTCTTTCCTTGAAATAACTAGAATGAAAAATAGAATTTAACATTTGTTCTTTTATTTGTTTTATATAAGAAGACGCATATACTTTTGAATTTTTTAAATGTGAAATATAATATAACTTTTTTATTGTAATATTATTTTGTAAGGACATTAAATTCACAGGAATTTATATTTTTAGTATTCAGTAGAAAATGTAACAATTTTATGTGGAATGTTAGGATATTTCTAATATACTATCTCCAAATTTATACTATTTAGAGAATTCTAAAAAAACGTCCCATTATGTATAATAGAGATTTACAATTTATATTAGTATGAATTAAAAATTACATTCAAGTATTTTATTTTTCTCTTTATAATAAGAATGCCTAAAATATATATAATTTAGTGGTTGCCATATTCGATTTCATTGAAAAGAACTAAAAAAATTGTTACTAGAAAATTTGTTTACTTATCAATATCTATTTGGATAAATTAATATGAAAAATGTTTTTTAGATATAAAAATTTGTCACAAATGTATACATTGTAATATAAGATTATGAAATATGTCATACTAATGATAATTAAAAGAATTTAATGCATTGTTTAGTTTATTACTGAAAAATTGCTATTTTGTGTATGAATATACCACCTCCAATTTAATGAAACATTGAGTAAAGACTATTCCTTCTTTAATACATATAAAATTATCATCGTTGATAATAAGTATCATGTGTTATGTTTTAATACATAATTTATGTTTATTTTTAGGAAAATTACATATATGCAGAAAATAGGACATTATTTTTGGAAAATCAATTTTTTTGTTTTGTATCATTAAGTAAAAGGATAATTTTAATAAATATATATTTTTGTTACTGTAATTTATGTTCAACAAAATTTACATTTATGAAATATTAGCAATATTGGTTGTTCTTTTCTATGTGAATTATCAACATGTATATAATACAAACTATATAGATTTATTAAATAGTGTATTATAATTTAGTAAAAAATATATATGTAACCTGATAATTGTCTAAGCAGTATTCAAAAATGTAAGTGATATCACTGTAAATGTAGAACTAAAAGTAATAATTCCCATGAATAAAAAAAAGTAGATAAATAAAAATATGTTTAAGAGTGAACTGAAAAATGCCATTATACAATAACCAAAAATTCTGAGGCATTATATTAATATTACATTTCAATAATTATGAAATTATTCAGTAATGTTCCTATGGGATTAATTAGAATATTAATAAAATAAATCATTATAACCCATCTATATTCACATTGTAAAAAATGAATATTATAATGAATAAAAATTAATTTAACTACCTTTGCATAAGTATGTAATATTAATACTTTTGTATAACGTAGGAGATTGTTGTGTATTAATTAGTTTCAGTAGCCTTGATTCTTGCTTTATTTTATATAAAAATATTTAAAAATTTATAAAAATTAAGCTTTCTATTAATAAAGGTAAATTTATTTCTAAAACATATTCCTTTTGTAAGATAAATATTAATAAGGAAAATGCTTAACTGCTATAAATATATTTGATGTCTGGAAAAATTATCATAGATAAAAAAATCTCCTTAAAATAGTTGATGAAAAAATGGAACTATTAATTTCGAAATATATTTATTTACACGAATAGATATCAAGGTAAGATATTTGATGAAAGAAATGCACCATTTGTAAAAGTACATTGTGTATAATGATTTTAGATATTTAATTATAGAAACGCAATGGTAATAAAAAGATATATAAGTGTTTATATTAAAAGTTATATATTTGATTTAAAATATTGTACACTTTTACACTATTTGTATTATATAGACTAATAAAAATGCATAAAGAAATGCACCATAAAAAAGTTTTAGCTGTTTTTTATAACATTTACTAAATAAAAGAAAAACTATAATAATGCATAAAAAATTTTATATCAAAAGAAGTATATTAAATAGAATATAAAAATAAATTACACTTAAATTTACTAATTTGTGGTTATTTATTTGAATATCTAAAACAAAAGTGATCATTATTTTTATAAATATAAGAAAATGGATTTTCGCATTATTAAATCATTCTTTTATGAAAAACAATTAAAAATCCATCTACGCCTATAGTTAGATAAATATTTATTATTTTAATGATGTAAACAAAAGAAAATATATTTATTATGTGTTAATAATTGTACTACATTAAATAAATAAATTGTAGTACAATTGGTTTTTTCTTAATTGATAAATATTTAAGTGAAATATTTTTTGATTTGAATAAAGATAGAATTATGTTTATATTTATTATATTAGAAATTAATAAAATGGTGAAATATAAAATTTATTTGACATAAAAATGTGCTATGTATTTAACACATACTGCTTTAGATTATGATCGAACATTACTCTTTTGCTTAGATATAAATACTATGCGTTCGCTGCATGTATTAAAGAATAAATGACAATAAATTCTACACAGCCATATAAGCACACAATAGCATATATAAATAATATAACTATGACCTTTTTTTTAGATATAAAAGTGTGCCGTATTAAAGAGAAATAATTATATAATTTTTTTATATTATAATTATGTGTCTGCAGATATATGAATTATTTACTATATATATTTCTTTTTAATTTTAAAAGAATAAATAACATATGGATCGATTATAAATATCCATTTTCAATGAATTTATAATTAAGTATGAAATTTCCTAATTATTACACTTTAAATTAATATACATGAAAGAGTTATGGCATCACTTAATGAAAATGATTTTGTAAGTATTAAGTTTTTATTGGAATTATAAAAAGATATTGGCTAACTTGTGTCATTTTTAATTATCACAATAAAATATTATTTAGGAAAAAATAATGTAGTATCTATACTATCAATTTTCCTTCTTAATTTCAGAATGATCTCTTGAAAACTTTGCCTGCCTATGAAATCTATAAGAAGTTTGATGACGCAAATGATATTTTGGAATACAATGATAAATGTAATGATTTAGGAACAAATGATGAAAATTTTAAAGGACTTTGTAAAAAATTTTTGAGTGCTATAAAAAAGTTATCTGAAAATAATGATACTATTGAAAAAAATAAAGAACATAATTCATTAGGGTATTGGATCATTGAAGAATTATGGAAGTATTATAGGAATAATAATAAAAATATTCACAGAGGCATAATTGATAACCTTATTATTAAGCTAAATCAACACTGTTTAGATTTGAACTTAAATCGTTTGTTCTATAACTCAGATTTTGACATCAATTTGTCTAAAGAGGAGAAATATTTGCTTGATTATTTTAAAAATTATGAAAAAATTATCTCCTGCTCAAGACAAGATTGCGAGAAGTATCTTAAATACATAACTTATATTGAAAAAATATATTTTAATCATAGAGAAGACTGCTTAGGAAATGTATGTTACTATTTTAATTATAATAAGAAGTATAACCCAAGTGATCTTCTACATATATTAAAAGATAAGATTCAGGGGTCCTATGAAGCAAGAAAAAATTTTGGTATGTCATTAAGCCTTAAAAAACAAGCGGATACAGATAATTCAGAAGAAAATGTTAAAATGGTAATAAAATATATTCTATGTACAAAAACAGATGATGTGAATAAAAAATTTCTTGGGTATAAGTGTGAAGACCCTTCTTATCGTCAAAACTCGGAAAAATCTATGTTTTTTAAAACCTTAGATAAAAAAAAAGAGATTTCACATACTGACATAAAAGATGCTTTGGGATTAATAAATGATCGTCGATGCGAAAAAAAAATTGACGAAACAACCGGAAAAGTAATTGAGTTATATTGCATGAATGAAGAGTTCACTGATATTTTAAAGAAATTAAACTCAAACAAAGATGTTAGAAAGCCTATAATTACAAATACAGTAGGAGAAGGATCGGCAGTTTCCAGTAAAAAAAATACTGAGTTAGCAAATAGAACTGTTGGAGCACATGAAAATAACTATTCTGAGGGGTTTTTGTCAGGCATAGAATTATTGTCTGTTAATCGTGAAGTACCACCTACTGAATTAGACACAAAAAATTTTAAGGATCAGAGAAAACTTAATTTTCCTATTTCACGAGATGTTACATTATTTCCTGAATATTCCGACCAATATCGCGTAGAATATATTGATAAGGATATACCTGATTGTAAAATTTATACCAGAATACACGGAAAATTAGCTTGTAAACATAAAATAGATACAAATGATTTTATAGAAAAAATTAATAAATCTATTTCTGTTATATCAGATATGGAAAATGAAATTAAAAATATGGGTAAATATGAAACAGTTATCATACCAGATGGGGACTCTAGTATAATGGGTTCTAGTATGTTTCGAATAGCTACGATAACACTTTTAATATTTGGTGTATTGTTTGTTTTTTTTATATACTTTAAAGTAAACAAATTTTATATATAAATAATTTTTTTCATTCTATGTTATATAAATAACACAAAACTTTTATAATATTTTGATATATAAATACTGTATATTTTTTGATTCTTTTTTTGAATATCAGTTTACTCCATTTGGAACCTGGTTGAGGAAGAATGTCTTAAACAGAAAACGAATAAGAAATAATGATTATGCAGAGCATATGCAAAATCGACGAGTACGTGTTCCTGGACCAAATAATACAAATCATAAAAAAAAGAAAGCCAAAATAGCTTATCATTCCAAATGAAACGCAATGCATTTTGTTAAAATGGAAGTTAATAAATTAGGAATAAATTATTTAATATATATAAATTTATTTTTACATATAAATATATGAAAAAAGAATAAAAAATACATAATTGAAACAAAATTGATGAAAAAAATAAATTTAAAGTATAAACACATAATAATTATGTATTTATGCAAATATATGAATAGTCTATGTAGATACATTTAAAACAGTAGATAACATTAATATAATATATAGACGTGTATTTAGAATATAAGTGTATTTTATAATTGAATAACATGTGTTAATACATGCTTGAGCAATTATAGCACAGGAATTTAAAGATTTTATATGTATACTATGAAAGAAAGGATATTATGCTATTATAAGTTTTCCTATGAAATGTGTGCAGAATGGTAAATATAAATTATGTAAAAGTTTTTGAAACCATTTAAATTATACTAAATATTTCTTTTTGTGCAAAAAGCAAAGAAATACATTTATTAATTAAAGAAATAAGAAAATTTAATAAAACATATATTATACATTTTTGTAGGTTAGAATAATATTAATTCTATATATATATAAAAAAAAAAAATAAATTCTTGAAAAAAGTTATATATTATTCTGATTATTAATTATATTATTTCATTTTAATGTATTATTTATTCTTTTACAACTTTTATATAGTTTTATTTATAGTCTTTAGTATTTATATATAGAAGTAATTTTTTTTAATTTTTTACATTTAAACCTTTTTTTTGTGTTTATTTTTTAAATTATAATACTTAAAAAATATATATTTTTTGCAAAATCGCAGCAATATTATTCGTATTGATAAAATGACAATATACGTTGATATATAACAAGTATACATCTATTTGTACTAGTGTAATTCAAAATAAATATATAAGAAAATCATTTTAAAAATGATATAATATTCTATTATTAATATGGGAATAACTTCTGTTTCAGCGGGTATATTATTCGTTACATAAATAAGTATGAGTTAATTTGTCCATGGTTGTAGCTTAATTGTCATAAATATGCCCAATATGTAACTTTCATGGGTTTTATCTAATAAATAAATAATATAAAATGAAAATAGTAAGTCATTTAATTAAATAAAAATACATAGATTAATTGTGTCAAAATAATGTTATTTTAGTACAATATTATAATACTTGCGTATATGAATATATCATAAATATAGAAACAAATTCATAGAAGAGTTTCAGTATTTAAAATACAAAAATGTATATATATGATAGTATAATAAAAGGAATACAAAGGAAATTATTAAATCATAAATTAGTTTATTATTGAGATATTATCAATTATGATAACATATATAAGAGTATATATTAATTATATTATAAATATTCTGCCTAATTTTTTTTTTTAATATAATATTATACATAATTTCATGTTAAGTATATAAAATAAAATTTTATTTAACAATATTAGGATGTAAAATTCTTAAATAATTTTTATTTTTTATGTTAATACTTATGAATTTCTATAATAATATTTAAATATTTATAATTTTTTTTTTTTTTTGGCCTATGTATATAATAACATTGGCATATTGTATATGTTTCCCATTCTATGCAGATATATGAAATGATAGTTTACTTGTAGGAATGTTTAGTTATTATTTATTATCTTTTATTTAATTACATTAATTAAATAAATTGTTTTTATATATTATTATTTGAGGAAATTTTTTTCTTAAATTTTTTTTGTTTTTTTATGTGACATATTGTGTGAATAACATTTTTGTAATTTAATGCAAGTTTGTAAAATAGTGTATTATCAGGCATTACCTTTGTAACAACTTTTCTATGTTACATCCATTTATGATAACACTATTTTTGTAAGCACATTAATTATGTTTAATATTTAGAACTAAAACATGCTGACGTATAAATAAATAAATAAATGTCAAAATGAATTCATATATATTCAATTAATGTATGAAAAAAGAATTAATAAATAACGATGGATATATATTTTTTTAATATTTTAATTTTTATAACAAGGCATCTTATAGTGCTTACTTTATATTTATAATTTAAATGGATTTTATCTCTTTAATTTTTGTCACCTTTAAATATATATATTAATGAAAAAAATTCCTTCCTTAACATCGAACATATAAAAATATATATATTTTTTATTATAATGAAAAGATTATTTTTTAGCTGCATAATTTTATAAAATATTCACGTTAAGATAAAAATTCGGTTTAGAGATTATATAAATTTTATGATATTCAAAAATAAGGATACATATAAAAAAGTACAATTTGAGTTTTATATTCGGAATAAGGTTTATATAGTACATTAATATTAAGTTAAATTGAATAAAATTAGAGAAGTTAATAAAATTATGAATATATTCAGTTATTCATTTTAGTATATGTTATAATACGTTTGAGGAATATGTTACATGCAATATTTTTGTAAGACTAATATTTTACTAAATGTTATTGTAATTTATTCATTATATAAGCATCTTGAAACATATAAATATTTGAATATAATATTTGAAAATTATAAAATGGAAATAATTTTCGTTATATTCTTATTATAAGTTAGTATAATTTACATATGCAATACATGTGTTATGTAAGAATGTGTATTTCGACACTTGAATGATTACATTTTTAGTTATGAATATTTAAAATGCAGTACTATATAAATTTTTTGAATGAAGGAATAAAATTATTTACAAAAAAAATAAAGAAAAAAAATGAAAAATATTAATATTAAATCAAGACTAACTATAGATATATAATAAAATATATATAATATTTAAATAGTACTTAAAAAAGAAAATAAAAAATTAATAGTTTAATTTAACACATAGTAAAAATATTTTTTGTATATTTTTATTTTTCTCTTATATCTTTTTATGTAAATAAAGAATACAAAGTATTTTATGCACATAATTCTATTTGTTATAATTTTTTGTTAGAGTGCATAATAATATAATGAGTATTCTTTTATATGGGATTATAAGAAATTCGCGTTCTTCTATTATTAGCAGGTTTGTTCACAGATGCTTTTTCATGTTTCAAGGAATAATTCGTTTGTAATCCATGGAGATTATAAGGGTTTTTTTTTTTGCTTTTCCTCATGTTAACTAAATATGATCCAAAGGGTGTAAACTACGTAAAAATGCATAAATTTAATGTAATTAGAATTCATATTTTTAATGCAATATTTTAAATGTAATTAACTATATATAGTAGTATTAACATATGTAGTTAAGACACTAAATTAATACTTTGTAGAAAAGAAAAAAAATGATAAATACTCCCACTAGCAGAAAGGAAATATTAAAAGCAAACTGATAAATTGGAAAAATTTGCTGTCTCTTAGATAGGTAATTTACATCACTTGGATGTTTATCTTCACATATTAAACTATAATGACTTTTTTTATTATGCCAATAAAATCCCTTTGCACACGAAAAATGTACATCTTTTATATGTTCTAAATTGGAATTTACAGTATTCATTGTATTTTCATCTGTTTTAGTTTCATCCTTATGATTTTGTAATAAATTAATGAGTATTTGAGGATTATATTTATCTTCAAGTTTGAAGAAATCATCGCAGTTATTAGTTAAAAAATCATAATAATCATAGCACTGCTCCTTTTTATACCTTTCATATAGACTTCTAACGGAGGTAAGATATTCCTTACATTTATCCTGCTTATCATCTTTGTATTCTATAATAATCTTCTTAATAATATCATAATTGTTAAAATAATCGTGTAAATATTTTTTTTCTATTTTTTCTACGATTTCATCAATATTTTTACCGGAAAAATAGTATTGACATTTATAATCAATAAATCCATCTGTAAGGAACATTCTTAAATCATTATATTTCTTTACAATTACATTTTTATATACATCATCTGTTGCATCAGAAAATATGCTCATAATTGACTCATACACCCAGTATTTATAATGTAAGCAATGCCTTTTACGTTCCTCTTTTTTGGATATATATATATTCTTAAAATTTCTTTCAATTTTTTTACAAAAAACGTAAGCTCTATTTGCATATTTTTGATCTAATTTTGTAAAATTTTCGCATACATCTCTTTTTATTCCTTGTCCATTGTCGTTTGTAGTCGATGCGCTTTTTGCAGTTTCGTATGATTTATTCATTGAATCTTCCTGAGAATTCGACGAGAAAAAATTTATGAACTATACTTTTTTTAATAAATTTTATTTTTACAAAAAAAATAGTAACTTTTAATTAAATTGAATTATTTCGGTAATTGAAAATAACCTCTTTTTCCAGTTCTGAATATAATATATATGAAGAAGAACTTTTTAATTTATAACAATCAGACTTCAAAAAAAAAAGAAAATTAATCAATAGATAAATTACCAGCTTAAAAAATATATATTTATAGAATATCTAACTCTCTATATGTTATCTGAATAAAAAGCAATTAACTATCATTTTTAAATATAAATTTATATATACATCATTAGCTAATTTTATAAAATCTGCTTTATTATCCAGATTCTTCATTATTGAATAAGAATAAAATGATATTATATTTTATAAGCATACAAATATAATAAATTATAACGATAATTTATATATAATCATATTAAGTATATATATAGTATATAATAAATGTACTAAATTATTTGTAAAATAGATTTTATAACTAAATTATCGTAGAAGTTAGTATCTCTTGAAAAAAAATATTTTTTACATTAAAAAAATAATATAAAAAATTAGGAATGGAAAAATTCATGTAGAATTTATATATTTTTATAAATTTAATCTTATATATACTTATAACTTCAAACACATTTCATATATCTATTAGAGAAGAAAATTTATTAACTATTACATATATATATAGATATAAAATTTAGAGTCAAGTGAACTATTTGCCACAATAAAATATATATGTGTTGAAATTTTTTTTTTATACTTTAGTAAATTTTTATCTAATATACATTGTATATATTAACTGATTTGTATTATTATCTAAAGTTAAGTTCTATAACATATTAATTAGAACATAATTTTTATTATTAATAGTTAGTATAATGCATATATATTTCATATCATAGTATGTTAAAGGAAAATTCCAATATAAAAAATAGTGTACATAAATAAATAATGTAAATTAACATACATAATAAATAATTTATTGTAAATTACGTTGAATAAAAATATATTGAAATTTTTACTATTTAAGAATACTTTTATAGTATCATAATATATATATTGCTAAAAACGTAATAGTAATACATATAGTTTTTTCCCATTTAAACTAATGGAAAATTCTGTTTTTCCTTTTCTCTACTCTGTAATGTTTAAAATATAATACCATTATATTTTATATCAACATTATTAGTTTGAAGTATATTTTTCAAGGTAAATTCATTACATATTAAAATGAAAGAATGCTTATTTATTATTAGCATACTTACTTTTTTAATAAATACACAATATTGAAAATACAATACTCATGTTATGTTAAAATTAAATTTACGATTAAAGAATTAATTAAAAATAAACATGTACTATCTGCATAATATGCTTAAAAGAAATTTTATTTTTATTTAATTTATTCATTCTTATTTAAACATAAATCAGATATAGGTAACAATAATATTAAAATGTAGTAAGGTACAACTGGATATATTAAGTATTTTTACATAATTTCTCAAAATAACTAATAAATGAATTTTTCTCTTATGTTTATGCGAGAAATGCAATAAATTACTATTCTGTAATTTCTAATAATATAATTCCAAATATTATGTATTAAATATAGCTTATTATTCCATTTTCCATGTTTTAAGCTTAATAATTACATTATATATATTATTTATAAGATAATTGGTATGAACTATTAATATTAATATGTTATACGTATAGAATGCATTGTTTTATTTCTTATTAAGTGTATACGTGAAAAAAAATATATAAATGATTACTCATTTTTTTAATGATTATGTAAAGGTATTTTTACTACGGGACTATATATAAATTTTTTATTTTTTTATTTTATGATTTAAAATAATTAATATAAATATTTATACATATTATTCACTTTGCTGAACTATACGAGTATTAATTTATAGCGTTTTACTATATGAATGAATATATTTTATTTTTCTTAAGTATTTATATTATTAATTGTTCATTTATTCCTTATTTAGAGTTTAGTTTTTTTTATATGATATAAATTTCATTATTAGATTATATGATTTTAAGAAGATATTATATTATTTTGACTAATACAATTATTTAAAATATTATGATTACGTCTTTTTTCTACATGAATAAAAATTAATGTAAAAGTATATATGTATTTTGTTTATATCTTTTTTATAGGAACTATCACATATGCACACTGATATTTTTTTATTTATCTAATATTATACAACTGAATTGATAAAAATAATTTAATATGTAAACAATATTATTATGATTTTATAATATAAATTATGTTTTGTAAATTGTGAGTTGTTTGTTTTCTACTAGTATGCTACTTCATTACTTATTATTTTGGACTAAAGGAGAGATTTATCAATTGAAAGGAATATTTATTTACTCATTAATAATTATTGTACATTTTTAATATCCATATGAGTATTTATTTTTTATAACATATATTCTATTTAACATTTGGAAAATATAAATTCATTCAAATTTTCGTGTAGAAAAATGCTATATTGTTGAAAATTTATGTAGAACATATTTTATACATAATAAAGGTGTGACATAAAATAATACACTGCATTTCAGGATGCAGTATATACAGTATTTTTACTACATACGTGGAAACTATTTATATTTTTTTGATAAATTGTGATATTATTTTTTCTATGCTTATTTAACTTTCTTTGAATGTGCATTAATTATTTTTGTGCTCTCGTGGGTTCTAAATGCCTAAATGTTATTAAGGCTTTTTTAAATTCTTATATTAATTATCATATCATTTTTTATTAATATTTATCATTTTAATGCAATACAGTTAGTATAAAGGCATTATTTATTTAAATGTCGTAATAAAATTTTTTATAAATGATGAAAATTTTACAATTTGCATTAAATAAGGAGTTCATAAAAATGAATGTAATAATTGTATTTTTTTTTAAACATTAGTTTTTTTCTCCGTTTTAAGGATAATTACAAGACAAGGAACTAAATGTGTTATTAGTATTAACTTTTTTACATAGGTGCAATCCTATAGATAAAAATATTTAGGTTTGACATTTATTTGTCTTATAATATCAGTTAAAAACAAAAAAATATTAAAGAAGAAATATAAGCTTTTAATTTTTACTACTAAAACAAACAATTATAGTATTTAACATATACTTAAAAAATAATAATAAAATTATTAAGGAAAAATCATCAATAGCAATTTTAGTTGATAACAAAATTGAAAAAAAAGTGTTTAATTCTTAATCACAAAAAAATAAAAAAAGGATGTAACATAATATATACATAAAAATTATAACAAAATATTAAAGGAAAAAAAAATAATAATAAATATTAATTATGTTTATTTTCATTTTTTTTGTATATAAAATGATTTCTGTGTGTTAATTGTTCTTATTTCTAATGTTATTGCTTTAAATCTTTTAATGGCCTTCATGATATGGGCTATAAGCTATTGGGACCCTCCTAGCAGTCGTATTTATATATGAATATTTTGAATCATAAAATTATGAATCACAATCATCTTCTGCATAAGGATTGTAGTAAAATTTTTTTTTTTTTGTGATTTTTCTTTCTATAAGAGCACCCTGAATCAGTATACTAATAATGTGAAAAACGAAAAACATAGCATGCTTATTATATTATTATATAATTCTAAAGATATAGACTATTAATAAAAAATATAAGGTGTTCATATTTTAAAATAAATTTTATAGTTACTTTGTAATAAAAAGAAAAAATTAGTAATAATCCTATTATTAAAATAAGAACGAGACTAACTCCAACGTAATAGAACAAGTCAATATTGTTATAATTTTCAAAATAAGCATGTAATTCATCATCTAGATTTTCTTGTGCTACATAGATAGTTTAGATATCCTCTGGTGGATTGATATCTGTATGATTTTCCTTTTCTTGATTGTTTGAGGAAGCAGGTGTTTCTTCTAAATTTTTACAATGTTCTAATGAAGTTTTTTCTGATACATTGTTTGGACATTTTACTATGTGTCCATATTCATCAGACTTATTTACTTCTGTTAAGATTTTTTGTGGTTCAAACTATTTTAATTCAGATAATAGGTTGCTTGGATCATAATTTTTATTGCATTTAATGTAATCATTACAGTTATCCATATCACAGCAATTGAAGTTTTAATAATCACTATGACATTGATATAATGGAATAACATAACTGACATAATCAAGATAATTATTATATTTTTCATTAGTTAATCGAGAATCACTGATAAAAGAATGATAGTTATTAAAGTAATCATGCAATAATTTCTCTTGCATTAATTTGCCGAATTCATAATTATAACTACTAAAAAAATAATATCTATATTTTTCATTATATACATTATTAGATATATCTAGTAATGGTTGAATAATTTTACTATCAGTAGCCTTGAAGTTGATGGTGAAATTTATTTTATTTCATATTATATCCAATAATACAAAAACAATTCAGTATTATCCTTATCTTTAAATTTTGTGATAATAATATTTATATCACTAATATTTCTTACGATTTAAGACATGGAGAACTAATTCCCTTGTATTCCTTATCAAAATGGTTCACTTTATCACAATATTTATTGGCATCAACTACGGTGCCTGAATTTTTATTTAATTCCTTATATATTATATCTGAAGGTTATCCTTTTAAAATAGAATCCTAAAAATGATGAAAAAAAGATGAATTTTTTAAATGGGTACATCTCGTCTTAATGGGATTATTTATTGTGTATAAGCAAAATAAAATGCTTTAGTAACTATTCATAAATAAAAATTTTAGTAATAAAGTCACATATAAGATTTTTTCTTGAGACATAGATGCCATTGTATTTTCACATGTTCTGTTTAAGAAAAATGTGCTAAAACATTCTTACAGAACGACTATCTATAATTTATTGTCATATTATAATTACTCTTATGTAAATATTATTTTAATAATTATTTCATAGAAACAATAGTTCTGTAAATATTGTTTAGTATAAATTTCTAGCCACAGAACTAGTCTAACATAAAATGGCCATTTTTAATACTGGAATATACCATTTAAAAATTGAAGGGAAAATACAACATTGAATAGGTAATTTTATGACTTAATAACTACTTATTAAACTTGTCACCTACACATAATATGCATAATTATATTAGTAGTACGTTTTGAAAGAAGGATTTATTAAAATAAATTATCGTAAGCACTGTATTTTGCATGAAAAAGCTAATGTTACACTTTTATTTGGAATTATATAACATTTTATATAAAGATAATTGTCTATATAATAATCAATTACATAAGATACATAAGAATTACACCTTTTTATCTTTTAAAAAGTTAGTGTTTTAATAATTATTTTTTATTCTTTTAAATACTTATAACAGAAAATAACTCATCAAAAAATTTTAACTAAATACACAAAATTGCAGATTTACAATTTCCTAAAGGAACAAAAAATGTTATAATATGGAAAAAATATACAAATTGAATAGATAAATCAAATTTTAAAAAACTAGAAATATATTATTTTCGCATGATATTTCACAAATTGTAAATATATTATTAGAGAAATTTTATATATTTTATAAATCATAATATATCCTCTTTTTGTTTCTATAATCATTTATGGCTTAAAACTCACAGATAATTTTTTGGGGGGGAATATAACCAGCACGATGATGGAAATAATTGTACTTCATATATAAAATTTAGTGTTAATATTAAACACTTGGAATTATATATAAGAATCAGTTAGTTATTAAAAATAAATTAGTATCTAAAATACGGAAAAAAATTGTTCAGTTTTTTTTTTTTATATTTATAATATATAATAATAGTTTTAAATTTATATAAGTCTATGATGTATTATTTATAATACGATCCATATTGGGAAAATTCCCTTAAAGAATTGACATATTGTAATTTTTCATAGAGGGAAATATTAATAAAGAATAAATCATTTTGTTGTCTGGTGTTCTTATGAAAATTATTTTTCTTTATTCTGCAGTTCCTTTATATTGTATACAATGTCAAGGTTTTTGGTTTATTTCTAATTCTTAACATGAGTTCCACCTAGGAAAATGTTAGGTGTTTGCACATTAGGAGTAATAAAATGGGACATTTTGTAATTATTCGATTATTGAAATATTAATATTTAATTATTATTTACATTATTTTTGATATCATATCATTTAACTTTTCCACTGGTACATTATAAAGTTTTGTTTTGTTTTCTTTTTTTAAACTTGTGCGTACACGCTAGAATAGATCTGTTTTGTTATTTAACTTAATAGATTATTATATCGCAACAATCATGATATTATATGAACAATTATTTAATTTTGTGTACATGCACCACCAAGAAAAAGAATACTATAAAACAAAACGCGATAAAATTATGACTATTCAACTGGATGCATAAAAACTTAAATACTCTCAGAATAAATAATTTATCAAAGTAATCTATTTTTGTCTTATAACCTATAAACTCTGTTGAATCATTATCATTACATCGTTATATATTTGTAGAAATATATTTTTACTGAATGCTATCACACTACATGAACAAAAATTTTCACAATTTTAGTTTACTAATCATCGTTGTGAATAAAATAAAATAATATTTAAAAATATGAACATATAAATAGAAATGTTCAAATGAATTGAGCGTAAAATTTTCTTTATATTTTTACATAAATATTATAAATTTCAATTTGAAAAGACCACTTTTGAAGTGCTTTAGATTTATTGCTTGGGTTATGTCAATTTAGGTTTACAAAAAGGAAAAATAAATAAGCATATTAATATAATTATTCTATTTAAAAACATATAGATTTCGATGCTTTATTTGAATTAATACAAAAATAAATTGCGTTTATTATACATTAAATTGAATTCATATATATATGTTTATAAAAAGTTCTCTATATTAATTTTTCAGATATTAAATGATAAAGAAGAAATTCTTTAACGGTGTAGTATTATTTATAATTGCATAGCCGATATATAAATATATATACAACAGCTGCCTAAAAAAAAATGTCTTTTTATAAATTAAAATAAAAAACTATAAACCTAAAATTTTTGTTTATTTATGAGCACTATATTATCATAATTTTTTAAAATTTAAATTCATTGTTAATGGCTAGAACAAACCGACTTCTAACTGAACTTTTGAAAATATAAAGTAAAAAAAAAAAAAAAAAAAAATATAGTTTATTTTCTAGTATGTGACACTATTATAATTATTCTGAAGCAAGATAAATAAACATGGTTTTTTTTTTGTGGAATATTTTCCCTTTAATCCTTGCGTTAGGGAAATTTCATTATTCTTATGAGTGGAAGTAAATTTTATTATCTATTAAATTAGAGTCTTGAATATTACAATACTGTGTTTACTTTAATTTTTGTTCTTTCTTTAATCAAAATGATTAAATAAAAAGAAGTAATAATTTGAATTGTACAACAAATAAATTTTTTCGCAGCTATCCTATTACATATACACCAGGTAAAAAATATATAAATGGAAATAGAATCGGAAGACAATATAAAAGAATTTTAAAATCAGGGAATTCAAATATATTTCAAGCAAATGAGGAATCGTTTCATCAAGGAAATGGAGGAGTAGACAATTTAACAAATTTCGCACATCTGCAGATGAATTCTGGACCATTGGAGACAGAAGAAGCACAATATGCGAATCAATTATGCGAATTAAACAGAAGAATAACTCTCAAATGGATTGAAACTTATGTAAGTATGCTTAAAAAATATATTAATTTCCTAGTTGAAAATAACATGAACGTTGAGTGGAGTCGAGAAATGTGGTTCGAAAGATGGCATACATATTTACGTACAATATTGGTTAAAATAAAGAGGATACTTGTTGATGGTGTGTACAACATGGATATGAAGGAATACTATTCATATTTACATCTTCATCAAAGTAAAAATGATTTTAGGGTCTTTTTAGAAATAGTTAAGAGTGAATGGAAAAGAATAGCCGCACCACAGTAAATAAAGAGGTAATAATAAAATTTAAAATGAATATCAGGAAAAAAGCAAATAATGGACATTAAATTGTATTTTTAAATATGTTTATTCTGGGTAATTAATTATAGTACCCAAATTAATTTTTCTTAGGGTAAAATACTTTTTCAAACTAAGCAGTAGACTAATATATATTCAAGGCATAATATTATGGAATAATGTGAATCTTAACAGAACAAAACATATGCATTAACTAAAAAGCATAAATGAAAAGGAATAATCTATAAATTTATATATATATGGATGCAACACATTTTAATCTTAGTTTAATTTATTGCAAAATTTTGTATTTTTCAATAAGTAGCTTTTTACATTATTCACAAATCAAAATAATATAAAAGCAAAAATTGGAATAATTTCGTTAATTATGCATTAATTATTATAATTAAAAGCGCGGATGTAAAATATTATTCATTTATTGCTAAAATATTTTGTAAAAAATGAATATTTTCAGGAGGAAATATTGTGCATATATAAATGTTATAATATGTTTTTTTATTTGATTTTGGGTTTTAGAGTTTGTAATTACCAAAATAAAGACAAAAAAATATGCATAAAACAATATATTTTTGTTTTTATGTTTAACACTGTAAAATTCATACAATTTAAATATGTTTTATAAAAAAATGCTTTTTTTTTTAGTGAAATGTATTTATTTATATAAGTGTCTGTGTATAATAACATTCAATGTATACACATAAAAAACATATAATAAGAAATTTAGGATTTCTTTTTTTTTTTTTTTTTTTTTTTTTGTAAATGCTTTTACTACAAAAGTTGAAGTGTCACAATAAAAACAATGTTACATATGTTAGGACAAATAAAAAATGAAGTTGTATTTAAATGTGTATTGTAATAAATTATCTGAAGTTGTTTATTGAAACGATCTCTAAATGAAATACTATAATAACTTAGTTTCTAACATTTTATATATAGACACTATGACACGTATCCGTTTTGATAATAATTGTAAATGGAATAAAGAATAAAGTTAAATAGGGTTCCTATAAAAGTTATAACTATAAGATACGTCTTAATGACAATTATCCAAATTACTATTACCTTTTTGTAATTTCAACCCCACGTAATTTTTTCTTTTCTCTAAATGGACATTTAGAGAGAACAGTTCATGTATTCAGAATATTTTGCATTAGTAAATTTAATTATACTTGTTCATGAGTGATTATTATATTGTGGAAAGTTACAAAGGTATTGTAAAAATTTATCCTTCGAATGTTGTGTTAACAATCATTATGTTTATTATAATTAAAAATTTTACTAAAACGCGTTTAATAGTTGGAACTTAGTGTTTTATTTACTGACTGATAATGAAGTTGTTGAAAATATCGTAATAAGAAAAATAGACAAATATGTAATCACATTACAACATACGTCATATGTTTAAGATTCATTTTAATTATATTTTTGAAAAAAAAAAAACAAATCATAATGTTCTAATAAGCAACAAAAAAAAAAGGTGAGTTTTATCTTAATTTTATTTTAAAAGAAAATGTGTTAAATGCCAGAAAGACTAATAAAAATATCAAATGAATTGAAATACACAAATGTATGATAAACAAAAAATATTTTTAAAATGCATAAAATTTTAAAATAATTTCATTGTATTTACATAACTAAAACAAATTATTAAAATGTATTACTATGTATTGTTGTGTTTTTGCGTGAATATTCTAAAACAAATTATTATATTAATATTTATAAATATTATATTATAATTTATACAGCAATATAGCACCAAAAAAAAAATAATATATTAAGCATTTAAGAAGCAAAATATTGGCGAATATTTTATTTTTAACACGAATATGCTTTTTCAGTTTTTTAACACCAATATTGATTATTAAGTTTAATGATCAGAAAAGCTATATGCCAACTGTATACGTCTTTCACTTGCAAGCGAAGGTTCTAATAGCACCTGTAATTTTTCTTTCATAACTTTTCTTTTCTTCCGTTTTTTTTTTGTAAAGAGCGTTCCCAAAGGGGTATACTGTAAAGAAATAAAGTTTATAAAAATACAATTTAATTATTACAAATAGTTAAAGAGCTATTTATAATCACTATAATTGCGAGAATTTTTATTTTACTTTTATAAGAAGTATGCATAATAAAATAATTGCCAATGGCACTATTATCATTATGATATATTTTTTATATGGTATTTCTTGAGTATCTACATTAGACTCATCTGATACAATACCTTTTCCTGTGGAATGTATATTCCCTGTAGGTTTAGTTACGCTTAAACCATTTGGTTCACCTAAATTACTTATTTCACGTAAAGCATCTTTGTCAATTATAACCGAAAAATCACTAGAATTTTTCAAGTTTTCGTTAGAAGACATAACTACAGTATGTGCACTTCCATTTTCTGATGTATTTTCTTCTTGAGCTCGATTATGAGATGTATGACTATCAGTAGGATCCTTATCCCTGTCTTTATCGTAATAACCTTCGCTACAACCAGGTGGGTAAACATGGGTTCCTTCAACAGCACAGATTTCCTGAGTATCCCGACTAAGAGCGCCTTCACTGGAAAGGGATGAATCACTATGTTGAATTTCACTAGAAGTTGCATCGCCCGAACCTTTTGCATCAGTATTTATATTATCACCATATGCATGAGAAGATGATGGAATAATGATGCCTATACGACCAGACTCTACATTATTAAGTCCTAGTGAATTAGTAATACTCTGCACGGAATTGTCACCACGATGTTCTTCAGGAGCAGAGTCTTGACTATAAACAGATAAACTATCTGAAACCTTATTAGCAGGTCCATGGCTATGCGGATCTTCATTGACTTTATCACTATCATCACCACTTTTCATATGATGGGGATTATCACCTGTAGCTAGATCATGTACGCCGCTATAATTAGTTTTTGTTTCTGAAGAAGTTTCTTGAGAAACACTAATTAAATCAGGATCCCCTTCATGGATGGTTTGTGAAGAACTATCACTTGAACGAGTAACTAATGTACTAATTTCTTGCTCATCTGAGCCAGACCTTTGCGCAGTGTGTATGTCTCTTTCTACAGATGTACCTGACTGATGATTAAATATAAATGTAGTTTCTTCAACTTTACCTTCATCCGAATGAGACTGAGTATTTTTGTCATGATGCTCTTGTGAAAAGTTTTTTTTTTCTGGTTCGTGTCCATTAAATTCATTTTGATTTTTTCCATGAGAATTTAGTGTGTTCGAATTTGACCTTAAATCTTGTTGAACAGGAGGTACGCCATTATTATTACATTCAGATATACGTTCACATCTTTTACGAAGCTCATTTACTGATTGTTCATTATATAAAACATCTGGCACATACCCTTCAACAACACATGCCTCTAACTTAATATTTAACCCTATTTCTAACTCATTAAATTTTTTACATTCATTGCATATATTTGTATTATAAGTTTCACCATTTTTATAAATTTGTAATTCATTCAGTTGTAAATATGCATCAATGCACTCTTTTTTCAAGTGATCACGATTACTACTAACGACGCTAATAGTTATTTCAGCCATTCTCTATGCATTAAATTTTATTACAAATGTGTTTTTTTCTCCATTTAAATAGATAATTTTGGAAAAAAAAATGTTGTTTATGCGTAAAAACATTTCCAAAAGGGAACTAAATACTGTGGATCATGGCATAGTAGGACATTTAGTTAAATACAAATAATATTACCCATACATTTTATAAAATGATGAATTTAATTATATCATTAGGGTGTTTTGAAAGTGAATATGTAAGTCTTTTGTAATAATATTATTTAAATATCTAATTATTCATAAGGATAAAGGCAAAATAATTGAATTTACAAAATATACTTTTAAAAAAATTGTAATATCCTTATACATTAAATTAATATATCACAATAACAACAATTTATAGTATGTTTTCTATAAATTAAATGATAGCAATATATAGATACGAATATAAAGTTTATATGCAGAGTACAAACAAGAAAAAAAATTAAAGAATATTAGAAACTTTTATTTAAGTGACGAAAACAAGAAAATAAAATTTGTTCTGGAAAATATTATTTCATTTGTGTCTGTAAATACTCATTATTTTAATATTAAAACAACGAACATATTAAATGTTGTCTATTTTGCACTTAGGACACGTTCACTCATCCGTTATGATATAATAAATTTCTTTTAAACAATTTTATTAATAAAAATATTTGCAGTTATTTTTTGGTGTCAAATAAAATTTTGTGTGTCTTGATATCTGTTCCATTACTATTATTATTATGTATTTTGAATTGTGTAATGCTACATATATAGGCAAAGAATAAATACTGTATGAATTTCAAGTATATTCATTTTATTATTTTAAAAAAAGTTTCTATTTAATAATTAAAATAAATTAAAATATTCATGGACTTTAAAACTAAACAGTTATGTTTTTCCTATGTAGAGAAGTACAACCGGGTTTCCTAGAAATTTCTCCCATCATTGCGTATATGATTACTTATTACGTACAAAAATTATTTTTTCTTTTTTGAACCATTAATTTTATTCAGAAGACATATTAAATTGTTATAATGTAAATTAAATCAAAGAAAAGTGTTTAATATAATTAACAGTTGATAAAAAAATATTTAAATTTGTTACAATTCAATTTTTTGAAAATTACTAAAATATATATGCGAAAAATTTTTATGACATGGGTACTAAAAATATCAAATAATTACGACATGTATTTTATAGGATATTAGAATATTATGTATAGAATAATAATAACCAATAAAAATTCATACATTAATATTATATTATTTTAATAACTTGCTTGATAAATTTGCCCTCAATTTAATAGATTAAAATAATTACTATTTTTTGAATTTATATATGGGGATATACAGTGTTCTATTATTTGTAATATTATATAATTTTCTAACTTTTTTGTTGCATACATAAATATTTTATATTTACGTAATATAAAATAGATTTAGGGTATATTTGGAATTTTTATAAATATAACATATATACAAATATTTATATAAAACTATTTATATTTGCAATTATGCTGCTCATTAAAACGAAATTTGATTTATTTTTTATATTCTCAATTATAAATAGCAGTATATCGCCCTTCAATTTAGTGTTACTTAGAAAATTTTACCATTAATGTGAATTAATGATAATTTTTAATTGAAACATTTTGAAATGCTGAAAAAAAAAAAAAAAAACATATATTATATTTAGAATAGAGATTAACCTGCATTTTTTATTATTGTTCATATTAGTTTCTGTTTTAAGCCAGTCATTTTACTACATTTTCATTAGCTATAGTGCCAATAGCATTATTTTTTTCTAGCTGGGTGTCCATATTTTGTATAATATGACATATAGATGCCATTTTATTAAGAGAGAATTTTTATTCATCTATTAGTATTTTAAATGCGTAGTGAAATAATAACAGTTCATGTAATTTTTAGTGTTATTCTCTGTTCAGTTCTACAGAATGCATTATTTTTAATTCATTATTTAAATTTTCATATATGAGGATTACATATTTAGATAAGTAAATGCACACCCCTTTTATATTAGTTCTTCTAAGGTTCTATATTTAAGACATACTTCTTGTGTCCAAAAGTACAAAAAACGAAATTTTCAATTTTATAAATGTCTATTTAAGCATACTATATGTTACTTATATTACATATATGTATAGATTCATTTTATGATTTTAAGGTTTTCTGGAATATTGCATAAATTCTTTATGTTTCTGAATTCGTTTTATTTTAATAAGGACAATTTATTATTTTGAATATTACACAAGGGATATAAATGTAGAGTTCTAATTGTAAACAATTTTAATTTTTACCTAATGTGGCGAGATAAATTTTTTTTTTGTTTTTTCATCCTAATACAATTAATGATTTATCAAGCTTTTCAAAAATATTTTCTAACACATAACAATAAAAAAAAATATATTTTATAAATTTTATTATGCTTTTCCCAGTAAGTTACTCGTTATATTATAATTTTAGCGGAACTTTGGAAATAAACATTTTTTCACTGGAAATTTTATGGTACGAATTTGTCTTAATGTATTATGTGAATGCTACATTTAGGTAATCCTAGTATATTATAAAATGTGGATGAATGTTCTTTTTCACAATAATTATATTAAATTCATATTTATCATTTATTTGTTGCATTAGTTATTCTTGCAAGAAGTACATTAATATAGAATAATATTAAATGAATAAAACAATTTGTTGTATGACTAGTATAAATTAATTAGTGAAGAGATACATACACATGTTTAAAAAATATACTTTGATAACTAGAACGTACTTATGGAGTGAGAGAATATATTTATGTTTATAAAAAAAGCATAAATAGGGACTTTATATTTTCATTGTAAAGAACATAACATGAATGAAACAAGCATTAATTTATTTACTTGAAAACATTTGTTGTAAATAAAACAACAATGCGCTTCCAATAATTATTAATGGATGGTGATAATTTGTTTCAAAATAAATTGTTAATTACATGCTAATTTATACTATTATGACGCTGAAATGTTTTAAGCGACCTTTCTATAATTATGTTGTATTGTTTAATTATAGACAATCCTTGTGGTTTTTTAACTCATCGCCAAAATAACAAAAGAAATTAAAGTATTTTTTATTTATTATTTTTTTAAATATAATATATTTAGCAATTTTTTATTACTTGGAAAAGAAATAAACGAAATATTAGTGGAAATAGAATTTGCATCATTTGTTATTATGAGTAAATTAAATGTCCTTTTTAATTCAGTGTGAAATTTTACACGGTGGTAAATTAGAAAAATATATTTCTTTGAAAAAATAAAACACCTTTGGAATTATTTTTTTATGTTCGTTAAGAAGACAAGATGTAAATTTTTTTTTTCTTTTCGAACAATTTTCAACATAGGTTTGTTCTATATATGTATAAGAAAATAGTAATGCTCAAATTTTTTTTTGCTGCGTGCTAAAAAATGAACATTATGTTAAGGGATTTTTTTTAGGTGTAGTAAGTTTTAAGAACGGAATTATTCCATTCTTCATTATGAAATGATGTTCTATTGAATGATGCGCAAATGCAAATTAGACAATTTTGTCATACACAGTATGTTTTTTATACAGCAAGTTAAATTAAGTTAAGGTATATGTTTATCAATTTATATCACATTTTTTTCTTTTATTTATGTTATAAACTTTTAATATGCATACCTTTAAAAATGTAAGAATAAATACTTGGTTCCTGTAACTCTAAAAGCAGTAATAGAATAATAAAAAGAACCACACTCCTTCATTACAGTATGAAGGTGTTACTCGTATATTGAACATTTACATTTTATTATTATAGCAGGATTACTCATTAGATGCTATTTGAAAAGACATATATAAATCATTAATGATAAGAAAATATTACAGTTTATACTGCGTGGAAATAAGAATTATTTATTTTATAACATACATATTAATACAGTTGTGTGATATCCTATTAAATTCATATTTTGAACATTAGTAATTTTCCTTGTACATTTAAATAATTGAAAATATTCATCTTCTGTTGTAGGAATAGTATCACAGAATAGTTTTCTTTTAAGTAAAAAAGGTTTTTACTTATAATTTTTCGTCTTTTATAATTCATTTATAGTAACGAATATTATATAAGAAGAACATTTTCCGTCATACACGTCATGTAAATATAGATGAGTATATTAGAATACCATGGTTTGATTTAGTTAATAAGTGTTAAATATAGAATGGAGCATTTTAGTTAGTCTAATGTTGCGTATTCTTCTTTTTAACATATAAATAGACAATCATATGAATAACGCCTATAATTTTAAGAACTGCAAAAGATAAAGTTTTTAATGAATAATTATATAATATGACATGTATCTCCTGCTTAACTGTTATAATGAAATAAAAACCGATTTACGTACTAGAAAAAAATATGAAGAATCTGATAAGGTGAAAAATATAAACTACTATACTGAATATTGTAATAAATTAGATAATATTAAGAGGATAAAATATATTTGTAATAAGATAAAAAATCATTTAAAATAATTACCTCTTAAAATGCATAATGAACGAAAGAACAGATATTATTATTTTATAAACTGATTTTATCAGTTAGAGAAAAAGTGCAAAAATGGGAAAGAACTAAAAAATGAATATGGGTAAAAATTTTAATTTTGTAGCACAATTAAATGAAAAACATTCTAACTTGAGACAATATGCTTTATATGCATTATGTAACTTGGAAACAGTGGAAATAAATGAGAGCTCTGCATGTTTATTTTGATATATATGGACGCATAAAAAGTAAGAATTCCGATAAAAAAAAGCTATGTAATATATTTAAAATGTTTTAACTATTTAATGTTAATATTTTGAAGCATTATTATGGATACAACACTAGTGATTATAAAAACCATTGAATCAAATCGCAATTATTATTTTACTTAAGATGAAATATATGACCCAAATGACTTTTTGAGCATTTAAAATTTCTCATATGAGGAATTCATTGGATATGAATATAAAGCAGTTTACGATGCAGGAATTAAAATGTATAAGGTAATAAATGTGATTCAGCATACAAGTGTTTCCATCTCTCCCATGCCTAATGAAGCATTCCAATATGTTCGCATTATGTTATATAATATATGAATTGAAACTGTTGATAATGCTTACAACATTATAGAAACAACGTTTAATATATTAAATTTATATTATTTAAAAAATTTTATTACAGTTTTTTCAACATTAGAAAAATTATATTTTTGTGATTTTATTATGGAGTAAAAAAGAATTAAAGTATTGACATATAGTCATCTAAAAATGCATATTAAGAAGTTTCTAATTAGGTTGATTTTCATATATTTGCTTGAATTTTTGTTAATATATTTCTTATATATTTGAGAATTTTATTTTTTTTACGTAGATTAGGGATTTTTTCAGGATAATAAAGACGTGAACTAAAATAAAAATAAGAATATTTATAAAATAAAAAAAGATTTAAAAATATAATTATTCTATAACAATGTTTTCTTTTTCTTTTCAATTTCTCTTTTTTTTTTATTATTTTTATATACATAGCTGTAAATATCATGGAACCAAATTTATGCATCGTTTAATTGAATTTTTAAAAATCATACACAATCAGAACAGGAGAAATATTTCAAATATTGTTAATAAATTAATTGCTACATTTTTTGAAAAACTAAAATGAAGTTTTTCTGTTGGATGAGGACGTGATATTGGGACATTACAAGTTAAAATAAAAAAAAAAATTTATCTAAATTTCTTTTTTAACAATCTTTAATTGTTTGAAATAATTATAGAGTTTATCTGTATTAGGAAAGTTATTAACAACACTGCTGTCACAATAGATTAAGAGCGTACGTTAGTGTAAAACAGTAATGTTGCTTTTTTTGCGTAGATTTGTTACGTTCAGTTTTAATTATATATTGGGTGTTTTAAAAAATTAAAGAATAATCATGTTGCTTTTTTATTACCTGAAATTCATCGTTTGTGCAATTCACTATAGGAATGGTGGTAATAATGAAGAGCCGGTTTAAATTTTTTATAAAATTTTTTAAATGAAGTGTGAATGTTATTGGAATTGTTAGGGGTAAAAATAAAATAATATACATTAATCCATAACTTAACGAATAATAATTATACATGTAAATTCGTTCGTCTTGTTATATTTTAAGTAAACATGTTAATTTACTAGAATATATAAGACGTAGTTTAATATATTCATTTTTATTTGCGTACTTATTATCAAACATATGTTCACAAGGATGTTTATCCTAAATTATAGTGCTATTGTAATCACCGAATATTTTGTAATATTCATACAGAAGTAAATTTTTGTATGATAGAAACTAATAGATTAAAAGATAGGAATAAAAATTCTCATGCATTTTTATGTTGCATAAATATAAAGGGTATATAAATTTCAATTTTGAAGAATAGGTTGTGGTAGTCAAATTTTCAAATAATATTAGACATTCCAATATAAATCGTAAAATAAATAAAAATTTTAGAATAATTTGAAAAAAGTAGTTCATTTCTCTTTTTTTTTGTCTATTCTTTTTTTTTTCTTTTAATGTGAATAAAATTTAAAAATAACTTTTATTTTTTTTTATTATATATTAATTTATAAGATAAATGCTAGAAGATGCTTCTTATTTTCTATTTATTATATATTATTAATTATACATAAATACATATATTTTTTTATTCCTCACTACCATTTGATGTTATAATATAACTAGCTGTATTTTAACATACGTTTCATTTATACATGATATAAAACTTTTAATTTGATGGTTGTAATGAATATAAAAGAGTAATGGAATTAAAAAAATTAAAGATTTTTATATTTTTTTTATTTTTTATTACTATTTAATATAATCATATTTATTGTAAATATAATAATAAATTTATAGTGGCATACCACCTTTATTTTTTACAATCTTAATTATTTTGTGTCTCTACAAAATAATACTTTAAATTGAAGATGCATAGTTTATCATATTATAGATAAAATTAGAAAAAAACTGTAAAATTATTTATAGTGCAATACAATGTATTAAAAATTCTCGATATAATTTTAAATACTTATTGAATATACCTAATTTAACTGCAAAAAGCAAAGTAATAAAATTAGTTTTTACCTCTCATATTTTAGGTAAAAAAAAAAAAAAATTAGGTTTTTTATTATGACATATTTATTTCGAAAAAATGATAATTTTTATAAGAAGACATTCCTATTATAGAATAATCGCTCTAAAAATTTGCAAAAGCATTCTTGTTGTAAAAACGCATGCAGAATTAATTTAACTTGTTACTATCTGTGAATTTATGCAACCAGAACTATTCTAACAATGCAATTAATTTTTCTTTAATTTTGAAGATGAATAATAAAAAATAATTTTGTAGTTTTATAATTTTATATTGTATACTTTCATATATTTTTCTCTTATGTAATTAAATTAATTTTTTTTATTTTTAATTGTTCTTAAAAATATTCATATATAACCATAATTAATAGAACATGTAGAATTATTTCGTTTTTAAGTACAATTTGCATATAATATTTTTTCCTTTTATCATATTTTATGATGAGAAAAATTAATATTATAATAAAAGTTTTACTCTTTAACGTTAGTTAATTAACATATAATTATAACTTTCAATTAATTATAAAATACTTATATTAAAGATGACTTCCATGATGGGAAAAAACAGATCCATGAACTTCATTAAAATCTTTACTTTCTTTTATTTATTATGCAAGTATTATTGTAGGAATGATTTGGTAAGGAAATTATTTGTACATATATATATTTTTTAATACAATTTTCTCATTTTCGAATGATCGCGTTGCATTATAGTATTATATAATTTATTATATAATGATGTATGAATCATCTTCTATAGTCTTCGTTCAGCGAAACCTTGAATAATGCTTATAAAATAGACAAAATTATAAGTACAAGAATTGACCGATCATTGGGAAGCTATGAAGTAGACAGTTTTTCTGATGTAACAGGATCACTAGAAAGTTCATTGGAAGATTTAGAATGCAATCAACTAAAAAATGAAACAGAAGAACACACTATAGATGGAGATTTAGAGAAAGTAAAATTAAATAAATTGTGTACCTGCAAAAAAAAGGGAAAAAAAGGATATAAGAAAAAAAGAGGTTTAAAAAAATTGGATGCATACTTTGAAAAAAAAATATTCAGTCATATTGGAGGTGTTGAATTGATTCGTCAAAACACAAGGAGTGATAAAAATTCCTTTACAAAAGCAATATCTAAAAAATACGGTTCTTATATACGTTTTTCAATTTTTATTTTTTTTATTGGAGGTATAATTACAATAATAAATAATTTTGGAGGAGCAAATCATATAACTGTTCATGGTATATGGGATGCACTTGGTTGCCTATTATCAGACATTACATTTTATATATTTCCTGTTATAATATTGACTATAATTATTTATATTCAATCAAAAGTTATAAAATACGAAAGATTAAAATCTAAGAAAGGAAAAACGCCTGGTGAAGAACACTGCCCAGTTTGTGAAGGCATTATTATTTAAACAAATAAGTGCAAATCTCATTTTACTTAAAAATTATTAACAAAACTGTTAAATTTTTTATATACATTGAGTGCATCTTACATATATTAAATGCATATATAGTGAATATCAAAATATATATTTCCAATTGTTATATGACTTTGATAATTTCATTGTTTTCCCTCATTTTTTTGTTATTAGTTTTACCATAAAAAGCATAATTTAATGTGCTTTACACACTTTGTTTTTGTCATTTACCTGAATGATTAATTTAGCATATTTTGCATATGGGCCTTTCCATAAATGTATTTTCAGTATAACAGGAATGCAATAATGTTATCATTTCATTCATTTATTTGTTTTTATTATGTACATTATAATTTAATGAAGTGTGGTGATATTAATACATGAATACACACTGTATGGAGGTTATTGCACTTTGACGTAGTGCTTGTGCGTTGAAGGTGATAATCCTTTTTTTTGTCTCAAAATCAATGTATGTATGTAGACTTAAAAAAATTTGAAAACTTTCCTTTTTACAATAATTAATGTTTGAATTAATTAAATGTGTTGACTACAATATTTTAAAATAGAATTTTTTAAAAGGCATAAGTTTTAAAAATTTTTTAATTGATATAAACTCTGTTAACTTGTATAACATGCTTTTGTAATGATTTTATAGCTAGTATGTTTCAGAACAATATGATGAATATATCACAAATAAAATCCTTATTTATCTATAGAATTAATTAGAGGAATGATATCAATTTTAGTTATTGTTTCAAGAATGTAATATTCATGTGTATATTTTAGGTGTTTAAATACAAATGTTAGAGGCAAAGAAGTACAACACTTTTATAAAAAATAAGTTATAATATTGAACAAAAAAAAAAAAGAAATTATATGAATAATAATTTAAATATATATTATGAAATATACTACTTTTAAACAAGTGCCGAGAATATAATTTAGAACGTTTATTATAAGATTACGCTGGAATAATAATAAAGTTATTGATATAAACTTTGCATTTATCATAAGATTAGGATAAACGTTATTTAATTTTGACTTTTAACAATTATATCTATTGAATTATTAGTTGGAATCTATGCTTTAATGGGCATAATTTATTTAACATATTAGCACCTGCAAAAAGGAAAAACATGAAGAAACGCAATAATAATTAAAAAATTTATGTCCTTGTTAAATAAAAAATAGTATGAAGGGACACTATTATATAGTTTTAGTTTGACAAACAAAATCACGATTAATTTTTTTACATTTTTGTTTACTTTTATGCTTATGCATTCTTTTATTTTTTAATTTTTATCTTTACAATGTTATAGCTAGAATATCTGAATTTTTATTTATAAAAACATAAAAAAAAATTTTGTGTCTTTCTCAATCCTATACTAATATTGATGTGTAAAGCCTTGACATCTTTTAAATTATAAAATGTTAATATAAAAGAAAACAATTAACTAATAAATAGAGACAACGACAAGAAAGCTGATATATTGAATTAAATGAGGTCAATACGAAAACATTATGAATTTACATAAGAAGTGACAATTAAATTAAAATTTTTTTATTTTTTAAAGAAGAGTAGAATTATTTTGCACAATAATACACATAATTACAATAATGAAGATGCGATAATCTATAATAAATAATTTTTAAAAGAATGTGTTTCAGTTTATGTAGAACACGTGTGCGCTTATAGCACATGGTTAAACATGGTATTGTAATTATTTAGTAATGCATAAAATATGTCTAATCATGTAACATGTTTATATATATATATATATTATATTAGTTAATGATAAAATTTTAGACATTATATGTATGTATTATAAATTATTTATATATTATATATATTACGCATATACATAATTTCCTATATAATAATAAAAATATTTGAACAATTTAAATGGGTATTTTTATTTAATAACTCACTACAACTTTCCACAATAGGATGTTAAAAATGTTTACAGTTAACTAATTGTCAATTAAAAATTCCGTGCATTATAATAACTAATGCATAATTTAAATCCTTGCGACATACATGGTTATAAATATTTATATATATAATATTATAACATAGGAGCAACTCGAATATTTTGCACGAATTTTTTAATGCTTCCTATATATATAATTTTTTAAAAATTTATAAAATGATTCTAAATTTAGTGCTTTTTATAAACTTATTGTTACGTTTTTCTAAACGAAGCTTAACTGCATATTTAACACGAATACGTGAAAATAGCATAAAATTATATATATATGTTTGTTTCTTTATTTTATACAGAATTATATAATAAAAAATAAAAATACATACTGTATAAAATTCTTATAGCTAGCTCTGCACTTAGAAAAAAAAAGGAATCAACATTTGTGATGTTTATAATCATAATTTAAGAAAACTAGAAAAAGAAAAAAATAATATATTATATTTTTCCTTATATAATATATTAGATATAATCTTGTGTTATTGTTATGTTATTTCTATTATATTATTATAAAAGGATATTCATTTAAAGAAAAGCTTTTTGTGTTTTATATATTGTTTTATAATGTTCTGTTATATTACGAATTGATATACAAACATTTCTTTATTAATATATTAACGTATGATAGTGCTATTTTTTATTACAAAGTAAATTTATATAATCAAATTTCTCATTTTCTTTCTTAAAAATGTTGCAGAGAAAAGAACCAGTAGAAACTAAAATGAAAAAAAAGAGGATGATTCTCAATTAATGTATACTTTTTTCTATTTTTCCTACATATTATTTTAATTTCTATTTATGTGAAGAATAAATGTTTTAATTTTAATTTATTAATTATTATTTTTTCATCTAAATTATTATTATATTTATAGTATTTTATGCTATGAATTTATGTTATGCAAATATATATATTAATAACTATGAAAATTATGTTGAATAAAATATATTAATTACTTAAAAATAATTCATAATAGATGTTTTAATGATAAATAAATGTTAGATATGCAAGAAATATTTTTTAAACATTCACAATAACAATTTTGAATTTAAAATAATTTATTCAACATAATGATTGTTTTGATATCTGCATTAAATGTCCGTTTTTATAGTTATTTGTGAATTATTAAATAAGACATATTAACATTTTATTTCTAAAATTATTTCTTTTGTATATGTAAACAAATATTTGATAAATCCTTAATTTGACAATTAATATTAGCTCAATTAATGAAATCTGTTTAATCCACATTTATTTTTTTTTAAATTATGCTGCGTTGTATCCTATATAATTTTCTTCCAAATACTCACGAAATGGGTTATATTTCTCTGGAGTTACGGAGAATAATCTTTTTCCTTTTTCTCTGAAATTTCTTATCATATTTGTAATATGTGGAAAGTTATTTTGTAACTGTCTTCCTAAAGGTGAAAACTTTTATAAACAAAAATGATATGAAATATAGTTAAAATATTAATTTATTATTTATAAATATATAATTGAGGCTATTTTCTAAAAATAATACATGATTTGTGTGTTCATATAATGTGAATTTACTCTATATGAAAATACAAATAATACAGATGTGATGACTATTCCCAGGAGAACCTTACCAGATGTTGTTGCACCACCATACGTTTTAGGAGTAATATCTAAAGTTTTCTGTTTTTTAGGAATAACTGGGTCACATGTTATTGTACCTAACAATTTTTTAGGATTATATGATAAAAGTTTATCATAAAAATCTGGGCATTTAAGCCCTGAATGATTTATACAATTCATGGGGTAATCATAATATAAATTGCTTTTTCCTAAAATATAATCGCGATATGCTTTGCAATTTCCATTAGTTGGTGTAATCTTGCTATGAAGGTGATCATAATCTACATAGTAATCGCATAACTCTTTTACCTTTTTCCATGGACGATATGAAGCAATATTAAAATCAAGATTACATAGTTGAGAATTAATTTTCAATTCATCTTTAAAAATTTGAGTGAATATACGCTGAAATTCACCGTAAATAATAATAATAGGTGTACCCTTTTCCGTTGCATATATACTTTCTATTTGCTCATACATCCAATAAGATAAAAGATAACACTGCATACCCTTCACATCTGCTTGTTCCAGTATATTTTTTTTTTCTTGTAAAAGATGTAAAAATTTCGAACAAAGAGTTTTAACTTGAATCTTTTTGTTTCCTACATGATCGATTGTGTTACAATATGCCTCATTCTCTATAAAATCAGAATAATCAGTCAATGCTTGATAAAATTTTTTCGAAGGCAATTCGGTTTCTATAAAATCCTAAAATAGAAAATAAAATATAGAATAAATGAAAAATTTAAATATACATGGATAAGCGGGGCTTTTATTATATTTCATTAACATTATAATATTTTAATACATTTCAATGTGTTATAATTAAGTCGTGTAAGTTTCACAGAATTCTTACACTTGAAGGTTCAAGTACCATATTTAAATTTGAGAATATAAGAAAACGATGAAATTAAAAATTAAATTCTATTAATATGATAACACATATTAAGTGTTATATAAATTATGTTAGAACTTAGAAAAATTTTATGTAACCTTATAAGTAATTTATTTTTACAAAAAATATGATTACCCCTTGTAATACGTGTTGAAATAAAATATAGAGTGTTCTAATGGAATAATATTATTATAATAATTATTATTTATGATTTAGGATTGACGGACTAATTTTTTAATCATTTTATATTTTTTTTAATGTATTGGAAATACATTTTATTTATCTTTTTGTTTTATTGGATTATATAATTTTATTTTAATTAGTAAGTAATATACAATTTTTATTTTTAGTTATATGTAATACAAAAAAATATATATATATATTTATTTTTTTCTTTTTTACAATTATTATATTAATTTTATTCCTTTATAGTGCTTCGATGTGTTCTATGTGCCATCTCTATACATAGATAAAAAGCATAAGTAACATTAGTTACAACATACAACATATATATTTTTATTTTATATATAATAATGTTATTGGAAATTATACATGCATTTTTTTTGATAAGGGATATTTTTGATTTTCTCTAAATAGGAATACTTATTCTGTTATATGCCTTATATTTAACATTTAATGTGTGCCTTTTTATTCTTTCCAAGCCATATTAACCTTTTCTATTAATTCCATTGTTTACTTTTAGAGTTTAGTGTTCAGGTTCAAGTCTATGGATCCTGTGTTATTTTCATTTTTAGAGTTTGTTAGGATTAGTTGTGATGCATTATTATTAAATTTTCTATACACACATTCATTAAATTTTTGTGTCACAAAAATGGCATCATATATGGTTTTATGTAAGAGAACACATAGGAATTTATTTCTTCTTCTTGATTTTCATAAAAAGAAAATATAGTTAATTATTTTTTCTTAATAATATATATATTACTTTTGCATATTTCACTGTTATAAAATATGTACTACATATGTGACATACCTAAAATTTATTCATGTAATCAATGTAGGTTATAACATATATTATTTTTTTATAAATAAAGATCACATGTATGATATATATACAAATTAGATTAATTATTTATACAATTTATTAAAAGCTTTATTCCGTTTATGTTATAACACATTCATTGTAATAGATCAATATATTTTTATTTTTAAGCTCATTTCAATGTTTTTTATTTCATTCGACAATAATAATTTAACAATGTATTATTTACAGCTCGTGGACAATATTAATATTCTAATCTGTTTCAAAAAAAAGTAGCATAAGTTATTGTTTTATTTATATTAGTTTTTTGTTAAATATATGGAAAATTACTTTTTCTATGTATCATTTTCATAGGATTTTCTTTAAATTTATAAAAATATTTATATATGTAATTTATCCTTAACAATTAGTATAAATATGTATAATTATAAATTTACCGGGGATTATGTCATATTTAAATTTATAAAAATATTAGTAGAAATTTAAAAATATATGATATATGTAATGTATATATTATAATTTATATTATGATTATATTTAAGAAAAATGTTAATGACAAAATTCTATTTCTTTAGCAGAATAACTTTAGCACTGCATTACGTATTATCATATAAATTGTGTCAAATGCATTTTTTATATATAAAATTTTAAATTATTAATATATTTTTTGGTATTACATACTCTTTTTTAAAATAAGTCTTTTCTTGAAATTTTTTAATTTTTTTTGTGCTATATATATATGTTAGAATATTTTGATTATATAAGTTGTTTTTTATTAACTAACAAAAATCATAATACATTGTCATATTTCTCTAAAGTATTCAAGAAACAATATTCCTTTAAAACTAAATATATTTTTGTAAATCTTAATTGTAATATATAATTATAAACAGACTATATATATATAAATTAAATATAAAATAGTTTTACCTTTTACATAAATAATTTCTCTTTTTGCGATATATTTACAATATAAAATATTAAGAACATTACAAATATTATACACATAATTTACGTAATCATTTCTCTATAAAATAGGAATAAATGAATAAATACACTTTTATTGTTTATATATGCATTAAAGCACATCGATTACTGAAATAGCATAATTAATCAAAGTGATAATACAAGAATACATTACAATGTAATATATTATGATAATGAGAAAGTATTATATAAAAAATCATTCCAAAATGTGATCACATGTTTATAAGGTGATACAAAATAATTAATAAAATAAAATTTTTGTTTACAAGGATCTATTATATATAATTAAGAAGTAAATGCTAATTAATTAATAATTTTTATGTAGTTCTAAGTATATGATTTTTCGTAGTTGTAGAATTATCAATTAGTGAAGCAGAGAATAAAAGGTTCATAAATATTTTAAATTTATTATATATAAAAAAATTTTACGTTTTATTATTCCTTTCTTAATTACTTTCACTGGAATTAATGACCTACCACGCTTTTTGGCTATAAACATATATTACATAATTTTATATAAAGTGCATATTTGTCTTTGGAAATATATATTTCATGTGCTTGTATAAATTTATTAACTTTTTTTTGGTAATTATATTCTATATTTATTACAGACTTATTTATTTTATGGTATATGATAGCTATTATTTTTTTAATATATTTTTCGAAGCGCTAAATTGTAGATTAACTGAAAACAAAAATGAATTGTTGCTTTTGTTTAAAATTTTTAAAAATAAATTTTTACAAAATTAATATTGTTTATATAGATATTTACATCAAAAAAAATAATGGATGATTTTAGATAGATACAATATAATAGCCATGATAGGATAGGAACCTCTATATAGAACTTTAAATTCATTTATTTTCATTGTTTTTTATATTATTATGATTTTTATTTACTTCTTATGTAAAAATTATCTTCTAATAACAATACAATACATAGCATAAAATATATGCTTCTGTGAATATATAAATTTTAATATTATATGATATTTCATGAATTAACATGTTCAAGATAAACACAAGTTATTATCACTTAGATAGATATATATTTAAGTTTTTTTATAAGAAAAATATTTATATCAATATGTGCTTAAAAAATAAATGTGCATTAAGGATATTATAGGTAATATGATTAGTACGTATATTTATAGTAACTTCCTTTTTTTTATTTTTTTTTTTTTACACATTTTTTATTCTATTACATGTTAAAATTATTTTATACTGATATTCATTTAAAATGGCATTAAGTATATAAAATAACAAAATGCGTGCATGCTTTTTTGTTCATAAAAAAATAAAATGATTGATCTGTACTAATTTTTAATTACATTGAAATATAATTATTTTTTTGAATGAATACGATGCATTTAAAATTAAATATTTAAATAATGAAAACAGTTTAAAACAATATCCACCTTATTGCAAGGTAAATATGATGAGCATTTATATATTCTAAATTTTATTATCTTTAAGAAAAAAAAAAAAAAAAAATTATAAACAAATTAAACACTTATACATGATAACTAAAGTACAAAAAAAAAAAAAAAAATTATAAAAAAATTAAACACTTATACATGATAACTAAAGTACAAAAAAAAAAAAAAAAAAATAGAAATAAGTCGATTATATAAGATGAAATCGAATAAATGTAATTATATGCTATAATTAATTTAATCATTCAATAACACGTATGAATGTAGTCAAAATATGTAAAATAATAAATGTAGAATCATTTAGAATTCTTATTACTGATGCATGCAATTAGAATTAAAAAAAAAAGGCACTAAAATTTAATTATAAATATTTCTACATAATTAATACAAATAAACATCTTAATAAAAAAGTTTTATTAAATAGCATGATAAATATAAAAATGAATTATATATCCTGTGTTCATATATAACATTTTTTTTTTTTTATGTGAGGTACAATATAAATATATATATTTCATTATTATTTAATTACAGCGTAGTTCTTTGTAACTCAAATTTCATAGTATATATGCAAACAAATATATAAAAAAAGAGAAAATATATGACATTTTACACATTTTGTTTTTACTGATTGTTTGATGAAGAAATAGATATTATTTTATATTTTAATGGAATATTTATTTTGAAATTTTTAACTCTACATTGAAAAATTAATATATATTTTTTGTTATAATTGTTGTTATATTTTTAAATGAATATAATACAAGAAAAATTTACCGTATTCTTTAATACAATTTCTTTGTCGTTAAAAAAATAATAGCATAGATTTATGTGAATAATGGTAAAATTAGTCTGTATGATATAAAACATTGTGTACAATAATCCTAGGAATAGTACTCATATTTTTGTAAGATTGGAACATATTATATTCTTTATATATGTTATTCCACTTACTTCTTCTCATCCTAATTATTCGTCGAAGTTTTGAATTATATGGGGTAAACTAATTATTAAAAAAAGTTATTTTTTTTAAAAATATATAATATTACAAATTTTTTTAAATTATCCGGAAATTTTTTTTTCTAGAACAAATGTATATATATAATATAATAATTAACCTTATATAGAATAAATAAGGATAAGAATATTACTAATATCGCATGAATAGGAGCTACAATAGGAACTGTAATATCATTTTTTTGGAATGAAGGTAACATTTATGATGCTTCGTTTTCACAATATTCTGTTTCCATTAGTTTACTATATTGATGTCTTATATTTTCTAAAGCATTGCAAAAATTGGCGTAATTATTTGACTCACATGCATCTATATATTTCATATATAATTCTGCGCAATCCTTGGCACATTTGCACTTACTTCCATTAGAGCATTCATTATATGATTTCTTAAGCTTACTGTTCATATTATATAAATCATTGAGCTTCTCCAATATATCATCAGTAATTTTATCCGTATATTAATTGCAAATTGTCACATCCATACTTTCATATGCTTTCAAGAATGTCTCGTAAAGTTTTTTGATATTGGTATCTTTTTTATTATTAAAAATATTATTATATATCCTAAAATACAAATATACACAATGTACATCTGAATGAGTCGTAAGGGATTGGATTTTTTTATCAGTTAAATAACTAACGGCCATGGCGCATTTATTAGAATCATAATTAGAAATGTGCTTATAAGGTTCCTCAATATTATCACAGTATGTTTGTGATGTTAATAATTTATTGTCTTGGTAACCCTCAAATTTCTGTTTCTCCGCATCAAACAAATGTACATGTTTGTACTATAAAGATAAAATAACGTGATTATGTTGGAACACATGGATTTATATATATGTGAATATCATATTAACTTTATTATGCAAAAGAATAAAATTTTAATTTTAAATGAATAATAATAATGAAAATATATATAAAAGTATACAACATTTTCTTCAATAGGAAAGATTTTAATGTTTTATAAATTGAATAAAATAAATAATTTTTATATAATTAAATAGATGATATATAAGGAACACTAAGTTCTACATCATACAATGAAAGCTTATTTTGATTCTTAAACGCTTAGTTTAAATAATTATTGTATAGTCTTTGCTCAAGGATAATGCCCAGTATTGATTATAACAAATCCGCAGAAATGGATAAAAATTCAATATATTCATTTAACAATAATAAAAACAAATAAATATTCTAAAAAATAGTATTTTAATTAAATAAAAAAACTATAAATTCATATATAATTTTATTTTTATGTGAATATATTTTAGTACACTATAATATAATCATTATATTAAATAATAATCTATTCCTATTATTTTCCATTGTAGAACTGTAATATATATTTATCTAAATATCCTTTAATGTTCTGTAAAGTAATGTATATTCTTAATTATTTTTTGTTATAAAAATATATATTATTATTTATCTATTTTATTATATGGCTATATGATGAATCATACATAGAAAATATTTATACTCTAGGTACTTTCCATGTAGAGGTATACATATAGTCAACACAAATCATCTGTATTATGAAGGTACCATTTATGTGGCTTCATAAATAGAATTATTCATCGTACATGTGTAATATTATGCTAAATGTTACCTTTTAATTGGTAATATTTTTATTTTATATGTAATGATTTTTAATGATTTTTTTAAATTTATACTATTATAATTGTAAATAAGTTATTTCTTGTATAAGCATTTTTAAGAATCATGATAAATGATTTTTCATTTTTTTTTTTGAAAAACTTTTGCGAAAATGATAATATATAACGTATACCTATTTTTCATTAAACATATTTCAACATTTAAGTATTTTAAATATTATTTCTTAAATGCATATGCAGAGTACAGATTATAAATGAAGTACATTATGCTCAGTACGCCTATGTATGATATATTTGTCTTATATCAAATATTATGTCGAAAATAAAACATAGTTTATTTTAGCTTTTATATTTTAGTTTAATTTCATTAGCTCTATTTTTATTTAATAAACATCCATATAATTATTTTTCCTTTATTAAAATTGTCATATAACAAATAGAAACAAATTTCTTATCTAACACTGTGAGACGTGTATATAATTATAAACAATTATTTGAACAGTGTAAATAACATATAAATATTGCTGTATTACAATAATTATATATACTTCCATGGATATAATTCAATTATATAAAAATATGTAGCAAGAAAACATGTGTTAATGCAAATATATTTCTTAATTTTCGTTTTTATTTATATATGTTAGTAAAAACAGGATATTATGTAAAAAAATTTTAATTTATGTATTAATTATTTATTACTGAGAGAAACATTTTTGAATATATTTATTTTAATGCATTTACATAATGAGTTTGCATCCATAATTAAATATTTATTTTATAAATTAAACATTATCCTTTTTTTATATATATTATTTTTATTATTATTGTAAACACTCTTTTTAAATTATATATAATTATTTATGTTTTAGAATAAGTCTTGATACAAAATAATAATTTATATTCTATTATTACAATTTTGTATATGATATTTCTTTATTTATATAAATTCTTAATCAGGATGTATCAATATATATTTAATAATTTAAAAAATATACTTTTTATATATTCTAATAATAGTTTGTTATAATAAATATATATTTTTTAATTATTTAGTATATTTTTTCTAAATTGAAAAATATAACCTTAAGATCATTGTTTCTTTAATCAATATTTTCCCTTATTTTAATTACATTATCATATGCCGAATCACAGTTTAATATATGCTTAATATATCCCCTTGGGATTTTTTAATTGTTTTTAATTTTGCTTTATGTGTTCCATATCCATAGACGAAATACTGAATATATAAAATTAAAAAATAGAATATATAATTACATACATATGTTTTCATTATAATACTATTTTAAAAATATATTTATAATAATTATTAACTTTATATACATAAAATTACTTTATTTAAAAACCTAAGAATAAAGAATGTTTCAATATAAAAATTTCTACAATTGTACGTTCAGTACTGTTAAAAATATTATTGTGTTTGGGCTTGTGAAAATACATTGGGAACATTATATTTTGATCCTTTATTATTTAAATCTCCCTTAGTTCCCTTTTAATACACTCTTGTATGTTTTCTCTATAATGCATATAGCATAGATAAAATCATCACAAATTAATTATAAAGTTATTAATATTATTTTGAGCATTCGGTAAATGAAGAATAAGTTTTAATTATCGAATTAAATATTATAGTTTTTAATTTGCTTTTTCTGTTATGAATTCACGAGAGAATGATACCTAAAATGTAATTTTCTTATTTTCCCCATAATACAGAAAAAAATATGTAGAATCTATGGCATAAGAGCACTTCTTTTGTTTCATTTTTCATTATAAAAGTATGAAACATTATAAAGCAAATAAATTTCATTTTTATGTGGTGAATTGAAAAATCTGAAAGATTACATGAACAATTACTCATTAACAGTTATCCAACAACACCCAGTTGCATGATATAATAATGAATTATATATTTCGTAGAACAAGAGTAAATAATTGCATAAAAAAGATTATGTTTTACCTTTGCCTCGATGTTTTTATCAATTTAATTTACCATTGTATAAATTAGATTTTGATAAACTTTAGGAATTCTTGAAATATAGCAATTATATAATTAAAATGAGATTATTAAATATTCATAACAAATAAAATTTATCTTAAAATTAACAAATGTTCATAAGTGCAATATAATTCTCTAGATTCCCCTACGGATTTTCCTGTTTTTTTTATTAATAGTTATTTTTATATAAATCCTATTAGATACTTATATAGGTAAATAAATCTTATGCTAATTACGCATGCTTATATTTATTATATCAATTTCATCGAAATTTTTATAATTATGTTTCGACTTTGCTAAAATAGATTTTTATGTTTTCATTATTTTAAAATCTTATTAAAAAGTTGTTTCATCCAAAAATCTTATGTTCATAACGTATTTTGCTGCATTACATATATATATTATTCATACTGGTTTATTAGTATCTTAAAAGATATTACAAGCATATTTAATGTTTAATGTTTTAATGTTCATTACACTTATATTTTTTTATTACAACATAATTTTTCATTCGAAATCATATCATACTTTGATGTAACATGGTCTTCTATTTTTTTTAGAGTACTAAATTTATATTAAATAACTTATTGTAGAAAAAAGACAAATATTTACCACATAATAACAATAATTTTGTTATATATTAAGTTTCAGAAAAGAAATACTCGTTTTAAATTATATACAAAAAAAGTTGTTATGTCTCATATTTAGATAAAAAAGAAAATTTTATACATATTAAGCGGATTAGTTTATATTAAATTGAATTAAAATATATATGTATTTACTAATCAAAATATTTTTTTATAGTATAATATTGTAAAAATACTTCATCAAATAAGTAATATATAGAATAATTTAATAAAATATACTAATACAAATGCAGTATTATGATTACAATTATGTAATACATATTACGATATTTATGTTTTATAATTATAAATTTCAAAAATGGAAGGTTAGAATGATCACAATAATTTTACGAAAAATCATAATTATTTATATATGACTAATATAGAATTATTAGTACATATTTTATTTAGCCTTTAATATAAACAGATTTTATCTATTTTTTAAAATTTTTATTGGTCATTAGGTCTAATATTCAAAATAGCTATATGCAAATTGGATACGCTTTTCTCTTGCAGTCGGTGGTCCTAATAGTACCCTCTGTAATTTTTCATTCATCTGTTTCCTTTTTTTTCTTTTTCTCCTTTTCTTTTTAGTAAAAATAAACCTTAGATGTGTGAACTGAAAAGAATAAAAATTTTATAAAAATAGCATTTAATTGTAATACATAATACGAAAATGCATAAACTACTTTTAATAAGAATAAATTTTAGTTTACTTTTATAAGAAGTCCCAATAATAGAAAAATTGCTACTGGTAGTAAAGACATTATGATGTATTTTTTATATGGTATTTTTTGATCATCATCTTTAGGTTCCCGTTGCACAATGCCATATCCTGTGTTTCCTGCATTATCTGTGGCTTTAGTTACGCTAGAATTCATTTTTCCTTCTTCTGCCCTTATTTCAGAAGAATAACCATTATTAGGTGTTCCTGAAGTTCCATTACATATTATAGAAGGGGTATTTGTTTACGTGCGTAATATAAATTTAATTGTTCATATATATGCCTTTGATAGGTTAATATAACCACACATGAAAGGAGTTTTTTTGAAGATATACATATGAATTATTACGACCTTTAGAAGTTGTCTAACTCTGTGTTTGTATTTCCGAGTTAAGGCGCGAAATAATTACCTGAATCTATTGTTCAGTACCTATATGTTTTTGATTTGAATGTTCCATATTATTAGTTTTATGGGATAGGCTTATTACGTTCTCTTCTCCTTGTTCAAATGAAGTGTCAATATATTTTTGATCATGATGTTCCTTATCAATATTACCATTTTCCTGTATTTCTGCAAAGGATGACCCCATAAAAAATTTATTTTTATTATGATGTGTTACAGTGCCTGAATCAATAACTGAATTATTATTAAAAGTAGAAGTTCCAAAACTATCAGTGGAAGAAATATATGACATATTATCCGTAAAACCAGAAGACCTCTGATTAACAGGATATGAAGAAGTATGAATTACAGGGACACGCTTCTCATTACTTAATTCATCTCCATAAAACATTTTACTATCATTAGTTTCACGAGTAGTATATTTTCCCTCGTCAGTTTTACTACCAGTAAGATCATTCCCATTATAGTCGTCACAAGTATCCTTGTCACATGAAGCCTTTCTTCTAGAATGTTCAGCGCCATGATTTAAGTCTATAGATTTTACACTGATAGGATTTGTGTTACCAGAAAATACATCAGTGGATTCATCACCGAGGTTTGCAGCTTTAGCATCTACTCCAGCATCAGATATGCTACCATTGTCTGCATGAACAGCTTCGACCTTATTAGTTCTTGTTCTGCACGGGGTTATTGAAAGAGATGTTTCTTCAGAAAGACACAAATGATAAGTGTTTTCACTTACAACACCTTCATGACCAATAGATAGAATATTATAGGAATTACTATTAGTAGCTTCCTTATCTTGTTGTTCTCCTTGATTATTATTTGTTTCTAAGTTATTTTTTTGTGGAATAATAATTGAAGCAGATTCATTTTCATTGTTAGATTTTTCAGATAAGGCATCTACTTTGGAATTAAGTTCACTACTTAATGTATCAACTGAGAAAGATGACTGCTCTGTCGATGGTTCTGAACTCACAGATTTGGTAACCAGATCATTATGTGGTGATTTATGTGGATTATCTGAATTTTCAACAGAATCATCTGAAACATGGAGATCCTCTTGAACTTTAGGATCTATGGTTAGTTTACCTGATACTACCTGACATAACTGTTCTTCATTCATTCGTGGAAAATGTTCTGCTTCTGATATTATGGCTTTAGACGACTGGGAGACAGATGTTGAAACTGATATAGGTTCTTCTGTCTCTTGTACTTCTGTTTTACATCTTTGATGACAAGCATTTTTTTCCAATTCTAATTTATTAAAATTTTCACCATAATCTTCTGCATCCGCACTATATTTTTGTGAATTTGCACATTTTGCTCTGACATCCTTTATATCACTTCCATATATATCATAAAATAAAGTTTCTCTGCAATCCTTTAAACTAACTTTTATTTTCTTTATAAATTTATTTAATTCATAACATTCATCGCACAGATCTGTACATGTATTTTTATCAAACTTAGGAATTTTTCTTTCAAATTCATTCGAATATTCAGATATTTTTTCCATGCACTCATTTTCATTAGATTGGTTATTAGTCACGAAATTAACAGTTATATGATCCATTCTCTATTCTTTAATTTTTATTACAATAATATTTCTCTTTTCTTAGTTCAAATAAATAATTTTAAAGAGTACATTATATACACAATTAATCATATTCGTAGAATGAAACTTACTACTTTTATATGATGACATTATATCATTACATATAGGTAAGTACAAATAGTAACGCTTATGAATATTATAAATTAAGAAGTATTGCCACATAATTATGGTGTATAAAAAGCAAAAATGTTAACTTTTGGAATAACCATATTTGTAAATGAAATTATCTTTTAAAGATAGCATTAAATCAATTGTATTTGAAAATATAAGTTTATGGAATTTGTAGAATTCTTATTTATTAAATAAATATAAGTGTCTATATACGATAATAGGTTTAGAAATTAAGTGATGGTAAAAGATACACAAATATTAGATGCTTGTATAAAATATTTGTAGGCACGTGAAATAATGGATCCGGATATGTTTCATTTTAGTGACACAACCAAATGAGAGAAGGCATATTTTGGATATTGTCATATACATGTATATGTGTATATTATTGTTTTAATTTAATAACAAGACATCTTATGTAATTAATGTTATCTATATATGTCACTACAACTGCACTTCTCGATTATGGTATCATTGTATTCTTATAAGCATAGTTACTGGTGAAAAAGTGTGCATATATTTTTTTCTGTTAAATAAAATAGTGGATACTTATGCATCTATTTTATAATTATTATGCTGGCGTGTACTGGACTTCATAATGTTGCATATAATAATAGAATAAATAATGCATCATTTGTGGATTAGGTTATTTTATTATTGTAAAAATGACTTATATTTAAAATGCATACGTAATAACTAAATCAAATTAAAATCGGTATATTTCGAAAATTGACTACTTATACTTTTATTGTACATACATATTTAAGTAATAGAAGATGTATTTAGAGTATATATAAAATATATAAACACAATATACATGCAAATATATGTGTAAAATTTATCAAATATGTAATTTTGTTTTTAACTATGAAAGCATGATTTTTTAATATTCTCATTTGTAAGTTTCTCTATAGTACCCCTTTAAATTTAACATCATACCATTGTCTTTTTATTAATTGGAAGTAAATAATAACACAATAGGACTAAAAAAATTTGAAATATTTATATAGCACAATAAATTTTCTAGTTGTAGAATGCTTTAAAAGTATGTGCCCAGTTTTTTATATTTGTAGTGTTAGACGTTATATTAAGAAAATAATTTTTTTTACTCTTTTGTTGTTTGCGTTATTAATAAGATTATTAAGTTTACGCTTTGTTTCTATATTTTGTATTTTATGATATTTTTATTTATAATAACACTTTCAAAAGAATGCTATTACTTTGCGTAGAATATTTTAAGAGTGTTGAGGAATAGCAACCACAACTGAAATATTTAGTGCTAATTTAACTTCTTTTGAGTATACTATGTTCCTCATAATTCACTAACTTTATTATCAAATATATTCATTGTACATTTGGAGCTATAAATACACTACTTTTCTATTTATTATATGTTTTTGTTAAATTTAAGAAATCTTCTGTATCCCCTGAACACAAAAAAATGAATTAAATAATATAATAAATATCTGTTTTTATATTTTTTATGTTAAAATTATTAAAAATATATATCTGTTTAGTTTAATATGTTATGATCTTTTCACAGATAATTTTTTAATGTGTTCCCAGTCCTTTTAACTTAAAATGGACAAAATGATTATTTTCAATGTAATACATAATTATTTTAAATAAATAATTTTAATCATAAGAACGTTCATTAATTTTTCTGAAAATTGAAATAAAATGATTTTCCCATATCTTTGCAATACAATTAAAATTTTAATAGACTTACCTAAAATTTTTTCCTTATAATTCACAATACCAAAAAGAGATTTACAAATTCTACTGTAATTTTGCAAAAAATATAAGTTATTGTAATATAATTTCATCTTTTTTTGAAAAAATATTCTTTTCTTTATAAAAATTGATGATGTGAAATCAACTTAATGTGTTATATTGAAAAAGCTACTTTTTTTTACACGTTTTGAAATTCATATTTGCAATAATTATGATGAATTCTTATTTATCATTTCAGTGTTATATTAGTTATTGTTACAAAAAATGTTTTAATAGAGGATTATAAAAAAATAAAATAATGTTGCGTTAAAATTGCTATCAAAAAATAGATGAATACACAATAACACACATGTTAAGGAATATTTCAACAATGTAATGTACTTACATAATCCAGAAGTTTTTTTGTCTTTATATGCACAGCATAAATATACCTAACATTGTTTATGGAAAGAACTCAAATGAAATAACCCTTCACATTATTTATACATACTTGTGCAATGGAAACAACATAACATATCACTCATGTATTCATTAGCACCGTATTTTATTAAGAAATTTTGTTTGGAGATGCATGCTAAAATGTACATTCATCAAACTAGGATATTTAAAACAATCTATCATTATCATGTTTTCATACTTAATAAACACAATAATTGTTCATTTTCAATTTTAACGGTACATTAATAAATGATTTATGAGAATTTATTATTTTTTTAAATAAAATATATTTCAAGCTTTCAAGATTGAAAAAAAAAAGAAAAATAATTGGAAAAGTCAAGTTGCATGATGTGTCTGTATAAATGCTTTAAATTAAGAGTGTCATTTTGATTCGGATAAATGTGAGATTTTTCTTCATAATTGTTTAACAATTATATATTATTTGTGAAATAACAAAGCTTGCTTGTTATCATTCCTCAATATTTTTTAAAAGAACTAAATGTACTTTTTTTTTTTTTTTTTTCAAATGATTTTTCACATACATTTATTTTATTTGTTTAAAAAAGTATTAATCCTTAAAATCTTATACACTACATTTTAAAAAAATAAATACGAGAAAGGATATTTTTTTTGATGTAACAAATATTAATCACAAATTGTTCATGCTTTATTGTGAATTGTCTTTGTATTGCATAATACAATATTACAATTTAAAAGATTTTGTGACACATTATGCTTTTCATGCAGTATATGAAATTAAGTAGGGGCATATTATTTTTATTAGTTTGTATCACATTTGCTTAATTCATATTATAAGTTTTTATACGTCTATTTTTAAAAATGTGTAAATATATAATTAACTATAATAACTCAAGAAATAGGGTAATACAGCAATAACAAGAACTACCAACCTTTTTTAAGATACAAAAAAGATATCATTTATTTAATGAATGTACACATGCTATTACCACAATAGGGTTGATGAATAGTATATATCTGAAGAAACATGATCATTAATTATGTGAATAAATAATAGTATGCACTATGAGAAAGTAGGAATAATGTGATTTAATGCATGCTATTTATATAGTCATAATGTTCTATGCTATTTTCACACTTTGCAAAAAATATATTCTCCCTTATATATTTTTTAATAACTAAAAATATTGATCCTTTATAGTAATTATCATGCCATTGAAAAGTTTGTTGTTAATTAGAAAACTGTTATTACATTAAATAAATTCCTTGGGTCTTAGAATTAATATATATTTATGAATAATATATAGAGAGATTATCCGTTATTGCATTGTACTTGTAAATGAAGAATTCCGAATATCATTGTTTGATTTAGTAAACATATAACAAGATGCATCTTTTAGAAAATAATAATTCGTTATATTTATTTTTTATAATTTAAATATTACAATATTTGAATAATATTTTTTTTTTTTATAGGAATATGTTATGTTTATTATAAAGGATGAATATGCCCATATATTACCATTTCACTATTCTACATAAGTAAAAGGAAAGGAAATTGCTAAATTTATCTTCATATAAAAGATACCATGAAATGAATGATGAAGATAATTTAAGTGGTATAAAGGGTAATGTAAAGAATTCGGGGGATATGAGCATAAGGTTAAAACTTTCTGTAAACAGATAGCAAACATTTTAAGAGATTTGTATAGTAAGTAATGAAATAACTGTAAAAACAACTGTTATTACTTTCAGTATTAATTTTTTTACAACTAATGGAAAAATTACTGTATAAAGGAAGCATTAGACAATGTGGAACTTGTTAATAAATTTGGGATTTAATACCAAATACTAATTCAGAATATGGGAATGATAAATTCTGGAATTACTGCTTATCTTGTTTCATTGGACAGAAGCAAGAAGAAAAAGGCTTGAATAATTATTTTGAAAATTATAGTCAAATTAGCTGCAATAATTCAAGAGAAGACAAATATAAAAAATATATGGAATGTGTTACTTACATTATCACTTTACACCAACTGAAAGGAAGTGTCTTTTGATATGAGGGAAAATTGGAAAAAGAGTAATGTGAAGCTTATATTAATCGCGAACATGAATACAACCCGAAATTACTATTAAATAAATTAAAAGAAGAGATACAACATGTAAAAATATTTAATGGTCAAGTAAGCATAGCTAAAAGAGGCATGAGTGTGAAGTGAACTCCTTTTGGCAAAGAGCTAAGCAACGACGAGTTAAAGAAACAACCTCAAATACATATATATCCCTACCAAATGCATTAAGAGATGAAATGGATGGTAATAATAATAGTATAAAAACGGCAAATAATGTATTAATATTAGATATTTTTCGATGTTTTTTTATAGGTTCTTTAATAATGGGAACAGCACTTTTCATTTTCTCGTATTTTAGCATAAATAAAAATTGATGTTTGGTTTATAAATACATTAAAATAGTATTTACAGTTTATTTTTTTAAATATTTTATAATACCGAATTGAATATATTACACATAATTTGTCCCTATATAATTGGATATTAGAAAATTCTGTATAAATTACATTTGCGTTTAATGGAATTAAAGAAATATAAATTTAATACAAATAAAAATTATAACGTTATATATGACATACCTGAGTATGACATAGAATCCTTATTTATATGTTGCTAACCGAGATTACACCTATATTATCAATCTGTATGACAACATTTTTATATTTATTCATTTACTAAAAGAACGTTTGAATGAAAACATGAGATATAAATTACTGTACATCTACATGAGTAATTATTTTTATTGATTTATGGAAAAGAGGAAAATTACTCAAATGCAGCTGTAAAACGTGAAAATAAGTATTATTAAAAGAAAATGCTAACTAGTTATAGGGACAGATATTATATTTTTATGTTAAACTATTAAAAACCGTGAAAATAAATATAATTGAAAAAAACAACTTTGTCTTAATTTATAAATAACCTGAAATTATAGTTATAACAAATGATTCATCAGGGAAGACCGTGAATGAAAGTGAAGAAAAGTATATGTATATATATATATATATATAGAAAATAAATAATAGTTTTATTATTTGTTTACTCAGTTCTATAGAATTATATTAGGCAATCAATACTTTTAATGTTGGTTAATATAACACGTTGTATAGATGCAATATTTTAATCAAAAATATTAAACATCATATAAAATTGAATAGCTGCAAAAAATTACGTAAAAATACCTATAGAAATGCATAGTAGTAATCATTAGGGTGAATAGTTAATTAAAATGACAACAGAAGCGCACTATAAAAAGTGTGCTTTAATAGAATATGTTATATGATTATAAATGACTATTTATGGTTATCATAGTAGTGTAAGATGCTTTTTAAATTACAGTTTATTTTTTATTTATTAAATTTCTGAAATACTTTTAACCATTGTTAAAATTATTTTTGTTAACTTTTATTTTACTTTTCTTTATTTTTTTATTAATTTAATCATATGTAACATAAAAATATATTTATTTATTTCTCAATTTTCAGAAGATTATACCAGAAATGTGAAAACTGCATTTCTTTTATCACTAATTATTCTTTGTCTTGCATGTAACTTCATTTGGTTGAATTATCTTCACTGAAAAGACATTTATAAATATTTATATGCAATGATTGATGCTATCATGACTTTTATGATTTATTATGTCAATATATATTAAGAAGAAACTGATTGTGAAAATCATACAGATGACCATTCATATTTCCTACAATACTGAATGAAAATTAGGGTGTTGCCTCTATCACTAGAAAACATTACTATTCAATTAGATACACATGCATAAAAGGCACATACACGTAACCATATATGAAGGTGTGGGGATCATCTATGTGTTCATATGTTTGTATATTTAATCATATATGTTTAGCTTTTAATATAAAGCATAATAAAACACAGCTTGATATTTAGAAATTATTGACCTTTATTTAATAAAGGGACCAGTTCATTTTTTATTTAACATATATTTGTTAAATTATTTAAGATAGAATGATACTGCTATAACATATTCTAAAGGATTTATCTATAAAAATGTGTACTTAACTAATTACAATTTTATTTTTTAACTTAATATAACTATGAATTTTAGAGTACTGTATTATGTTCATAGAACTTTTAGCTATATAATTAAAGGAAACTAGTTTTAATTTTGTATGTACTTATTTATGATAGGCATCATTTTCATATATTTCATAATTTATATAATACTGTTGAATAACCAAATTTAATAATAATATATATTATGATAACCTATATAGAAACAAGTAAACAATTATTTTCAGTTGTGTAGATTATATTAAGAAATAAAAATGGTATATATTAATGAAGAAGAAGAAGACTAAAAAAAATAGCTAAATTTTGGCTTTTTTGGGTTAGAGTTAATCCAGGGGAATATATTGCGTAACAAGTTATTTGTTCATAACGGTTTTATATATATATGGGAAATTTTTTTTATCATATAAGCAGCAATTGTTATAAATTATGGATTTAATATTTTTTCATAAGAAAAGACAGTCATCATTTTAAAATATTGATTGCTTAGATTTAGGTGCTTTAATTTTGTGAGGAAATAAAAATCATATAGATGAAACCATTGAATATAAAATTAAATAACTGAAATATAATTATTGACTTATTTTATCAATAAAATTATTTCACATTTTCTAATTTTTTTCATAAAAAATATGATTATTTCATAAATTTTGAAACGTATCCAATGGTTTGCATGCGTCAATAAGCATGTTTCATTTTTCAAATATTTTTTAAAACCATAAATAATTTTGCATTCGATATCATGAAACTTTGAATCTGGTTTATCAAATAAATTAGCGAATTCATTAAAAATATGCAAACGCATGTATACACAAGTGAGCTAAATATAACCATGGCAAGTGTAGTTATAACGTCTACTGGATTTTATAATTAAATAAAAAGGATAAAGACATATTATAACTAATTAAACATATATAAATAATGAGAATATTCACAATGAATTAGAAAAAAATTATAATCTTCACATGAACACTATATAACGTTATTTCTAAAAAGAATAGTGTAGACAATAAAATGTATCTGCGACTTTTTTTACTACCATGTTTAAAACAATAATAAATTATATTAACAAAAACTGCATGAAATCATATAAAAATATTTCGAATTAATTAATGCGTTAAGGGATAGATGAAAATTATTAATAAATAGCTTTATTTATATAATATATTTTTAAAAGATTTTCTCACTATAAATAAATACATTTAGGAAATTTCGTAATAATTGTAGAATTTTATTTTTAGGATACATTATATTTAATAAAAATAAATATATAAATTAAACTATATTACTCAGAATATTTTTTAGAATACTCTTTTTTTCAATATATTAATTATTAATGCTGCAAAAGTTATTTTTAATCATATTAATAAGTGCATTATATCTAAAATGTAATATTAATTATGATAATCATAAAATTGAATGAACCTTTCAATTTTGCGCATAATATGTGGAATTACACATTTACGAAATTTCCTATTCTGAATATACTATAATTTTCACTATTCTAAAAGAATAAATTTACTCCTTATTTTTTGCATATTAACAAGAATATACTTTTGTATAATCTTATATAATTTTTTCATTATAAATTCATATGTATTATTTATTAAAAAATTATTTAACTTTTTTATACAAATACTTCACTTTGTTTATTATTAAAAATAGCGATTATAAGTATTATTTATGTTTTTGTGACAGGATATCAAGGTTCTTATTTGAGTAAATATTAAAGCAGAATTACAAATGTTTAATTAAACACTTTAACAATTGTTAAATTATTCATTATTTTATTACATTGTAATTTAAGTTTTTATTTTATTTTTAGGATGATATAAATTATTTATAGAATGAAGAATAAAAAGAAAACAATTCACATTAAAATATTTACTCTTATCCTCCTAACGTGCATATATAGCTATTCTAATGAGGTATTACGATAACATGTATCAATACATTGCATATTTTTTATAGTATTAATTATATTTAAAATTAATATATCCTTAACATGAATTTATTTGTTTTATAAAACAATACTATACACTTTATTTAGTCTCATCTGGGCAAATATTTGTGTAATAAACAGTATGACAACAATGTTTTATGCATAAAAAAAGAACGCTTATTGGCAAGTAAAAAAAAAAAGGGAAGCGAGTACAAAAAAGAAAAATTAAAATGTAACTTAGAATCTAGTCCAAAAAATAAAACAACAGGGAATAATGATGATGTTACGTCAAAATCTCCAAAAAAAAAGAAAATTAATAACAAAGATTTAAAATCCAAAACTCCAGTATACAAATCTGCAAAAGGAAGTGATACGCGCTTTGATAAAAAATCATTAAATCACCAAGGAAAATTAGATAAATTTAATAAAAATGGCAAAACATTTAGTAATACCTCTAAAAGAAGCGCACATACAACGTACAGTTTATGTATATTTTTGTGTCTTATTATTTTGTCTGTTGTATCATCAATTCCAATATGGTATTTTTTTGTGTTCAAACCTAATATTACAAATGACTTCGGTATACATAAGATCATTGGAATATCTGCTGCAACATTTGTTATATTACTTATTATATTAGTATCATTAGTTACGCCTACATGGGCTAATGTTTCAAAGTGTCTTAGATTAAATAAGGGAAAGCAAAAAAATTAATAATAATAATATCACTGCTTTGGAAAAAAGCTTAATCATGTAAATCGTGTGCTATTGTTATGTATATGGCTGCTCTTTTTTTTTTAGTTTTTTTAAAATCTTTGAATTTTGTGTCATTTTTGTTTGGTTTAGTGTATATTCTGCAACTAATATTACAAATGTTTCAATACATTTTTGTTTCATTGTAATTACATATCTATTACATTTCTATGTTCTTCACTCTATATATTTATATAAATGATTAGTAATATTTTAATTCTATATATAATTATAACGTAAACAAATGTGTTTGTTTTTCCTCTTTAATAATTGTTAATATATTATTATGTGCTTAAATTTTATTTTACGTAATATTTTCTTATGTAGCTAATAATTCTATGTATTATATGTAATATGAACTATAGCTTATAGTGCAAATGTTTCTAATAATTATATAAAAAAATTATTTGAACCATTTTTATACAATATATTTTTACTGTTATTTTTTTTGTTATGCTTTATTGAAGCATATGTTTATAATGTGTTTAGATGCCTTATGTCCAGAAAATTTTGTTCATATTTTTCATTATTTTTATTCATGTCATTTTTTCAAATCGTTTTATTTAAATTGCCGCTCCATCGGCACTAATTAAACTTTAAGTATTTTATTTGTACAATAATATGTTAAAATAAACTGCTTATTGTTCCTTATATTTTTTTTTTTAATCAGAACATTTTTATCATGATCAAATATTTGACAAATTTGTTCATTTATTTTGAAAATTGAAGTGGTTTTTTTCACATTGTTAATACATCTATACACATATAGTGCTTTTATAAAATAGTATTATATAATTTATTAATTATGCGCCCAGTGTAGTTGCTGTATTATTTAGATTTGCATATGAATATTACTCCATATAAAAAATGTTTGTGTCATTTATTATTGAATTTTTGATTCACACTACGATATGAAATTTTATCTTAAGTTTGCTTTATAAGTATTTTATTATTAAATGTGTAAAATATTTATTGAATATCTATGCATAATTGAATGTGAGATTATATAAACAAATTGATTTAATTTTTGAATTGAACCTGTAGACACATTAAAAAGGACATGATATATTAAAATAATATATTGTAGAAATAAAAATTATATGATTGCATTAACATATGAAAGATGTAGTAAGCTAAGCGTAACATCCCATATATTTTGCGGGATAAAATAATGAGTAATTTAGGAAGAGTTGTATAAATAGAATCGATTGCTAAAATGTACAAGAAACGCTTATAATTATGATAATTAATATATATGTGTGCATTGTGAAGAAGTCGATTTTTTTTTTTTTTATTTTACTTTACTAAATAGTGCACTTTAAATGATTAAGATTTTCCAACGATTGTAAATTACCTTATTTATAAGTGAAATTATTGCATGAACATAAAGAATAGAAACAATTGTATATATACATATACCCTTGAAAATACAAATATAATATCATACATAGGAAGAAAATATTGCATGAATTAATAATGATAGTGTGCTAAATGAATACATTATTGACTATAATATTGTCAATATAAATATAATTTGAGTATTTGATGTGTAACAAGAAAAAAGTGATTTTAAATTAAAAGTAAATAAGTCCATCAAACATTTGAAAAATTATATCGTCAACTATCTATTTTAGTATTCAATTAAACAAAAAATCTCCTAATTATATAATCAACATTTATTTTATTTAGTTTAATGAAATTTCCTTTGTCTGTTTATATTATACAATATTAGAATATTTACAAGGATATTTCAGCACATTTAGAAATATAAAAACTTTTTAATATATTATTATGCATATCAGTGGTTATGTCTTAAGGTACTAACAGAGAAATAAAAAACACGAGATGTATCCTACTTTCATCTTCTAAATCAAATTAATACATACTATAAGTTAATTTTGTGCACTTAAAAATATATAATATAAGTTATAAAAAGAATTTTGAACATAAATCATTGTATAACGTTACTAATTAAAATTTTATATTGAACTGTCTCATAAATAACGTTAATTCTAAAATAAGGGAATCAATATTACGTGATCTAAAGGAATAATGGAAATATTTCAAGAAAAAACATAATATGGTCCTAATATTGTAGAAATATTAATACATAATGGAATATATTCTAATATTTTAAAAAATTGTTATAGTAGTAAATCATAGAAAAAAATACCAGACCAAACTTTTTTACGATTTATTGTAACTATACAGAAGATAGGCACTAGTGCATAAAATATAAAAAAAATAATTAATGATTTATAGATTATCCATTTAATAGAATATTATATGTTTTACTTATTTAAAAATACCTAATGCTTTTATTATATTTATGGAGTATTTTTCAAAATTTTTTACTTATATTATTCATAAATGGCACATATATAATACTTTTTATTATTTACAAAATATAACATATATGTATTTTTATATTTAATTATATAAAACAAATATGTTATATTTTATATTCCTCTTTTGTTTTCAATCATTAAATCAATTAAAATGATATCTTCACGATATTTTCAATAAAGCATTTTTAAAGTAAAACAAATTTACATATATATTCTACATCCAAATATGTAAATAAAAAATATGAATTTATAACAATTTCTATTTATATTGTTCTATTATATTTTTATGTAATGAATCCTATTTTTGTAGGGTTGTTTTTATATATATCTTGAATTCCTTCATATAAAACTAAATATTTATTAGGTAAATATATAGCATATAAATATTTAACAGAATGCATAGTAATAATTCATAATAAATGAAAAATATTATTGCAAATTGTTTTGTAAAAAATAATACTTTATTAAATATAAGGGAGAATATAAAAATTATTTTACAATATTAAATGTTTTATATAATATAAGACATTATAATTTATAATTTTTTATTGTTAGACCACTTCTTATGAGTTTCATAATACGTTGAATTAGTTATAAATAAAATATATATTTATTTCCTGTAGTATATAACAAATATTGTTAATTTACATTATCGGATATAATTATTCTTAATATTGTAGTTTTTTATAGTTTCATTTATTAAATTTATTATAATATTTTTAAAATTGTTTATTATTAGCGAATTATATTAACTTATTATACGAAAACATTATGAAAGCATAAATTATTTATGATTTTTCCTTAATAATTAGTGTTATAAGAGGACGAAAAAAATATAATTTTTCTAAAGAACACTTTGCGTATAATATTGTTCATAATGCAGGAAAAAATAAAATATATTGAATAAAAAAAAAGATATATGAAACAAAGAAACACCATAGTGTGCAACATAAAACCAGTCTCATATAAGCAATAATAAAATCCCCATGAATTAGATGAAATTTTATAATTGCGTTTTTTTTTTGGTTGAATATAATATTTGCTTAGAATAAAAATTTTACATTACTACATAATCTATGTAAATATGTTTATTTTTTGTATAAATATGATTTAAAGAACACTGCATTATGCCATTTTTACGTTTTAATTTTTTTCAGCTATACACTGTTAATATTATATAAAAAATATAAAGGTATATATACTTGTGAAAAATATATTTTTGACAATAATTGAAATACAAATAATTATTAATATGTAGTCTAGATGGCATGATTGCATTTCTAATATAATATATATAATGTATATATTCCATTATTAATTGTTTTAGTTAAGAATATTTTATATGATATTGGAATAGAATAATTAAGTATACTTTATATAAATATATATATGAGTTAATTTATGATAGTAATATATATTATGCCCATAACAGACATATCGATTTCAATCATGTTTATTATATAATTTTCATTAGATTTTTTTTATTACTTAATCAATATGAGAAAATAAAACAGAAAGCAATATAAAATTAAATTATATCATATGAAAAAAAATTACATAATACAGAAAAATGTATATTATATTGTTAATCATTTATTATTTATTATACATAATGTAAAAAAATAATTATTATAGTTTATTATATTTTATTTAAATATAATTTTTACAGAATTAATAGAAACATATTTTTACGATATTTTATGAACATTATTTTTTAAAGGAATAACAACATAATATACACCTGTAAAAAGGTTACCATATTAATAGAATATAATTTCCTTTTCATACTATAAATTTAAAACATTTTTTACTTTATGGTGGAAATCTTGTAAAATTGTTAAATCATAAATATATATTTATTTAGTTTTAATGTTGTTTAATACATCGCATATCTGAGAATATATATATGTGTGTATATGTAATTCTTATATATAACAATGACTGATAAAATCGCATATGGTTTTAAATATATACATGAAGAGAAAATGATTATTTAATATGAACTTAATTAAATTTTAGGTATTAGCACACATAATACTTTTTATAATATTCTTACTTTATAATATTTTTAATTTGCGGGTTTAAACTAAGATTAAGTTAATTATATATATACATTTAGAAAGTACGTATATATCATTTTGATTTTATATGTTTTTAGCCAAAATATTACATAAGAACCAATATTTTTCTTTAAAAAATATATTGAGCATATATCATATAAATTTTATTATTTGATTTTCACATCAGGTTCTTTGAATAGTATCTTCTATATTATCGAGTTTTGAAAATGAAGGATTATTTCATTTATAAAAAGATATCATAGTATTAATATTCGTGCTTATATAATTTATATATTTATTTTTCTTGAATATATTTTTAGGTCATTATTAAAAATAATAAAACATATGTAAGCAAATGGAGGACTGAATTATTAAGAAAAAATATATAATTTCTCAAAAATATATGCTTGGAAAAAGTTATATTATTATTATAATTATTTAAATCCTTTAACATACATAATATTATATTTTTATGATTTAATATCAATGTAATACACAGTAAATGAATTCACGCAATCTTATAAACTATATATACATGAATGTTATGTGATTT